ACCACCAGTGTCCAGATCAAAGTGAGGGAGCAGGTCATGACATTGAGGTTGTTTTCCAGTATGACAAGCTATATCTTGGAGGATGGGAGATTCAATTTGAGTGATGGAGTGGCCCCAAGTTGGGGCAACCACAGGGGGCTGTCCACAACAAGGGGTCAAGACTTGAACAGGTTGTCTATCACCTGTGTACAGAGTACTTTACTCAAATTGTCCTTCTTCTGTAGCTTCAGAAAGAGTCAACATAGTAGGAACTGTAACCGGACCAAAACCGCAATTACGGCAACATGGTTGTGTGAGGCTCCGGCACAGAAGGCCTGCTCTGGTCTTACCCAGACTGTGCCTAAGTGAATGCAGTAGCTGCCTAGGCCGTATGAGGAGGTATGAGATAGTGCCAATACTGTCGAGCATACTGTAGTGATAGAACACTTTCTACATACATTACACAGTGCCTCATCACTCCTAGTTATCACTGTAGTGACTTACTTGGTGTACAAAGTACTTACAGATTTCATTTCTTAGTTTTACAAGTCGTAACTTAGCTATTTCTTTAGTGTTGCTGTAGTTAGTTAGCTTTCATAGTTGCATACAATTGTAGACACCTATCACGCCTCATGCATTTTAGGTACATACAAGACCAAACAAACTTGTATTCCTACTACAGTTGAAAGATACAAATCAATACCCACTCTATATTGACTCTGGTCATTGTTACTGTGTTTATTGGAGTACTGTGCAACTATAAGGCTTGTAGTCCAACCTACTAGTCTTGTATTGAGGCATTGACATTCTCTGCACTGAGCTGGGTGGCATACTGCTTGGGTTAGCTGAAGGGTGCTCCAGTGTGTTTCAACTTCGACAAGTGCAGTCTCCTTCAACAGATACTGGTGCCTAACCAGAGGTAGTTGTGGAGCTTGGGTAGATCTAATAGAGGGTCCTAGAGGTGTAGAATGTAACACGTAACCACCGCTTTGATGTGGAGGGGAGGTGTAGCCAATATGAGTGGGGTTTTGTGGGGAGCTTAGGAAGCAATGAAGCGGAATTGGGAACCTAATGGGAGGTTCCAAAGGATGAAGAACGAATTGTAGAGCCTCGACATAGATGGTGAGTCAAAGGAGAGGCGTAGACAATACGAGGATTGACAGAAAGAGGCAAGAGAGGAGAAATAGAGTTGAGGTGAGACAGAGATAAAGGAAACAGATAATGAGAAAATATATGACAGTTGAGATGTGTCAGGCCCTGATGTCATGTGGCTACTGAAGTGACAGGTAATATGTATTGTGAAGATCGTAAGGATGGTGCATAGAATATCAGAAACATGTTTAAGTGATGAACTGGAGCTCTGGAAAGGAAAGGGAAAGGTCCAGAGAATCAAGGCATGACAGGTTGACCAATAGTAGAAATGGATTCGGAGAAAGGGGCAAATGATTGAGCTGTGGTGAAGAAAGTGTTTTCTTTGGAGTTTGCTCTAGATTAAGCTCGAGTTCTCGGAGGCATAAAAAATGATATGTTAGTATGATGTTAACAGATTGAGTTTAATTATACTGTTAAGATCATGTACACCAGAAAGCCATTCCAAGGGCTGTTCGGTGTCTAAGGGCAAAGGGTCAGTAGTGAAGTTATTAACAGCACCACCATTATGCCGCTAGTCCCTGGAAATTGAGAGTAGAGAGGAGGTAACTAGAAGCAGCCAAGTTGGAGTGGCGGTAATGCCAACAATGAGGAGCAAATCAAAGAATGTAGAGAGTCCTCAAGGTAAGGCTCCTTAAGACTTCAGAGAAAGAGAAAGTGACAGTCTAAGATGATAATTCAACTGAGGAACTACAATATAGTACAGGAGTACTTATACCTACAAATTGGTGCATTGGAGTGGAGCACCAATCTAACTACTAGGAGTTATATGTATGGTGCCTTCAGGGAAGAGCATAAAACAATAAGGAAGAGACTAAGTACGAAGGGAATGTGTAGTGAGAAACAACAATAAAGAAGAGATTACAATAAATGGTGGATCTTGGAATACTGAGCAGCGAAGTGGGGCACTGAGGCATGGGTTTAACACCATGACTGAGGACTGGAATGACCTAATAGGAGTTTGAGGACATTAAGGAAGACCCTTGAGAAGGTCCCTAGGACAATAACTGAAGTAAGATGGTGTGAGCTGGGAACCTGGGAATGTTAATACAAATGCAGATTGTGAGTTATTGGAACCCGGAACATCAATATTAGTAGATTGAGCTGTCAACAAATGAGTTATAGGAGTAGGAGCTCCTAAAGCAAAGTGGGAAGCCCAGAAGATAGTCCCGGGATGAGAGGGGTCAATGTCAGTGTTCTTGAGTTGTGAGGTCGCACCAGAGAAGCAATATGAGGGTGACCCAGTGGGGAGCTTCAATGTTGCTTGTAAGTAAGGTCCAGGTACTTGGTGAACAAATAGGAAGCTTTGGGGAGGTATTGGGGAGGTTGGCTCACCAAAACAGTGGATATTTGGGGAGCTCTAGGATTGGTCAAGGGAGGTTGGGTACTCACTCATGATGCTTAGATGTGAAGTAAAAGTGTGTATTGAGGTCATAGAGATGAGAGACTGAGATAGAGAGACAGATAGTAAAGAAACAGAAAGTAAAGGAAATCTGTATGGTTAGCAGGTACAAAGGGACAGGGATTGGACCTATGTAAAGGGTGTGTGATCAAGATATACCAAGCTGGGGCTTGGGATGCTATGAAGCTACTTAAATAGGTACAAAGAAGTTAACGAGGGAGCAATAAAGAGTGGTCAAGTAAGGAGTCTCTCAATTGGGATCTGGTTACAGATGGGGATACTGGTGGCATTGTTCCAAGGAAAGGTTCCAAGAGTTTAGTCTGTTATGTCATGTCTCATCCCGGGTAGGACCATGAGCGGAGGGCAAAGGGGAGGTACATGAGTATAATAGAGCTGTATCTTAACAGAAGGCAGTAGTAGCAGGATGTGGGGAGGTCTGTCATGCCATGCTTGATGTGGGGCAGGGCATAACAGTGTGACTGGCCTCCAATGCTATCCCACTATTTCTCTTATCTGTGCCTTGTGCTTGTTTCTCATTCCTCATCATGCCTAGGTTCTGTGCTACTCATCTTTAGCTCATTGCTACATGTGCCAATCTGAATCTACATCATTCAGACCATATTTGCCAAGCTGAAAGATAAGTCCATGTCAGTTATAAGCAATGTCATATAGATTTAGCTTACCTTAACTCTTTGAAACATCTAATTTATGCCCGGGTCAGTTATAAGTAGCATAGCATAGCTCACCTCAACTCTTTGAAATGCCTGATTTATGCTCCTCTGCAATCTCTGTACATTTCTGGAATGTCAGCTAAGCATGAGATCATAGTTTGAAAATGTATGGTACTTACCTTGACAATATCTAGATCTTTCTTCTTCTTATCCCAAATGTGCTTGTATCTGTCAATAGTCAGGTTCAAAGAATCTCCTCAGTATTCTTTGAGATAAATATTGACTTCGGACCTGCCTGTGCATTATCTGACTTGTTCACTTTACCTAGTTATTCTGCTCAATCACTCTGCTGCCATCATTGCCTCTTTGTGACAGGGTCTAAAATGATCTAGGATAATATCCAAGTTGATAGAAATCAACACATGAGATTGTGACCCACTGCACTGCATGCATGGCTTAAACTCAGCTGGTTTTTTAAGGTATTATATGTGGGCACCCTTTGGGTGCCAACCAGTAGCTTGTAAACAGAGATGCACAGTGGCATCACAGGGTATTCCAGCTATGTCCAAGATAATCAACTGCTAGACCCGCATTGCACAATGAGAGAAAGAATCATTTATATATAGTGAAATCTCACATAAGCAAGAAATGGCATATGGATGAGTCTTCCATAAATTACAGCCTTGTAATTTAAGTCAATAATTAAACTTAAGAACTACTGTAGCTGTAAAAAAAGTATGTATTCGGACTACTCAGCATATTATAATGGAATGTGAAGTGGTTTACTGAGAGCTGTACATTGAGCATTCTTCAGGCAAGAAAATAAGACAATAGAATAATAAGAACAGAATGGGGAAAGGTAAGTGAAAAAAAACAATGAGACCAGAGAAGTATTCTCTGAATCCTGAGGCTTGGTATGAGTTGTCTCAGCCAGCGCCTGATATACACTCAAGGTAGATAAATAATTCCATAAGTTATTTTGAGAAGGATAAAAAAAACTATGAATGAAATAAATATATATATCAAAGGAAAGTGAAAATTTCCATCTTTTGTCAATGCATGAGAAGAAAATACAAGCAAGAGCCTTCCCTATGCCCTGGAGTCTACACAACCACCAGCTCCAACACATGACATGTGACATGACATTAAATCATATCATAATCAACTGCAAGTTGCCTTTCAAGCTCATTGGACCTTTCATGTTCTGCTCTAATAGCCTCCATTTTTACTTCCTCTTCTTCTTCCTGTTCTGGCTCATTGAAAGACCCCCCATCCAATGGAGCACCAATATTGCCCAACATCCGGTTGGAAGCAAAGTTCAGGGAAGACACATTGGTCTTTTGCCCTTGGGATATTGTGGTGTTTCCAGGTTCAGAATATGTGCGCAAATTGAGCATTAGGCGGCTGATGAGAAGGTTGGGTAATCTGGGAAATAAGTCAGAAGAAATATAATTACCAATGAGAGTATGATTCACATATCAAAGAATGGATTAGCAAAGTTGAGAAAATTCTGTTGTGAATGGAGAGTGTGATTTCCAATGATCTAACATTTGATACAATGACATACATTAAGGTTCTCTGACTTTAATGATACCTTGAAGAATTTTATAAATATAATGCTCTCAAAAACTTCAAAAAATATATAAAAACTGACCGCATTAAAGATAGTTTCACTAATAGCAACCAAAAGTGTAAGTCTTGAATTTTACAATATCAGTTTTCCAAACCTGTATTGCTTAGCTTCAATAATGGAATAAAACTTACAGGAAATAGACAGTCCCTATCAGAAATCTTGAGCATTATTCACAAAACAATGATACACAACAATTACCATCGCGGATAATTATTTGTGTTATACTAGATTGATTGAGCCTTTGCATTTCCACTGAATGTTTCACAGTTCTTATAGCAGTTAGAACAAAGATGAAAATGTCATATCCTAATGCTGAAAATGGAATAGCCAGCTCTACTAGAAAAATCAAATATCAGAATATTGTTGCATAGCTATGGTTAGTTCATACTTCTAGAAAATGCAAAATTAAATATTTGCAAAAGACCTGATCAACAGGAGCTTACTGATTGTATTGATTTAAATGATTGACTGATAGTGCACACCTGGCAATGTTTTGAAATGGAGATTCAATGGTTGAAACACCAACTCCTAGTAGTGTACTCTTTGCATAAAATGTGTCAATGGATGATGAAATACAAACAGCTAATCCTTGCTAGCTCAGTGATAATGACACTTACCCATATATCAAGTGCAAATCTTGAAATGATGAATGCAGAGGCTATCCCAAAAATTGCTTTATTTTCACTGTATATTGCATAAACCCTCAAAGCAAAAAGAACTATAACCAGGTGAGTGGAGATCATTGAGGTAAGACTGACAGCACACCATTGGTTGCAACTAATGCTATAGGTGTAGAAATTGAATATATCATATTTAATACATAGCACCTTTTGTTATATTAGTACCAGAAGAACCGGTAATACAAAGATCACAGCTTACTGGTCATCAGTTCCATTTCCAGGAAAGTTCAATACTGCTTGTATCATAATAGACAAGAGCAACATGTATCTGTTCACCAGGAACAATACTGAGATTCCGGTTATTTTTCTTCTCCATATTGAGCTATATTCTCTATGCCATGTCTGAATGTGGTCTGCAACACATAGTGCTAAAACAAATGTCATCAAAGGCATAGTTGGAACAGAAGATAGATTGCTCACTGGTAACAGCAGCCTGTGCATAATTAGTCAACACCCTTGTTTGAAAGAATAAATTTGAAATAAAACAGACACAATTTATGAGTAAAAATTATCAATGAATATTATGAAATTCATGTACCAAGGTTCAATCTGTGAACTGACATCATCCATTATGGCAATCTTTGAAAAATCCAAATAGTTGATCCACAGTGGTAGAAATGGGAGTAGTTCCTAGTGTGACCTGATCTGTATGTGCGGTATTGGTGAATGTGGCAGAAGAATGATTGTGGTGTCTAATCTCCAAATGTCCTGCTTTTATAAGTGTGGATTAACAACAGTTAACTGAGGTTAGATTAAATCAGCAGTTGCATGAGTACTTCAACAGAATCACAACTGCAACTGAGTTCCAAGTTCAAGGATTCTCAATCTCAAATAAGATGTAGGCCCCCGATCAACAAAACATGACTGTTGCAGCCAATACTAACAAATCCTGGCCAGAAGTCCCAGCACTTTCAGAGGACATAAGACACATGGCAAGTGCCATACAGAGTTCCCAGCAGCCGAAATTTTTCCACTTTAAGAAGATAAGTTTTTATCTTCTTACTTGGGAATGCTAAAAATGCTGTGAATATAAAATGACAGAAAACAGGTTTTGCTGATGCACCTGACTACCAGGAGTTGCTATAGATGCTGCTGCAAGTTGAGACTCCTTCTCAGTTTCAGAGATGATGAGTTGTGTCCTAAATTTCACAGTCAGCTACAATGATCAGGTTTAAAATAGAGATGAATTATCTTGATTTGCCTCAACTATTGGCTATGCTCTCCTCGACATCTGTTAAATTCCTTAAACATGAACATTTCATGTAAGTTTTGCATAAGTGATAGAAACTTGTACAATTTATTAAACCCTTAGGCTTCAGAAGCTTTGCTTGTTTAATTCTTTCCAAAGCCATGCTTGCATTCTCATCTCCTTGCCTTTGCCTAGTGGTACAACCACTCCCAATTGACCGCAGTTTCCCTATGCGGCAATGGTGATCTGTTTCAGTTGATCCAAGTTTGATGCTATGCAAATGCTACACCTGCGCAAATCAATAGCAATGTTCTCCCTGATGTTCCGCAGTGCAACTGGGTGAGGCTGAATCAAATTTTCGGGTTGAGTCACAGACTGTCTACTTCATATGCTCATGAAAGGTATTGTTTGTTTACACCTGAGAATGCATACTGTTTACAACCAAGGAATACTAGAAGCACTGACAGGAGAATGGCACAAAGGAATGGCAAATGGCAGACAATTCCAGTGGCAGGCTGGAAACAAGACAACAGGTGAATGAAAGAAACAATTGAAGAAGTTCAGGCTGAATGTGCTGGAAAAGTAAGTGAAGCATGACTTACACATAGCTTAATTCTTTTTCCCGGCATCCTAATTAGTAGCACTCGACGGATTACCGGGTTTCACTGATGGGGCTCCAGGAGTGCCATGACCAGCTGTGAACCCACTCAACACATTGCTTACACTTGTTTTCAAGCCATTCCCCAACTTTTTTCGTAGTGAAGTTGGTTGAGTGGGGTCACTTGCTAAAGAGCTGTCAAGAGCTGAGGGCGTCTTAGGAATCAGAGGCTCTTCATCCTCTTCAATTGGGGTGCGAGCCCCGATGTTGATTCCTAGCGTAACTTCCTCTTCATCGGACTGAAAAAATTATCATTGAGGGTCAATGACAGTGCTTTACAGTGGCCTACCTTAATATCAGATCCACTGGGGTCTAGGTGTTTCGGTATCATCGCATCCATCACATGGTGTTCTTCATGAGCTGGAAATAGAATGGGGACCGGGACCGGGATAAGAGCGAGGTCAAGCTTCTGTTCATTGTAAGCAAGAGGATGGTGGTGATGAGGAGGAGGAAGAAGAAGAAAGTGAAATGACAAAGAGATCAGAGAAATCTTTTGTAAAAAAGTTGCGAAGAACATACATTCTCCTCATCCTCTTCTTCATCTTCGAACTTGTCGTTCACGTCGTCAACGAAAACATCGACAGCTTCAGAACGCCGGTAATTAGGAACAGACCCAGAAGGAACTACGAGGCCAGAGGTAAAGGCTGGTGCGATACCAATGCCACTCGTAGTAGCAGTAGCAATAGCAGCCAATGTAGAACTGGTAGGAGCAGAACTGGATGAAGACGAGGAAATAGGAAAGGCTAGGACGGAGGAAGCACTTCCGGCAATAGCGAAGAGCGCAGTGTACACGGTACGAGAGTGGACCATTTTCGTCTGAAAGGTAATAGTGTTTTTTTCCAAAGGGGGTTGGTGTGACTAAAAGCAGGAAGTAGTAGTGATGCTTATGCGCAAAGTTGTGAGGACACAAAGAGACCAGCTCTGGGGAAACTAAAGCGAAGCAGTGTACTTTTATATATCTCCTACCTGGTGGTGCCTGCTGATGCATACCTGATACGCGGCGTGAGGATGCAACCGTCGGAGACGAGGACTAGAAGTATATACAGGATGATTATCGCGTGGAATAAGCTAGGCGACAAAGTTATAGAATCTTTATTTCTTCCAAGTACCTCGAGCAGCTTCATTGGGCTCTTGAAGGGCTTATAGTGGATACCAGTGGATGCCAGACTATCATCGAACAGGAACTAGTAAGTACCCAGTTGATGGGTACACGTATGGGGTCAATCCGACTTCAGGAGCTCGTGCCACAATCATTACGCGAAGCACTCAACTTTACTCAGCTTTTGGACGCCTTCGGACTGCTTTGGAACACATTGACCGGGTATTGAGCTGTATTGAGTCGTATACAGTGCCTCGGATGGGTGATGAAAGATAATGAATAAAACTCCTTTTGATATCGTTTTGAACATCTGTCAAGTTGTCGAATATTGGAAGTTCAGAGAGCTGCCGGTTCTATGTACATACCTGCTCCTGCTTGTTCCGACTCGTCAAGAGAAGGTTCAGTAATCCGAATGGTTCCTCCGCCGCGTCAGAAGGGTATAAGAGGGCATAAGCTGGTATAAGTCATTGAACAGACGCCATGCCGATGATAACTGCGCAGATATTGCTGCGTATATTGAAAGCTGGATCCCACGTGCAGGGCTGTCGAGGCAATTGTGCAGTGGCGCAACTGTGCGTCCATCGCTAGCTCGTTGTTGAAAAACCGTACAGTGCAATAATGGCCGTAGGTTTTCGGAGGCAGGCATTGACAATGACGCTTCGGGGTAGAATCGGGCAGAAGGGAAAAGTAGAGTCATTTCCTCCAGCTGGCTGGTTCCTCCTCTGTTTATATCCCAGGCTTAACCATGGCTACGTTCTGCTACGCTTTGGAGATATCTCCCATGGATACATGTTATTTCTGCTCCGACGATTCGCTTGAGAAAAAACTAGTGTGAAACGAAGGGAATCAAAATTAGCTAATTGGTCTTTGTGTTATAAAACACTTTTGCCTGAGTAATCCCCACTTACGGATCTTTTCGTGACATCGCCTTCCCACTCTTCTCATTGGACTCACTCAGCAGTCACTGTCAGCGCAGGGCGCCTTTAAGCCATAGCTAATTCTAGACCTGTACCTTTATCACATACTTTCTCCTGCTTCCCCCAAATTCTTTCTTCCTGCTCTCTGTGCGTCTCGGGCCAGACCAAATTATCCCATATTGTCAATATCCCTCTCATCTAATCCCGTTAAACAATGTCCAAATTACTCAAAGAAATATGGGTCCGAACACCGTTGAGCTCCACCTTCCGCTCGTCGTCTAGCGGCGTAGAGCTTCCCGTGGAATCTTCGGAGCCTCTTATGAAGGGCATGGACAAGGAAATGGCTCTCGACGAGCCTGTTTCGGAGAAATGTGAGCTCAGGATAGAAGGAATGACTTGTGGGTCCTGTGTTGAGGTGCGTATTATCGGTCATGTTTTACACTAGCCTTGGGTTCTCAAGTGTTTGAAGGCTATTGAAGGCATGCTTCGACCACAGGCTGGCATTCATTCCATAAAGGTTGCATTATTAGCAGAACGAGGAGTTATAGAATTCGATCCAAAGCATTGGAATGTAGAGAAGATTGTCGAAGTGAGTTTCTTCTGATTGTCTACAGTGAACGCAATCGTCGTCCCTTATCGACTCCTACAGGAAATATCTGATATTGGTTTCGATGCCACGGCAATGCCACCATCACGGGAAGACGAAGTCACTCTCCGCATCTATGGCATGACTTGTGCGTCCTGCACCACTACCGTCGAAAGCGGATTGGTTTCTGTCCCCGGGATCCTTTCAGTTTCTATATCCCTAGTATCCGAAACATGCCAAATCGCCTTCGACCGTGGAATCATTGGTCCGAGGGAGATGATTTCTCATATTGAAGACATGGGTTTCGATGCAATGATTTCAGACGAAAACAACGCCACCCAACTCCAATCGCTTACACGGACAAAGGAAATCATGGAATGGCGTAGTCGACTTATCTGGAGTCTGATGTTCGCTGTACCAGTGTTCCTCCTCACCATGATCATCCCCAGAATTCCCGGTCTGAAGTTATTCCATCAAATTCATATCTATAATGGGGTGTATTTAAGTGACGTGCTCGTTATGCTTATCACAACTCCTGCGCAGTTCTGGGTGGGAGCCAAGTTTTATCGCGCCGCGTACAAGTCGTTGAAGCACGGAACGGCCACTATGGATGTATTGGTGATGCTAGGCACCTCGTCAGCATACTTTTACTCCCTCGCCGTCTTGGGATGTGCTGCTTTCAACCCAACGCCTGACTTCCGGCCCATGCTTTTCTTCGATACCAGTACTATGTTGATTATGTTCGTTTCAATGGGTCGGTACCTCGAGAACAAGGCAAAAGGCCGTACTAGTGCGGCGCTAACTGATCTCGTGGCCCTTGCTCCCTCTATGGCTACCATTTACACCGACGCCGAATGCACACAGGAGAAGAAAATCGCCACCGAACTCGTCGAGGTCGGGGATACAGTTAAACTCGTACCTGGCGATAAAATCCCGGCCGATGGCAATGTCATCCGAGGTTCCTCCAGTGTCGACGAAAGTGCTATCACCGGTGAAGCTGTTCCTGTCCTGAAACAAGTCGGGGATACAGTCATTGGCGGAACAGTCAATGGCCTCGGGACGTTTGATATGGTTGTCACCAGAGCCGGGAAAGACACTGCCTTAGCGCAAATTGTGAAACTTGTAGAAGATGCCCAGACGTCGAAAGCGCCGATTCAAGCTTTCGCGGATAAGGTTGCTGGGTATTTTGTTCCGACGGTTATATCGTTGGGAGTGATTACTTTCATTGCGTGGGTGGCTATTTCGGGTTTGTCGAGCGAGGATAGTCTCCCGGCGATGTTCCACCGACATGGTTCGAGCAAGCTCGCGGTGTGTCTTCAGATGTGTATCAGCGTCATTGTCGTCGCTTGTCCGTGTGCTTTGGGTCTCAGTACACCCACCGCTATCATGGTCGGCACCGGTATGGGCGCAAAGAATGGTATCTTGATTAAGGGTGGAAGAGCCCTTGAAGCAAGCAAGAACGTTAAGCGGGTCGTCATGGACAAGACCGGTACCGTTACCGTTGGAAAGCTCAGTGTCGTGGGTTTATGTTGGGTGCCAGCAGATGGTGCTGAGAACACCGAGCTGTATGGTGGTGATCCCGACTTGAACGGCCTATGCGCGGACGGGGTTACGACTCGCAAATCAATCATTGCTATGGTCTCTGCCACCGAAGCTCGTTCGGAACATCCCTTGGCCAAGGCGATTGCTGTATATGGTAAAGATCTGTTGAAGGAAGATGGATCCGAGCCCGATGTTGACATCGAGTCGTTCGAGAGCGTCACTGGCGCTGGTGTTAAGGCACTCATCACTTGCAGTGGCCAAAAATACGTTATACTCATTGGAAACACGGCTTTCATCACCCAATCCTCCAACGGCTCTCTTAATTCCTCCCTAGCGGCGTTCGAAACCCAGGAAACCAACCTCGGCCGAACTATCATTTATGTTTCTATCCAGAAAGGCAATGCACGCCCACAGCCGCTGTTGTCTGTCTCGTTAGCAGATTCGCCCAAGCCTTCGAGTAAGCATGCTATTCGGGCATTGCAAAATATGGGTATTGAGGTGAATATGATGACTGGGGATGGAAAAGCTACAGCTATCGCGATCGCGAAGCAAGTTGGTATACGCCCGGAGAACGTTTGGTCTACGATGACGCCAAAGGGTAAAGCGACGATGATCACTGAGCTTATAGAGAAACATGGAGATGGTGTTGCGATGGTGAGTAACTCTTTTCTTATTTTCTCATGATTTCGTCCATTCAATTCTCTATGTAGGTTGGAGATGGTATCAACGATTCTCCTGCTCTTGTCGCAGCTACTGTCGGAATTGCCCTTTCCTCCGGGACTTCTGTTGCCATTGAAGCGGCCGACATCGTCCTCATGCGCTCTGATCTCCTCGACGTTGTTGCAGCTCTTCACCTATCTCGATCCATCTTCGCAGTCATCAAGCGAAATCTCGTATGGGCATGTATATACAACATTCTCGGTATCCCTCTCGCCATGGGTATATTCCTCCCCATTGGCCTGTACATGCACCCTATGATGGCTGGCGCTGCTATGGCATTTTCGAGCGTTTCGGTTGTGACTAGCTCGTTGACGTTGAAGTGGTGGCGAAGGCCGGCGGATAGTGTAATGCCTGAGGATTCGGCAGATAGTGGGGTTGCCTGGACTGGGCTGTTCTTTGATAGTGCAAGATCCGCTGTTGGAGATGCCTGGGGGAGTGTTAGAGGCTTGGTTAGTGGAAGACAGACAGACTACGGCTATAGCCAGCTTCCTGTTGAGATGAGCAGTCATTCTGCGGTTTAAAGGCGATATATCGTATCCGAGTCGGACCATGATAGTATTCTCATTGGAGCCTCTCTTTGCACTTCCGCTTGCTCTTGATATAGTTATTATCTAAACACTCATCTTGATTTCGACACTCGTTAGCTTGTATTATCATTTTACTTCTTGTTTTATCAGTGCAATGCAATCCTATCAGTTGTGTAGACCTTCGTACTGAAGAATTCACCGAACCGGGCCGTACGTACCATTCCTCCTCTCGACATGTTTCCAACCCGTCTACTCCGTTCATCCACCGTCAATGCAAACGAAATCGCACATTTCTCGAGACTTTCCGCAGAATGGTGGAACGAACGTGGAGAATTCACGTTCTTGCATAAGATGAATCCTGTCAGAATGCAATTCATACGCGAAAAACTCATAGAAACTGCTTACGACGAACAGCCAGAGGAAGCAGTCGACGCCAAAAAAGTCGAAGTTCTGGCAGGGCTTGATGTGTTGGATGTAGGGTGTGGAGGTGGTCTGTTGTCTGAAGTGAGAATCAACCTGTTTTGTCTGTTACTTTTGAAGCTGATTTGTTCGTAGAGCCTGGCTCGCCTTGGTGCTCGAACTACTGGAATAGACGCGTCAGAATCTAATATAGCCATTGCTCAGCACCATGCATCGCTAGACCCACGGCTGGGTTCAAATCTGACCTATAAACACGCTCCGGCAGAATCCTTGTTACCACAATCTAAACGATACGACGTCGTTTGCTCAATGGAGGTCCTTGAACACGTAGATAATCCTGCAATGTTTCTCAAAACTTGCGCAGAGCTGGTAAAAGTGCGTGTTTTGGGTGAACTCTGCAGGAAGTTGCCTTAATCAAACTGCTTATAGCCTTCAGGACACCTATTCCTTTCGACAATTTCTCGCACACCACTATCTTACTTCCTAACAATATTCATGGCTGAAAAGGTCCTTCGTCAAATTTCTGGTGGTACGCACACGTATTCCAAATATATCAAACCCTCAGAACTACTCGAATTCTTCCAATCTTATTCCTCGCATATGCATTGCACTGCGGAGGAACAGAGAGCTCGGAATGACTCCCGGCCATGGATAACTCGCCTTTATAATGGTGAGCCTACGAGAAGAGAGGCTGAAATCCGAGGGATGATATACAATCCTCTTTCTGCGAGTTGGATACTGGCTCCAAGGGGTGCATGGGGTGCAGCAGAGTGTAATTATCTTTTCTGGATTCGCAAACCTGATCTAGATATGTTGTGAATCGTGATTCATGATAACATCAAGTACTAAAACATCGCTTATTGGTGTCAAAGCTGTGGTTATATGTCCAAAAAAGTAGCATTTCTAATTTGAATACAAAACTTACTCCTCTTTCTCTGTAAATTTCTTCGTATATGAGACGAGCCGGATTTAAACCAAAACTGATATCAACATACCATGTACGTTTTTCTCTGGGAAGAATCTGAAAGGCACAAGAGGCGTCGGCACGGAAATCGGCAGTCATCCGATGTTTTTGATGAGTAATTTCGGCATCTTTGCATGAGACCACTGCTATTCGTTCCCCAACATAAAGGCTCAAGTTTCTCTCAACACTCCCCTCACTTCTCCTTCCGGAGATACAAACAAACTGGTCCAAGTGCCAGTGACAAGCTGCTCACTGATGCTGCCAGGGAAGAAGCAGAGGGAACAAGTATACGACCAAAATCAGCTTATCTGCAGTCCTTGGAGCAGAAGCATGAGAACTGGGATGGAGAAGAAAGCGTACAGGACGCTGTGCTCAGGATGCTGGTAGACAAATACAAACCACTGAGAAGTGGAACTATCGCTACTGCTGAGCAGAAGCTCAAACAAACTCCTCCAAAGATAACTTCTTTCACGACACCATCATCTGGCTCTTGGGCAACGGAATCTCTGCTTCCATCATCGGATGCACATAGACCATGGCATACGGAATTCAAAGTTCCTTCTCATGCGGTTTCTTCCGTCAAGTTTGCAAACATTCCTCCTCCGCCCCCTGTTCGTCTTACCTCTACTCCGAAAGACGAAAAGGCAAAAAAGAAAGAGCGAGCACTCCTCAAGCGGACTGAGCAGGCTGGGAGACTTGGCAGAGCCAGAGAATCTACATTAGATTATCGTCTCGGGCTTAAGAATACTCAAACCAGGAGTGATGGTCCTCAGCTGCCAACAGGAGGAAGACCGAATCCTGTAGGTATGAGAGGTTGGACAAGCTTAATCGAAGATAAGATCGAGGTACCTGCTCGTTTACTCCAATTGTACGACGCTTTAACGCTATCGATCAGAAAGCTCGCAGTGCTGGTGTGTTCAATCATATCAAGGGCCGTGGTCAGCCTCTCGTGCAAACAACGGAGGAAAAGAACCCTTTCATTGGTCGAGAACAGTTTCTAATGAATCGCATCATTCAGAGAAACGGCGCTGCTCCTCCTTGGGTGGAATTGCAGGGCGGTAAGTGGTCATTCTCTCTCTCTCTCTACTCGTTCTCAGGTACCTATCAAACACTACATCTAGAACTCGACACTGCTGTTTCTGCCTTCCGAGACCTACTCCGTCAATCATACATACGTCGCGTCGTCCGAACGCTCACAGCTATACATCCCCCAGCCATCCTCGCCACCCGATTGTCCGTCAAAGACATCAAAGCGCACCGCGATCCCGAATGGGAAGAAACTGAACGCACATATCACGACGTCGCTATCGACGAGATCAACGCTCTTGTGCGCAAATACAACGGTGTTGCCCCGTACGCCGTACGAAGAGCGTATTATATGCGTAATGTGGAAGTTGGTAGGCTCTATGATGAATGCGCTGAGGACGTGTTGAAAGGATTGAAGGAGAGGGTAGGAGGTTCACCATCAACGGGGAATATGCGGAAGGTACCGGAAATTAGTAAAAGAGGGTCTGACTTCGTGGAAGGACAGGAATTAGATGAGGGATTCGTGAGCTTTAGGAACTTGTTACTGAGTTGGGCTGATAAACTCCTGGAGAGATGGGGTCGGAAAACATAGTAGCTGGTTGTGCTTCTGTTGTCTAGAGGGAGCATGTACATATTGCATATTCTGTGTCAAGCCCTGCTCATATGTATCTTACAGACATACGAGACTGTAGACCCAGCACGTTCATTTCAACGACTATACTCAACATCGCCGACAAATCAACGTCATCTTCCCAATATAATCAATAGTCAGTATAACAACTGCTAGAATGGAGGAGGAACAAAAAAAGATCGGTCATAGCAGTGAAGCTCTTGAAGCAATTCGAGCCTATTGTAGCCTCGGAACAACAGTATAGATTTGTAGGTAGTAAGTTAGCTGGGATCCTGTCCCGTACATCTGTGAATAGATGTAGTCCTGAAATGATGTCAATTGTAAACCTGTATGGCGACGTCGCGTGTGATGGCGGCCTCAACAACAGTCCGCCTGCTCACTCCACACTATCGCGGTTTGCATCGATTGCATGGGGCCGAAATGGCATTGAAGGTTGATCAGACTCGGGAGGGCGCCCCAGGTTTGTGGTTGTGGATTCTAGCTCCATTCGAATATACTCCGCAATTGTACACACATATCCAAGTGAGTATGTATCGACGCTCTGGATCGGAGAAAGATATCGATGTAATCGACTTCTTTGACTAACTGAAGCATAGTCGTCATTGATCAGTGCTCCAATCCCCATCATTGTCTGAGGCTACCGCACTTCCTGAATATCCTTCTGCATGTTTCATTGCATTCCAGGCATCCTCCAAATATTGTGCCTCATGACGCTGATCATACTTCAATGTTGGTAACCGAGTGGCTACAGAAGGGTCATTGAGATGTTAGGATTTGATTCAGGTAGAAGTTCAATAGTAAGACGTAGCTTACCGTCCTCATTGAGTAGCGCAGCATACAGTGTTTCTCCACTAGGTTGACGCCTAGATTAATCTCAATTCAGTGGGGATCAGATTGGAATTAGGAGGGGAAAACACCCCATACATTATAACGACATCATATGCATCCATCGTCTCTTTATGCTGGCGCAAAGTTCCAGGAAGTTTGGAAGACTTCTTCAACTTCTCCAACTTCGCTTGTATTTCCATGTTTGTCGATATTATCTGTATGTATCAGCCTGAACGACTGTGATATACAGATAAAACAAATCATACTGACTTGATTAGCATCCGACTGTGGGTAAGTTCTCAGGTCCAACAGCCTAATGCAGGAACAAGAATCAAGTCATGACCGAAAGAGATTTGGCAGAACTAGTATGATTACTTTTCTCTTTGGGGTGCGAGCCAATACTCTGTAAAGACGAAAAAAAAACTTAAATTCAATATGACGCATTCAACTCAAAACCTAAGACTTACTTGTCACTCTGTACTTTTTTCTACATTGAGGTCGAAACACGCCTGGGCGATCAGGGTCCAATTCCAGATACCATGCAGCTATGAGTTGTATGCAACGGTGAGCATTTATTCCAGAAGATAGGTGCATTCCTTTTTTTTTTTTTTGCAAACTTACATTTATAGAGGTAACCAGGCTTGAGCGTTGCGTCTTGGAAAGGTACCAATGATCCACAGTCGAAGAAATAAACGGGAATGGGTTCAATCGCGTTAGACTGCGAGTTGACTTTTTTGCTTTTTTTGTCGCTTTTATCTCTGACCTTTGATTGGCCTTCGCCTCGGATAGCGAGTGGATGTGGATCGTTGCAACCTTCTAACAACGCAGCATGCGAAGGGTTCTAGGAACGAATGGATCGGTCAGAAAAGAATTGCAACCGTGACTTCGAGTAATAACGGTCTTTTACATTGTCCCCGTCGACCATCCTCCCAATCAGTGTCTCGTTCAAGGACAAAGGAGCAGCCCGGACAGTCGATATAGCCAAAGGTGACCACAGATTTAGCATTATTACGAAAGAGCAAAGAAAATCAGAGAGTAACATTTTCAATGACGGGAATTTTTTTCGAATCGAATGGCACTTGATGTGAACTGAGAATGTCCTTAATGTAGTGTTTCAGGTGAGAGAGAGTACACATAACTCACAAAAGGTGACGATGTGAAGTGAAAGAGCGAACCAGCGCGTGAGGGGAATAATCAACATCGCGGCTGGTCTTATATACGAAAAAAATTGGCCAGGGTTGAGGTTTCCTTGACAATGAATCGCAGCATTGCTTAAAGGCTCTTAAACCATGGGGGTGTCTCCACTTGTAGGGATGATGCGTCGGCCTTGGAGGAGATGATCGCTGAGACTTAGGCTAACTCGGTAATCTGCCGAAGTCCTGTAGGCTATCGCACAGTATATTTGCAAGATCTGGGACCTAAAACTACGTTGTTGCATCTAGAAGTGATTATTTTTTTTGACGATGATGAAGACAGAAAAGGTTACAGCGACGGCGGAAGCACTTGCACTGTGTGTAAAATATGGGTTGAGTCACTACTGGATGGGGTACTGAAAGGTACGCGAGCACAGGTTTACAGAGGTTAACCTTGACACCGAAAAGAATGGGACGAACAGTCATGAACCATCAAAAGAGGATCGACGAGAAGACTGGGCTGAGGCCCCAGGGCTCGGAGCTCAAGGAATCGGAGAGAGAAATGGCACATACTAGTAGAATGCTGCAGGCACGCCCAAATAGCTGGAGTGGAAAGGCTGTACAACGAGGTACATCGGATCTTGGAACAAAAAATCCCCAGTGCCTGCCAGGATCACCATTACACGACGCAACTAAGCGCAACTGTACCGTATGTATCTGTATGTATGGTGGAGATGTGAGTTCTCCATTTCGTTTCACTTGATAGTAGGCTAAGGAGCAGGAGCGGTCATCCTCATTAACCCTTCACTGGTCTCCTTGAACATGTCCTTATGATAATATTCCGGAGGACGAAAACGAGTCGAAAACGGTCCTTCTCACCTTCAAGCGCCTTGGCCCTTTACTTAACTTTAGGCGCTTGCTGATCTTGCTATCTTATCGATTTCCTTTTACACAACGATGTCAGTCTTTCCAGATGGGACGGCACCTGTAAAGGCAGAGTAAGTAAGTGAAGACCTCTTTCAATTTTTTTCATTCCTAAACATGATACATTTCCAGATATCTAATCTCCGTCGATCCACTTCCTGTTCCCGACGACGACGCTGCCGAGGGCGGCCAGGGCTCTCGTTCTCGCAACGGACGTGATACCACTGAAGCCAACGACGGTGGAGGCAGAAACAATAAAAAAAGAAGCAAAGAAGAAAAAAAAGCTCGTCAAGGCCAAAACAAAAACCGACGTTTCGCAAAAGTACGCGACGAGCAGGATATTTGCTTTAAAGTTGCCGCTGGGATTTTATGTGAATTTGGTGCAGATTGCAAGTATAACCATGATTTGCAGGCTTATCTCGCTGCAAAGCCGCCTGATTTACGGTTGCCGACTGTGGATAGGTTACTGGATGCTGGCGTGGAGGATGCAGCTGATTCGCAACCAACACTATGTCCAATCTTTGAAGAATTTGGCGAATGTAAATATGGATTCAAATGTCGATATCTCTCCGCCCATATCCAAAAATCGTCTTCCGAAAATGGAGGGACCGAATCCCTCTCTCTTGTCGTCGATGAAGAAAAGAAGGCATGCGCCGCGATCAGTGCAAAGGAAGTCAACTATATCGGTGGGGAGACTCAGAAACTGCTTCGGACTAAGAAATATCCTTTCCCGGTGACCGATGCGTACTTGCTGGAGCTGCAAGAAGCGGGTAAGAGGGAGCAGGAGATTGAGAAGGAGAGGAAACGGGTAAAAGAGGAGGAGACAGAAAAGGCAGAGGCGGGAGATGACACGGTTGTCGTAGCAGAGCCAGAACAATCCCTAGACAGTGCGGCTAAAGTACAAGAACGCACTGCTATGGATGTCACCTCTGCTCCTCAAGCCGACCTTGACACACCCGATGTTCCCATGAGGTTTTCGGAAAAAAACAGATTAGATTGGAAGGGAAAGACGTGTGAGTTATAAACTTCAGCCTTCTGTCCCTCTTCTGAATTCCTGAATTGACTTTTCTTTACTGTCTAGATCTCGCTCCGTTAACTACCGTCGGTAACCTGGTACGTTAACCTGATTCTTTCTTTCATGAAATTATTCACTCGTCATCTTCAACTTCAACTTCAGCCTTTCCGCCGTCTGTGCATATCTTACGGTGTTGATATAACCTGTGGTGAAAGTACGTCCATTGTCTTCCCCCCCATCTCTCGCCTACTCGTTCATTCAATTCTAATTCTTTCGTACATTCATTTTCACACTCCAATAGTGGGCCTCTCAACCTCCTTCCTCTCCGGCTCCAAAGAAGAATGGTCTCTCGTCAGACGGCATCCCTCCGAACGCACGTTTGGTGTGCAAATTGCCGGGAATAAACCGAATACATTGGTCCCTACGGCGGAAGTGCTTGCAAGGGAATGTGGATCCCAAGGAGGCATTGATTTCGTTGATGTGAATTGCGGATGTCCTATCGATTTGGTGTTCAAGACAGGGAGTGGGAGTGCTCGTGAGTTGCCGGTTACTACTACACTTTGATATCACCTTTCTTTCCTTCCTTCATTGAACCGCTTACTGATGCGATCGTTTCTTTGACCTCCTACAGTTCTTGACGCACCAGGCAAACTTGGCAAAGCGCTTATCGGAATGAACAAAGCCCTTGGTTCAATCCCTGTCACACTCAAACTCCGTACGGGCGTGAAAGACGGACGGAATACGGCGGAAAAACTCATGACTAGAGCTGTCGGTGGCGGTGGCGAGAGCGGTTGGGGAGTTGGATGTATAACAGTGAGTTTTGTGTCTTTCTATCGATCAACCGGTGATCAACACACTGTAGTTGCACGGTCGTACGCGACAACAAAGATACACAAAACTTGCGGATTGGGAGTACATCAGACAGTGCGTGGATGCTGTCAGGGCAAGAGAGGCGGATGAAGATCGTGAGTTCTACAGTTCTTGTCCCTTCAGTCGCTCTTCAGATCCTTCGCTCCCTGATCGCTAATTCACTCCAAACTTCTTTAAATTAGTTCCCCCAATACCCATCTTTGGCAACGGTGATTGTTTTTCCTCGCATGACTATCATTCCGCTGTCGAGCGGTACCACGTGGATGGGGTTATGGTTGGACGGGGAGCCCTGATCAAGCCTTGGATCTTTACGGAGATCAAGGAACGGAGGGAGTGGGATATTAGCAGTCGGGAGAGGTTAGAGGGTATTAGGAGGTTGGCGGAGTTTGGTTTGAGGTAAGTGAAGCCTTTTCCTTTTTTTCGTCTCTCTCTCTCTTTGCCGTTTTCCTTTCGTTTCTTATCCCATCCTCATCCCATACTATACTATCACAGTCACTTTGGTTCTGACACATCCGGAATCAACACCACCCGTCGATATCTCTGCGAAGCTCTATCCTTCCAATATCGGTACGTGCCTATCGGCCTGTTGGAGGTGTTGCCCGCGAAAATCAACGATAGAGCACCGCGGTTTAGAGGGAGAGATGAGTTGGGTGAGTTTTTCCATTGATTTTTGAATCCGTGTCGTTACTCATTGATTATCAAAGAGAACCTTCTCGCGAGCCCCAACAGTGCCGACTGGGTTAAACTTTCGGAGATGTTTCTCGGTCCTGCACCGGAGGCGTTCGTTTTTGTACCAAAACATAAGAGTAATGCATATGAGAGTCAAGGGTGAATGGGGTCAAATATGCTAACAGCTATGCCAGTATTGAGGTTATGTTTACTAAACATGTACAGCACTCTTGACTATAATGGATCATATGGATCATATTTGTTCGCCCGCCTTCTAGCGTCAAACCTTATCTTCCCGTCGTACTAATGACCACGCTTGACCGTTACCACCACAATCATGGCGAAAGGCAAAGGTAAGCGCAAAGGCCAGGGCAAGGCGAAAAACTCCCATCCGAGCAATCTCATAAAACCCCACTTCCCACCCAATGTGAAACATTGGACGAAGACGAAATCACACGTTGTGGTTTGCCTGTCGAAGATGGAAATATTAGATGCAAAGTCCATCAGACACAATATCGAAAAATGTATATCAAGTACAAGGAAGCAAGCAAGTTCGTGGACGAGACAAAATCAGGGAGGGAGATGCCCACCAAGGAACTGATTGCAGGCTATACAGACGTGGCATCGATTTTGGAGAAAGCTCGGTGGATGCGTAAATATCTCGAGGCTATCCGAATCGAGAGAACTGGGCGCGGGCGGTTTTGCGCTAAAGGCGAGTAATTTTTACTTTCTCGTATCCACAGTTTTTCTAAAAACGAATCAGGTGACGATGGGCATAAAACTCGTCTCAAGTTGCTCGAAAAGCAGATGGTCCAAGCAATAGAGATCTTAAACCACACGGTCAACAACCCTGCCCGGGAATGGGCCAAGAGCTTCCAGACAACACCTCTTATTCCTACTTCCTCTGACCTTCTTGCGATCAAAAGTATCACAAACTCCATTGAACCAACGCCACAAAACGAGCAGCAGAGAGAATCCGTGCCTAAGGCTGGCATCAATACCGTTGATGCGAATTTGATTGATATGGAACTACGAGCGTAAAATATATCTATACTATGAAGAGTTGAGCGTAGTAGACCAACACTTACCTTCCTTGCCAGGATAAAGGCTCGACTTTTGTATGTCCTTGAGCCTTTGATCAGGAAGTCATGCTCCGAATCGTCAGCGAAAGTTTGGGTCAAGAACTGAATGACAACAAAAAGTCAAAGTCTACCAGGATATCATACCCGGGCCCAATATCTTCGTCGTATTGTGCTGCATGAACCTGTACTGTCACTGAAAGCCACCAACAAAGTATCGTTTAAAGATCTTAACTTGGATGAAGAATTCAGACCAGAGGATGTTGAACGGATTGGAGTTCTTTTAGGCAAACAGATGCAAATTGGGTTGTTGTGGTGGAAAGACTCTCTCATCGAAGGCTGAAGCAATGTCGATTATTCGTAACAAGCTCAAAGGTACAGCAGTGAATGTTGGAGAGTAAGTTTCATTGACTCTACTGTCCATGATGTGCGACATTGATTCCAATTCTGCACGTAGAAAATAGATTCAAGATCTTGGGTGGATGGGTATTCAATACTCCCCATTCAGGATGAAATGTGGGGCTATGTGGGGTGTAAGATAGGATTAGGCGACAACTTGGGATTTTAACTTATGCTTTAGATTTCTAGACCCTGCTCGAATCTTTTCCTGGAAAAATGCCTGCCAATATCGAGAACCGGTTTGTCCGCCTATGTAATAGTTACGACGACATGATTTCCTATTTATCTTTCGGAGCTCCGGGATTGTTTCCTCCTCCCGCATTCTGTGCCCGGGTCGACAAAGGACGTGAACTTGAAGATTTGGCACCCTGAAATTATCTTTCGCTCTCCGGGGTTGTCATTGCAGATATGATCACTGGTGAACCACAAACCATTCCCATACCTGGGCCAGTGCTGACCTCGAAACCTGGTCGGCTCCCCTAGGTCTATCATTTGGGTTTAAATGGAAAAAAGAGAATATCTTTTTGGAGCTCTCCGAAATGATCCAGATGCCTTTACTGACGCCTTCATATCTGGGATAAGGGAAAGACCCAATCTATTCCAGGTAGTTCTCCATTCAGACACCGATCCTGGACAGCGGTTCGAATGCTTTGGATCAGGAAATGAAGCCTTGCCCGCAATCCAGATGAGGACCTTCGAAGCCCTGCCTCCCTCCATCAACAACCACCCTCTAGGAGCTGGTAAATGGCAAGTGCAGAGTGTTAGACTCTGTATCCGCCCGGCGTACGCACAGTCCATAGGGACAGTATATTTGCCTCCATTCATAGCATTACATATACACTGTACAGTTTATCAGCCACATGCAGGCGACGGACGCGGGCTCCCTCAGTTGTTTCCTATCCAACTGAGGTGAGCCCAGTGGCTGTCTATCCATGTAATACATACTCACAGTACATATAGTATTTACCTCTTAACAGGTATCTAATACAGTTGTTTCCTATCCAACTGAGTATTTACCTCTTAAAACAGAGATCAGCAATGGACCTCCTGTTTGGGACGAAACAGGGAATCTGAGGTTATCTCACAAGTTTGACCCGCCCTGACAGCTCTGGGTAGTTCTTCCACTTCAAAAAGGTGCTAGTGAAATATTTTGTCATCTTGGATACAGTTCCACATAGACACCATTCGATTCTAGCGAGAGAGGTTGCATGGGTTGCTCTTTGTGTTCAAGGGTTTGGAGAGAATACAGTGACTCCAAATATCCACGAGCTTCAAACCGATTGTTTGAAAAGTGTGCGGAGGAACGATTCAGTTGGAAGCCAAGAAATAGCTGTAGTATAAATAAAATGAAAGAGGATTGAGGTTAGCCCAAATGTACTTATAATGTCTAGTAGTGGAAGTGAATTTGGATACTGTGGAGGACCGAAACCAAGATATAATCAGTAGCTTGTGCGAATGACAACAGTGAAGTACATACGTCGGTGATACAAAATTATCTGAATACGACAACCCTAGAGGAAGTAAATATCTGTAAATATTGACAGTGAACAAAATGTATGTATGTAACTGAAGAAACAGTATAAACAATTGTCCGATCCTTGATCTTGAATCCCGCTCCTAATCTCGACATAATAGTACATAAAAATCATTCAGAGGCCGTGCACTCATTAATCGCAATGAACCTCATTCGCATTTGACCCCATCACCCAATATCAAACAAAACTCAAGAAGCCCCCCAAGCAGAAGTCATCCCCCTCGCGCGCGCAGACCTTGGCACACCCTTATTCGCCTCTGTGTTCCTCATCGTCGTCGAATCCACACTACTCGCACTCGACCCTGTAGGCTTTCTTCCTTTTCGCAATGCCGCTGCCGGGCCAGGAACGGGATTCGGAACGGGAAGAGGCTGAGACATGGTTATTGGTGTAGTTCCAGCGTGTAAACTCGCTCTCCGGTTCGTGTTGGGCGTGCCAGGACCATTGATGGAGGCACCGTAGCCCCATCCACCAGGTGTGCCTAGGCCCCAGGCTGATGCTGAAGGGCTGGAAGGTTGTTGGGGTAAATTGTTGCCTCCCATGGATAACGACGGCGTCCCGATGCTAGGTATTGGCATGGTTATTGCAGGAGCTGTGATATTTGATGATGGCTCAGGCATGGGTATCGTTGGAGGTATCATCCTTGATGTCCCACCGCTCGGAGTGAGCTCAAACTCGTGGATATCAAATGATGGTACAGATGGTTCTGGCATAGAAATTCCTGAGGAACCACCCGCCCCAGCAGTGTCGTACTCAGGCACCTCAGGCTCTGGCATTGAGATACCCCCTTTCTTCTTCTGTTTCTTCTTCTGGGCTTTTGTCAGGGTTTTCGCATTGGGAACACTAGGCTCTGGCATGGACATTGCTGGAGCCGTCATTCTTGAACTTCCTTCAACAGGTGTCGTAGTTGAGTTGGCTTGTGGAACTACTTGGGGAATAGTTGGTTCAGGCATCGATACAGCCGGAACGGTTATCCTCGAAACCGATGCTGCTGCTGGAGAACTACCGTTGACACCGAATTGGGGCACGGAAGGTTCAGGCATGGAAACGTTTCCCGCATTGCGAGGAGTTGCAGAGCCAAATTGAGGGACTGTAGCATCCGGCATCGAGACTACACCCGGGGTCGTTCTCGAACCAGTATCCCCTCCTCCAGGGGTGGGGTGTCCTTGTGATCCTCCAGAAGGTCCATATGGGGGCAGTGTGGGCTCGGGCATCGAAACCGCGGCGGGAGTGACTCGAGAGCCTGAGGAAACTCCACCTGGTGTGAAAGAACCCGGCATAAAAGGTTCCACAGAAGAAGATCCCACTGAGGGTTCTGGCATTGATATTGCCGGCGCAGTCATCCTCGAATTACCTCCAGCGGGAGTTTGATGTACGTGCGAATTGTAGGCGCTAGAAGCGGATGGTTCAGGCATTGGGAGAAGTGGAGCAGTCATCCGGGACGTTCCACCTGGGGTACTAGTACTAGAAACAGCAGTAGGGCCTACGGAAGGCTCCGGCATAGCGAGTACTGGAACGGTCATCCTAGAAGCTCCTCCGGCTGGGGTGCCAGTAATTGTGGACCCAACAGAGGGTTCTGGCATTGACATTGCGGGTGCAGTCATCCTCGATGCTGCCCCGGCAGTTTGATGTGTACGAGCATGCTCCAAGACAGAGGGCTCTGGCATGGATACTGCTGCGGGAGTCATCCTCGAAGTACCACTTCCACCACCTGGAGTATGGTTCGGAAGCCCGGGCTCCGGCATCAACATAGCAGCAGGAGCCATCCTCGAAGTACTACTTCCACCACCTGGAGTGCGGTTCTGGACCCCAGGTTCCGGCATTAATATAGCAGCAGGAGTCATCCTCGATAAACCCCCATTAATATCACCCGGAATACGGGTTGAAACCCCAGGTTCCGGCATTGACATAGCAGCGGGAGCCACTCTCGATGTCCCTCCATTCCGACCACCTGGAGTTTGGTTCTGATTTTGATATCCCGTGGCCCCATACGCAGTAGCTCCATGCCGGGGTATATCCGGCTCAGGCATCGATACAGCTGCAGCAGTCATTCTGGACCCCGCAGCACGAGGAGTTTGATACACACTCGGAGGATACTCAGCTACAGAGGTCACAGGCGCAGTGGGTATGGAAGTTAGAGTGGGTTCTGGCATGGACATGGCAGCTGGAGTCATCCTTGAAACATCTCCTCCACCACGCCCTCGAGGATTACTGGTACTAGTGTTACTGTATTGAGGCACACCAGGCTCTGGCATCGATACCGCAGCTGGTGTAATCCGAGAAGGTTCAACCGGATAATTTTGGGAGGCGGGATATTGAGGTACAGAAGGCTCTGGCATCATCGCTGCCCCCGAGATAGACCCCTTGGTCCGCCTCAGAGATCGTCGGCTACCGAGATTGGTATTCTGTTGTCCGTCAGCAAAACCTGTAGAGGGATACGAGGAATAGGACGTCACTGCGGGTACTGTGGGTTCAGGCATGTATGCAACCCCAGGGACCATTCTTGTTGTATTCGACGTACCGCCTGCGGAAGAAGAATACCTTGCAGCAGCAGCATCGTATTGATATTGGGGCACAGAAGGCTCCGGCATTGGAGTTACACCATATTGGGGTACGGAGGGCTCAGGCATTGGTACGTTTGATGCTGCCATTCTAGAGCTGGCTCCATTGAAAGCAACACCAACAGCAGCAGCGGGTACAGTACCGTACTGAGGTAGGCTTCTTTTCGAATGCTGAGCATTCGGATTCCCCGAAATTCCTGGCATGGCGTATATACCGCCTAAAGTATGACCTCCTTGGTTCCCTTGACCCATATTAGTTGCATACATAGTGGCTCTCGGTGTATCTCTTGCGCTTTCTCCACTGGAATTAGTACCGTATCCGTATCCACCCTCGCTCATCATCGTCGGCGGGAATGTAGATGTGAGCCCCCTGTCCCTAGTTCTACTAGAAACATCGCTACGGGCATCACTGCGTTTACTCCGTGCGTACTTGCTCGGTCTACCCAGTTCAGTGCCAGAGCTCGAACCTGTAGTTGAGCTTGAACGAGAGGAGCCTGATGAACTCGACCTGCTGTAATTATCGTCATAAGCGCGACCACGAACAGCGCCTGGAGCACCGTAAAGGGGATACTGCGTGTCCTGACGACGAGTATCTCGATGGCTACTCGAATTGCCGTTGGCGTAGAATCCAACAGGTATCCCACCAGTCACCCCACCATTCACGAAGCCGGTACTAGCAACAGCACCACGACCTGACCCGTCTCTTTGTAACGAAATGATATGTGTTCCATTAGGGGTAGGAACAAATCCTGGAGGAAGAGAGTCGACGATGGGAACGGGGTACATCGATGATGATGATGATTCGGAAAAGTCTCTGGGATTAGGCATGCGGTTGGAGGGATAGGAAGAATTGTCGAAGTCATCATCATAATCTTCTTCGTCCTCCTCTTTGATGGTCGGAATGACTGGACCGTCTCCGACGTCACCGTCTTCAGCGCTTAGAGTGAGCGGGGCGTGGTGGGGGCTAAGGAAAGCATCATCTTGGGGGTTTTCCGTATAGCCATAGCTACGGTTGCGGGGGTCAAGTGGAGTAGGAGAGGTAGGATGCGACTATTGTGCAAAGAAATCAGAGAAGTGCACGGCTGTTCGAGGAAAAGATGTTCACATACCGGAGGCACGATATCGATACGAATACTCCTCGAACTCGTGCTTCCAGAAGAAAGCTGCCTTTCTAGACCCAAATCCAATGACGGCGGTGGTGCTCTTCGTTTTCTGGAATTGGAAATATTGGAATTCGAAGACGGTGGTCGGAGTAAGTCGGAGTCGTTTGCAGCTCCTGGACTGAGGGTACCAAGGGAATATGGTTGCTAACAAAAAGTCATTAAAAAATGAACCACAGCTCAAAAGATAAACTCACCCCCCCCAAACTCATTCTCCATTGTTCGACATTCCTCGAACGGTCCGGGGTCATTCCTTCAGCATCTCTAGTATCACCAAAGTCCTCCTCACCACCAAACGCAGTTCCTTCCCTAGAATGTTCATGAATAGTGCTTAAATCTGGGTCGAAACCACCTCCGCCAAGTCGAGATGGACCTGCAGAGCCTGATGAGCTTGCTCTAGACGGCGGAGCAGGAAATCCATGCAGGAAATCCAGGCCTTTTAATGATGAGTTCTCATTTGTCATCGTCGAAGGTGTTTGTACATCGCGTTCTTCTTCGGCGGGAGTGACGACGACTCGGATTGCAGGAGCAGGTGGGGCGGGCATTGGGAAATAGACTGGCTGAACAGGAGGAGGTTGAGGAACCGGCTCGGAAGGTGCGTATTGGAATTGGGGTTGTTGCTGGAAAGATGAAGGAGGGAAAATACCGGGAGCGAATGGGACTTGGGAGATGGGTGGTGGGATGGGTATTGGCGATATTTCGACTTGTGGTCGAGGAAATTGTTGTGGGGTTTGTGGGATTTGAGGAGAGAAAGGCTCTGATTTGATACTTTGTTCCTCCTGTTCGGGTGGGGAAATCACGGGAGGTAGTGGGGGAGGTGGTGATTCCTGAACAAATATTTGAGGAGGCGGCGAAGGGGCTCGCAGAATTTGCTGTTGTTGTTGGTTCAAAGAATGCCTAGAGAGCGGGGATGCAGGAGAGGAAGTAGTGCGTGACCTGGTTCGTTCGCTTTGGAACAATGAAGGATCAGTTTGTATAGAGCGTGCTCTACGAATAATAATAGTTTGGGACTCAGATTCTGAGGGAGGAGGTGGTGCTCGGGAGGGCTCCGAAGGGGGTGGAGGGATAGGCTCAGAGAAAGGTGTGGCTGGCTCTGAAGCTCGTGGACGTGTAGAAGAAGAATTGACACGCTCTCGAGTCGACTCACTTTTCTTTGAACGAGAAACACGGCTACGAGACTTGCCCCTTCGTCGCTGTTGACGTTGAGTCCGGTGATTATCCGACTCGTCGTCGTATTCCTCGATATATGCAGCCCCATCCCCAACCAGTCTCCGGCTTTCATAAGGATCTCCCGCGGAAATAGCCGCAGCAATGACCAAACGCCCTCTTTTCAAGCCCTCCCCAAACCCTTCTTTTCTCCCATCCTCTTTCGCTTTCAGAATTCTACCTTCCCCTCTCCATTTTATAGCCAAACTTCTCGCTCGTTCAGCCTCCTTCTCAGCTTCTGTTCGCATTCGTTCCTCAGCTTTTGCCCTATCTCTTTCCCTCCTAACTTCATCATCTCTAAGCCTAAGCTGCAATTTATACGCCTCAGCTTCTCTATGCGCCCGTGCAGCAGCTTCATGTGCACGGACAGCGTTTTCTGTGAGCTGGGTATGCGATAGAATCGCTGATGTTTCGCGAGCACGAATTTGGGCTTCGGCTTTAGCTGCACGAGCGGAAGCTGCATCTAGCTGAGAGAGTGCGGCGTGAAGTAATGCTTGTGTTTCTTTAGTGGTGGATTCTTGCGCTCGGAGTAATTTCATCAAGGTCGCTGGTGGTGTCGAGGAGAAGGAGTGGCTGCGATTTCGATGTTTGGTAGGGGCTGGAGTAATATTAATTTTAGCTAGGGGCAGGTGGGAAAGGTGTTTAGTTCTGGGGCTCTTGATTCTGTCCTTCTCAGGTAGTGGCGGAGGAGCGCCCTTCACAGGAAATTCCAACGTTCCGTTCACTCCTCTATTCCCACTGAAGCCATATAGTTTCTTCGCCTTCTCAAGACTGTAAAGATAAAAAATATCGTTCAGCCAACGCAAGTCACAAAACAAGGCAAATTAGACGCACTCAATGCCCGAGTCTGACGCTGAGCTTGCAGACGACATCACTGTTCAGCCGTATGTATGCACTCTACTGAAATGGCGTGCGGCCGTGAAAGGCAAGGGAGGAAAAGTTTACACGGTGTACCGGGTTACAATTCGGTTGTATCAACAATCCAACAATCAGGAGACTAAAAAAAGGATCTGTGGGAGCTGAAGGGTATGAGACCAAATGAACAGCAAAGGATATAAGAAGTATAAAGCTTACTGAGAACCTGTCAGGCCAGAAACCAAGTATCCTTGTAGGCTGCCACTGTATCAATCTAAAGGAATGAACGGAGGTAAAGACAAAAAACAAAAGGAGTTAAAATGGGCGTTAATTTCCCTGGCGCTCGATCGCGTTTGTGACGCACCGGTGACATTGCGACACACAATGGCGTGACGCCTTATCCGGCGCGGTAACAGGCAGTTCGGCTTGTCGAAATTCAGACTTTCAGAGCTCGACGCACATCGTATTCTACCAACGCAAAAACAAATATTTGTATAAAGGTACCCCTCTATCCGAAGTAAGGTCGGCTCGCAGTCGATTGAAGTATACTTTGACTGCTTTCCATCACGACAAGCAATTTACAAGACGAGCGAACCCCTCTGAGCTCATTGCTTTCTTCTCTGACTCCTTTGTCGCCCTCCGCATCGGCATGTTCTGCATCTATCAAGGCCTCCCGATGTCTTTGGCTTTAGAGTGGTTACCCGTCTTGAAAGTTCACTTGTTCTGATTGACGACGAAATGTCCGCGTGAGTATGTTGCACAATCACCGTTTCAACGCGCAGCTTTCTGAGCAACAATCTCTATCGCTTCAAGAACCCTATCTAGCCCTTCCTCAGTCCAAAACTCTCTCTCATGTGGGGTCAATTTTCCCATAACAAAATTCGCCGCATCCGTACCACCTCGCTCTCCAATTCCAAGCCGAAAGCGGTAAAACCCTTGTTCGCCACCAAGGGAAGATATTATACTCTTGACCCCGTTGTGACCGTTCGCAGAACCGCCGAGCTTGACAGAAAGCTGCTCGACTCTGTGTGACATGGAGTCTTGTAGTACGATCATCGTGTTTGGAGATTTGACGGAGGTACGGTAAACTTCTGCGATAGATGGACCTGATATGTTCATGAAAGACTCTGCAGGCCAGCATAGTTGATGGTCAGTCAGTAGAGCTAGAAATGAAGAGTTAGGTGTAGTACTGACTGGACTTGTATAATATCAGTGATACAGGTGTATCTCCCAAGGTCACAATTCCTTGACCTATTATTCCTTTTCTGTCGGATGACATTCTAATGCCTAGACGTATAGCCATTGCATCAAGAACATATTGACCCAAGCTATAATTTTGTTCAACTATTATTGGCCGATACAAACTGACGAACGTGGGGGACAGAACACACCTGTGTCTTGTCAGGGGCATTGGTAGATTTCCAAGCGCCGCAATTAAAATTTGAGGTATAACAGTCATTATTACAATATTCTGGAAACGAGAATTGGTGGAGAATGCCTTGAAATGTTGCCTTGAAAGGTTTTATAGTGCGTCGGGAGCTGAGTGGTAAATGCGAGTCATTCTTTGTCAGGGTTATATCGCACAACAGTTTGCTCAGTTGCTGACTGGTTGCTGAGGAATGAAACTTTCAGCCTTCGGCGCTTATTCCCGGTGTTTTCGGCACGGAGAAAACGTGCTATTTCCATTCAAGGTATAGCCGCGGCTTCCCCAAAACTCCACAAAAATCAAATACACCCACTAGCTTCGCTTTGTACTGGTTTCGTTCTTTCTTTCTTTCTATCTCGTTATTTCCTATTTCTCTATTATATTTTCTTCTGGCATGTCGACAACCACTACTACCACCGCTATCGACACTGCTCCCGCCGAGACTAACATTATTCGTCTCCGTCGCAATGCCCGACGAAGGCTTTCCACTCCCTCACTGACCATACAGACACATCGTCTCCAGTTCTGTCACCCATTTCCACCATCCCTCGAAGCATTAGATCTATCTACATCTTCCTCACCAGCTCAAATTATTGCTTCTCTCCGATACCTGGTCCTTTCATACCTGGCAGAACTCGAACAACGACTGGCGCTCTTAGAATCTCCGAACCTAGAGAAGTGGCATACGAAAGGAGAGCTCACGATTGAAGAAGCTAGGCAATGGGCACGCGAGACTCTCGAGATGCTCGAGTCTCTCCGGGACGATGTTTGCTCCCATTTACCTGATATTCACCTTTCCGACATTACCGTCGACAACCTCAAATTGCACCTTCCTGACTTTCCAGATGTCCCAAGTATCAGCGACATGCGCGCTCATCTTCCTGACGTTCCCAGCATTAACGACATGCGTTCTCACCTCCCAGACCTCCCAGACTGCATTTCCGCTAAATTGGACAATGTCCGTACGAGATTTCATGATATAGATTTCCATACACCGTTAGACTATGTTCCGACATTGTCTGAACGTCTCAAATCACTACAATCGCATTTATCTATGATGGAATTGCCTATAGGACTCCCGGGTTCGCATTCTATGCTTGCGGATCTCGTCGACTCGCTGCTTTCATCTGAGCTAGTGACTGATTTCCTTCAATCTGCGACCCCGGAGGATGCTGTTTTCGAGAGAGCGGCAAGGGAAGTCACTCGAGCTGTCAAACGGTCGTTCGAAGGGGTGCATTTGATCAGCTATCACGACTTGCCTGAGCCTTGGCAAAATAACTCGTTTGTTACACAAGGTTATAGGTGTGCCTTCCATTTCATTATTTCATTAACTTTTAGTAACCATGAATGATCTTTTTTTCTTGCCCAGATTTATCCCTATTGAACGATGGCCTTTGATTATCATGTCTCTATTTGCATTCCACAATGAATTCTGTAAGATATCTGCTGTTATTGTAAATGGTTGACGCGACTGATTGACCTAATATCCTCAGTGAATATACACACTCACCTTATACCTGGCCTCTTATGGGCTATCAATTCTATACCCTTTGTTAATCCTTCTGGGGTCGAGGATCTCCCCGAGGCAATGTTCATGGCTTTCGCCGTCATTTGTCTGTTCAGTAGTGCTGTGTGGCACACGATGGCTGGATGTGCTCATTGTCCAAGCATGGAGTTCTGCGCCCGAGTAGACTACGTTGGGATCGGATGGTGAGTCGCATGGAACCGGCTTATTTATTCACATGGACAACTCGTTTCTAACATGATCAATTTCCATCTACATAGGTTAATCAGTGCAAGCGTTGGGACAGTTGTTCATTATGGATTCCAGTGCCACCCGGAGTTAGAAAAGATGTTCTTAGTTGGTTGTCTCTTGACTGGTCTGCTTGGAAATATCTGTCCATTCATGAAGTGGTTCAATGAAGTTCGCTACCGAGTTCGTATTTTCCTCGTTGTGTCTGATCATCATGGGCTGATCTTCAATGCGTACACAGGGATGGCGTATCGTGTTTTTCCTCTCCTTAGCGTTCTTCTCGCTAGCTCCTCTAGCTACCATGGCTATCCTATACTCTCCCAAAGCGATGGCTGCGTTCATTTGTAAGTCCCCAGTCCTGATTTTTAATCTTATATTAATTCCTGTATTGAAACAGCGCCTGTGGTGCCTTCCCTCATCTCATACATTGTCGGGCTGGCATTTTATGCTACGCACATACCTGAGCGATTCATCTCGGATAAATGGTCTCGCCATCTGGATAAGATTGGTGGAGGTTCGTATACAATTTATACTTTTGCCTTTTGCAATGCATGAAATCGTTTGGAATTTAGGATCGCATGCCATTTGGCACTGCTTCATCGTTCTTGCTGTGGCCCAGCACAAGGCTGCGATACGTATGATGAAGGCTGGCATTGCGTGTCAGATGCATGCATAATCCTGAAGGGTGGGGTGATGTGGAGAGGTTGAGGACTACTATTACTAAAGGTTCAGGGTGTGTAATGTATGTTTTTGGTGTTAATAATACGAGTGGTTTGTCGGATTGGATGGGGATTGGACCTTCAAAAATGCTCTTTTATATGGAGCTACATATGGAATAGATCTTATCTTATCTACTTTACCGCCTACATTCTTTCGGTTCCTCTCTTCTTCCGCCATGTTCAATTCACCGCGGCCAGCACAAAGATATGGAGGAAATACATCCGCAGGACTTGGTCGAAGCTTTGTAGATGAGGATCCTCTGGGTAGCTCAGCATACGACGGTCTAGACCCATGGAGTGCAGCTCCCAGTCCATCCTCGACACCAGCACCACCTGCTTACTCTGTATTCAGCTCCGTAATTGGTACGTATGTATATTAATTGACCACTAACGATATCCAATCTATTTCTCGTAGCGGATGCAACCGTGCCATCGGTGTATACCCGTGCTTTCGCGGCGGTTGATCCTGGAAATATCGGAGAGACGTCAGTGAACTCACTTTCCAGAGTTTTAGCTACGGCCTCCCTTCCAGCATCCACTATCGACAAGGTCAGCAACAATTACTTACATTAGAACGTGAATGTTCATTCTTTCCCAGATCGTGAACATTGTCAGTTCCAAACCGCGGGTCTCCAAGCTTGAATTTTTCGTTGCCTTAGCCCTAGTTGCTCTCGCGCAGTCGGGTAAAGGTGCGTCAATCAATACTCTCCACTTTCAAACAAACTCTAATGAAACACAGAGGTTAGCATTGAACAAGTCGCAGCCTTGTCATCTCAGAATGAACTACCCGAGCCAACTCTTGATCTTAATTCTCTACAACCTTCTGCCTCCACCTTCCCCGTACCGGTTCCGAGCTATACGCAAGACACTGCAATTCGTTCTCCAGCGCCTCACTATACTCCCGATGACCCATGGGACACGACTACGCGATATATGTCTGCACCGTCTAATATGAGTGGATTTGGAAACAGCGGCTTCGGCCCCGGCGCACCATCGACGGTTACTGGTACGGGGCTTTCCAAAGACTGGTGGAAGAATCAGAAAAGTGTCTCCGTGACTATCCAAGGGCAGCAGGGATTCATATTAAATCGATACACTGTCTACCAGATTTCGACGGAAGTCAGTTCTCATTTTCAATGATCTTCTATATCATCTAAAGCCGTAACAGAGAGGTCCCTCTGTAATTCGCCGATACTCTGAATTCGTCTTCCTCTGGGATTGCCTATATCGACGTTATCCTTTCCGATTATTTCCTGCGCTTCCGCCTAAGCGAATTGGACGTACGTTTAGAAATTTCTATACCGATACTTAGTCTCATGGTATCTCATTATCAGCGGACGAGTACTTTTTAGAGCAAAGAAGGTACGCTCTCGTGGAGTGTATTCATCCGGGGCGCGGTGCTAATTAAATTCTTGAAGGAAGGGCCTAGCAAGATGTTTAAACTATGTGATGTAAGGACCCCGTCAATATACGGGCGCTGTCATGCTAAATTCTCCTTGTTCAGCAATCATCCTGTCATCAAAGACGATGGCGTCCTCTCCGTGTTTCTTTCTGAAACTTCTCTCGAAGAATGGCGCAAACACACTTCAATATCCCTCGATGAGGAATCTGCCAGTAAACGAATTGACCGGGCGGAGGAGATGAGCATTCCAAGCGATCTGGAAGATAAAATCACGTATGATCTCAGGCTCCAATGATCACCACAGTAGCTCACTACTATTTTCAGAACAATTCGTCGTCGAGTAAGTCCACTAATCGAACAGTGGCAACGCATCTGTATTTTGGCAGAGCGAATCATCAAGAGACGTGAAGCCGCAGCGGTACGGATGTCTTCCCAATTTCGGCGTCCCTTGATACCGGCTCATCTGCTCCCTCTATTTTCTCCTTCTCACCAACGTTCTTTTTCGGATTCTGCTTCCGTCACGTCGTCCGCTGCATTCTCGGCGTCTGGAATGTCTGCAACGTCAACTTTGTCACAATCGACAACGTTGAACCACTCTATGACTGGCTCTCTTCCGGGTGTGGATTTTTTGGGCCTTCAGGGTGATCTGTCGAGGTTGACTAATACATTGAGAGCCGTTATCGAGGTCGGGGATCCATGTTGGAGAGGGGACGAGTGCGAGCTTTCAAGTGGTGTGAGGACGGGGTTGGAACAAGTCGCTTCTCATTTTGGAAGACATTCCGAACTATCAGAAAGCCGGGTATGTTATTTTCCATGATCGTAGCGAAACTCGACCTCAATGAAACTACAGACACGTGTTTTGCTGGATACCACACTCGAAGCTGTCAAAGTGAGAAAAGCTTGAGTATTCTTGGGTTTTGCTTATAGTTTGTGTACAGACTCAACGGGATCTCTACATCGCGGTCCGCGATTTGTTTATTCGCCATGATCGTCTTTCCCTCGATCAAGTGGAACGCTTAAAGAAGCGCGTGGAGACAACCTCGTTGAAGCTCGATGGTATAAAGGCAGCTCAAAAAGATGGATGGCAAGACGATGCCGATAAACTCGTAGCTGCTATCGAAAAAGACCAAGCCACTATTGCCGCTCAACTAAGTCGCAGAGTTTTCATCCGTGCTTGGTCAGTCTGGTCACCGAACTCTCCCTGTCATTCAATGCTAAAACTCAAATGATGCCTTCCTTGACACTACCGTGTAGCTTGTGGCATGAGCTCCGTGTCATACTACACAATAGAGAAAACACACTTTTAACGGTCATGACACAATCGTTTGGTCGCGAGGAGCAGGAATATGCGGAAGCTATCTTGAATAATTGGTCGTCTCTTACTGAGGCTGTCGAAGGGATGCCCTTCGAATGAATAGTATCTTGAACTGGACCTTGGCTTTTACTGCACAATATTATGATACCACCAATAGGTACACTGCACTTATAATATCATGATCCTGCTATGAGTGTACAATATTGATCTCGAGCATACTCGTTCACTCTAAGGAGACAAGAAACATTTGACGCCATGGTGACCGGGCGCTTATACGTCTTACTGCCTTCAAGTACTCTTAACTACTCTTAAGTTATCTTCAGAACCCACCGCCCAGCACACGAGAGATTCTTCTATGAAATACTGTTCTTGGCTCGAGACCCGGTCTTCTAGCAAAATGCAACTTCTTGAATTACGTGTCCTATCCTAGTACAAAATGTAGGCTTTTCCCTACACCGGGCTCCGCTTCTTCCCTCACTTACACACAACCCGGTACAAACTCATAACGAGTCCGCAAACGATGAAAGAAGCCTTGATTCCGAAGTTGTTTTTCGAAGTTAATTCTGGGCCGTTCAACGAGTAGGTTTTCGGAGAAAGTTGAAAGCGATATTGGGAGCGGGGCATTTTGAATCTCAGATCAAGGTATTCTTCTCCCGTATACTATGTATGTAAACGCATGGAACAACCGGAAAATTCACACAGTTTAGCACTTTGTTATCTCAGGACGGGTAAGCTGTTTGAGAACATCTCCGAAAAAGCTTGCTTTCAATCTGAATATCCTCGCAGATATTCGAAACTTCTTCCAGACTCTATCGTGCCTGCTTCCCTCTGTTGATCACTGCTGATTGATAGATGTTCTATTATATCTGGTCGATGTGGTCCCAAACTCAGAGTCATGTTATTGAATGCGGACCGCCGTTTTTGCGAAGCTACCTTTTCACATTGGTGTGTAACTTTGAACTATAACGGGTGACATTGACTCAACCAGTCAATGTTTAGGTCTATCAATACGAGTCGATACGTTACCAAATATAATATCTATGAATCTACCCGTTCAGTGCTCCTTGAAACTTACGTCGACAAAAGCTGTAACAACGGTGCATCGCTCGAGCCATGTTTCTTATCACCGCTATGCTCATTGGGACACTGCTGGAAACCCTCGCATACGGTAAGCTACGCTAACAACTCTTATTACACTTTCATCGATTATCTCGTTCTAGGCAGCTATGTCGCCCTCTGCTTCAAGCACTTCCAGATCTTGGCTGCACGTCGAACCAAGATTCCTCCCAAACCTTTCGCCTTTCTCACCCTAGTGAGTTTCGCTTTCTTCGTCATTGCAACAGTTGTAAGTACGATGAATACTTGATATTGGAAAACTGAACATAGTCAATTCGTTGTACAGACAGTGGTGTCAGACTTGACATTTATCTCTCACATCTTTACAAAACATCCGATCGAAACTATCAACTTCTCTGGATACACTCGAAAGGACCGCATCAATGAGTTCAGCCAGATTTTGTCTATCATGTTGTCAGATACGTTTCTGGTCAATAAACTCACTTTCAATTTGATGTGGCGCTTACTTCAATATAGCTCTATCGCTGCTACGTGCTTTATAGTACTCAGCGTCGTGTCATCGTACTTCCATTCCTCACATACCTAGCGGAAGTTGGTATGTCTACATATTCCGCATGTGATGTCCTATCAATTGACCTAAGAGACATGTTCTTTAGGCTTCGGGATATGGGGCATGGTAGCTTTCAAAGGCACCGACATTGAAGAGATTGACCCTTGGGCTAACCGCCCATTGCAACGTCTATCGCTCGCTGAAACGATCTTCGGCTTCGATGGGTTTGCGACAAATTTATTGTGCACTAGTGAATCATATCCAAATCCTCCTGACTCTTCTCTCACAATCATACTTATGCAAGGTCTCATTGTATTCCGCTTATGGCGCTCCCACCGCGAGTTGGTGCGTTTCAATGTACAGACTTCGACGCGTTCATCTAGCACCCTGTTCCGTATTGGTTTCGTGATTCTCAATTCCGGTACGTGTAAACTAGTCTACCCGATGATTGTGGGACCAAAGTCGCCTGTACAGCTGCAATTTATATTGTTTGGATGATAACCGTGTTTGCGACTTCAATAGCCTCATCGTTGGTGTACCAAATCATTACTCCCAGTGTGAGTACGATTAGCTTGGAATCCCAGCTGTGATAGCCACTGACCTTCATGCAAAGTTCTCCTGCATTACCGTATGTCGGACTTCAATATCAACTGCTGTATCCTCTGACCTTCGAATCTCGACTTAACAAGGCTTTGATTGTGGGAAAACACTCTTCAGAATGTTTAGCATCATGTATACTGATTCTTATCTCAGTTTTCCTCAATAATTGTCAGAGCTCCTTCTTCAACTCCAACATCTGTCACAGAGATGACGACTATCAGCTTCTCACAACCTCCCGTGCGATCTACTGCATCGCTCTCAGCGTCAGAGAGTAACGCAAGAAAACAAGGCATCACACAGCGTAGTAGGGACGAGTCTGACTCGACATTGAGTGCGTACGAGGTAAGGGACGTCAGTGAAGAATAATCCTTTGCTTCGAATGCACGGTCGTAAATTATGTTAACTTGTAACCTGTTAAAACCTCAAATTCACCATCACGTGCAAATGGCGTGACAGGCCTCTGCCACGCGAGCCGTAGACACTGAGCGTGTCGCATCAGTCGTATCGAAAGGTTTGTAGAATGAAGCTAGAGAGAAATGGGGCAAAAGCGATCTCTATGAAGATCACCCAAGTATTCATGTACAGGTGGAAATAAAGTCTTAATTCTCAAGCTTCTGCGAGTCCTTTTTCTCTTTTTGGTCTTCATTTTGGACTTTTTTCCACTTCCAACCCCCCTGGAACCCGACCCAAGTATACCTTTCACAGTGAGGACCACGGAAAAATAAAATCAGCAGCTGGAACACTGCACAGGCCAGACCGAGTACTGCCGATGCGCGCCATCCATGCTCTAAATACACTTTAGTTGCGGCGGCAGTTCCAATGAACTGACCCGTGAAGTTCTGGAGAATGAGTTCAGTCTCAGCACACAATCATTGAAAGCGCAAGACATACTGATAAAATGAGTACAGCATTCAATCGACCTCGAGCGGACTCGGATATACTGTTGAATGATAATAAGGATCCTGTGAGTAGTAACACACGTAAAATTTTCCCTCACCTAAAGACAGCTGTTGATAAAGATACTTGTTGCATGGCATCGCAAAGATCCAGGCCGATACAAACAATGACGATAGCAGAGATGTTTACTCCAGCGGCGGCAGTTTGGATGGCCCAGAAAATGGCCATGGCAAATGTCGGAATCAAGATTGCATACCAGGTAACAAGCCTATCTATCCCTCGGCCTAGGATAGGACCCATGGAAACACCAGACATGCCTATCAGTCCGAACAAACCAATGACCAGCCTGAAATCAGGTAGGTCAGTAAGTGTTCATGTACAGTAACAAGATACCTACGTTGAGTAGTGATATGGAGATCCTCCCAGTATGAAGGTGAGGGTGACCCAGAAATTCATGTAGCATGCATTCGACCCCATGGTAATCAGTGAAGCCTGTATCAAAATTGGCTCTGTTGTCGCTAGCTTTGCCATAGATTTCAATATATGCAAGTAAGTCAACCCCTTATTCTTGGCTGGATACTCCGGAACAACAAAATACAATATGACGAGGACAGCAGCAAGCAGTCCGACATCAATATAGTAAATGATGCGCCATGTCGAAAACTCCGCAACAATGCCAGATAGTACGCGAGCAATGAGGATACCAAAGAGCAGACCTGCGAAGATGATTGAGATGGCAGAAGCGCGACGATTTTCAGGTGCCAGGTCAGCAGCCAATGGAGTGAGGATCTGTGGTGCCACGGATGTCATGCCCACTACAAACGATAGTCCTTCAAATACATGTGCAGATTTCGTGACCGCTAGCACGAGTGTGAAGCAAATATCAGCTAACACTACTCCAAGAAGCAGTGGCCTACGGGGAAGAAGATCACCCAGAGGAGAAACGAGTACAACACCTACAGCATAACTGTTGTGTGATTAGCATAGTCATTAAGACATCATCATGAAAGAAACATGCCCCGCTTGTAGGAGCGTCGGCACTCTGGGAGTTTGAAGTATCAGCAAATGCAGGGGGAATGAGTAACTCGAGGAGGGGTAGAGATGATTCACACCTGGATATTTCTTCATATGAAACATTGAAATACAGCGAAAGTTGGACTTGAAACGAGGAATTGATGAACCTTGACCAACACGTAAGGGTGGTGTACACTCACTCAGTAATGGTTGACCTATGAAAAAAGCATCCTTCTAAGAATACTTAACCGCTGCGTATGGCAGCGAGCACGCACTATAATAAAGATTGGCTACAACTAAGAATCAAGAATCAATAAATGGCTTGGAATTATGAACAACACAAGAAATGACAAGACACTGAAGATCAATTACATACCGAAAGTTGTACAAATCCCAAAAGCTGCATTTCGTGTTATACTGAAGCGTAAGGGTGCGTTTCGATCTTGAGTATATCGGAGATGTTCTGGAATTGGCAAGAACCCAAAATCAATACTACGACTGCCGTGCTCATATCTGTTTTCCATTGAGATACACCAAAGAATTGCGCGCGCTGGCTGGGAAGGAAATTGTGACACAAACGTGATAGATTGTTTCCTCTTTTCTACAAGTTGAGACCCAGTGTGAATCCCAATTATAAGTGCACTTCTCGGAATCAAACCCTATTGGACAGTGTTGAGGACGCCACAACTCTCGGATCAATAAATTGAAGAGCCTGAGTGAAAAAAAAAGACAGAGCCGAAACGGTCACCGGGGTTTCAATCACCTTCACGAATCCAATCTGATCTGATTGGAGTTGGTGGTCGAATATGATCCAATGTGATGGTTCTGACCTATGAAGCGTGCTAGACATGCACTCAATGCTGATTTTACAAGCATCAAACTATGAGTCCACCTTATCCTTGGAAAAAGAGTGCCGCATTTCTGAGCCAGCCACGCTTCCATTCGGCAACAATCGGCAACAGCTTTCGACGCGACGATGATAAACCTCTTTTCCCCTATGCTCTTATTTCGACTGGTCTACCCCGTGCACCAACTTGATGTCAAGACCAGCCTTTAGTCTTGAGAGTTTGATTCAGATAGTTCTTACTTCCAGAACAAGGTGCATTTAGACATGAAACTTCAGGAGACTCCAAAATAGTCATTCAAATCTATCGGCGAAGGCTGGAAAGAGACGGGCTTTGGTTGTTGTCTGCGACTAAATTGAATCTATGCACAAGCGAGAGACCCATTGCTTCAATGGCTGGCTGTAATGGGTTCCAGTCAAAGTGGTGTATTGAGAGATAGATGATGGCATACCCCAAAAGACCCCAAATCGACGACATTGTGCACATTTGTTTGAAAAATTATACCGCGCGAAAGCATATGCAATCTACTTTCAACCTGGAACTGATGTGAAGATGTCCAGAATTGCAAGAGTTCTGTCGACAAAGGAAGAAATCGAACACATGGCGAATGCACAATCAGACCACAGATGCGTATGCCAGTGCAGATAGAGGGCAGCATGGCGCTCGTTTTTATCGTGTAATATGCGGAAACCCAGACCTAATGAAGGTTCAAAATAGGTTTCACGGTGCGGAAACTTGGAATCAAGAAGTAAAGTGAAACCTGAGGGCGGGGTACTAATCTGTGATATCTGATTGTGCAGGAAACGTCCGTGAGTTCAAGAGATGAGGGGCGAAGAGAATTGTCTTTGGACACTAGACTAGATACCGATGCGAACACTACGGCTGGTGGTCTTTGATCATTGATCCATCAGATTGGCAAATTTGTTGAAACGATGAAGGTAGTTGAAGGTGTGGAAAGGAAGGTTCTTACCGTTCACGCCAGGTTCACACTAGTAGAGGAAGAGGTTCTGTTTCTGTTCTAAATATTACATAAACTGGAGCTGATGCCCGTCTCCGACTCCCATCCATCCATCTTATTCTGATGCAGGCGGCTCCGATTGACCAAATTCACGCACAGTTTGAACCCGAGTGCATCAGCTTATTCCGAGAAGGATCGTATACATTTAAATACTATCATATCATTGACTAACTTTTCCTTGTGCCTTTCTCGATATTCCACATTTACATGATCTATGCCTCCTGTATGCAACAACGTCTTCTCTGGAAAGGATGCACTTTCGAAGTTCTACGATCCGGACTCAAATCCAGTGAGTCGAATGTTTCTTCGAAGGAGATCTGTGATATAGAGTGCCAATTCTGCGTTCATCGTGTAGTTACTTCCGGTACGCTACGTGACTCTCTGAAACGGGGTACTATCTGAAATGCACCCTAGCTGGTCGAGATTCCAGTTCATCCGTTTGAAGAAGATGGCGTCCACATCTACGCCAAGATGTTGACTTTCCTTCCCGCTGCCAATGTGAAATCACTGCCGGGTGAGTGCCTGTATACTGTTTGGTCCACAACAATTAATATTTGAAGTTTTTTAGCATTGAATATGCTTCAGAAAGCCAAACAAGAGGGGAGGGTCGACGCATCCACCAATATCGTTGAATACTCGTCCGGCAGCACAATCATGTCACTAGCAATCCTAAGTAAAGTAATGGGACTCAACGGTGCCATTGCATATGTGTCCAATAAAACAACCAAGAGCAAACTCAATCTTCTAAGATTTTTTGTAGGTGAATCTTTTTAGAGTTGAAAACATCTCTAACGGTAAACACTGATACGATGCAGGGTTTGGAAACGTTAGTATTTTCTGATTCTTTAAATAATCACTTACTTGATTGCTCTTTGCATGCAGTAAACTCTTTGCCGGACCTGGACAGCCATCACCTCAGGATTCTAATGGCGGAATTTTCAGAGCCGCTGTAGACGGTCAGACCAACCATAATTACAATCCAAGTCAATATCTGAATCCCAATGTGTGTTCATCGCCGTGAATCTTTGAAACCGAACTTACCACGTTACTGCAGAACTATCTCGCCCACCAACGTTGGACAGGTCCTCAAATCGCTGAGCAGTTGCCCAATATCTCTGCATTTGCGGCTGGAATGGGGACCACCGGTATGTTTATCAGTACAGAGATGCTGACTTCATCACATTGATTCATTGTTGAGGTACAATGACTGGAACCGGGTCATATCTCAAACAATTCAATCCTGAGATTGTGAACGTTGGGTTAGTCCTTCATTAAGTCTGCATGTTGATACTCACACACGCGATATCGCAGCGTCTGCACCGCACCTGGAGATCTTGTGCATGGGCCTCGAAATCTATCCCTTGTTGGTGACATACCATTTCCGTGGCAAGACACGGTCGATGTGCTGGAAGAAGCCTCCACCTTCGAGTCATTTGCAGCTAGTCTGCAACTCTGCAGAAACGGTCTTCTGTGTGGCCCAAGTTCTGGCCTTGCAAAAGTAGGACTATTCAAGTTCTTGGAAAAGGCTAAGCTCGAAGGTAGACTTGACCATTTGAGAGCTAGTGATGGCTCAATCAACTGTAAGTGTTTTACTAGAAGGTCAAGTGCATGCATGTACATATATTAATAAATCGAGTGCTAACAGGTGTCTTCACATGCTGTGATCTTCCATATCAGTATGTTGATGAATATTTCCAGATCCTTGGAGAGAACTACTTCCCCCCGGTTCAGGAGGAAGCACTGCTTGATGTCGACTGTTACCCATATCAACCCGAATGGGAGCTGTCAGCAGAAGTCATCTTATCCAAGATTCTGATCTACATATCGAGTGTAAAGTCGTTAGGAGGTGAGACGAAAAAGCATCGCATTGGGCCAATGTCCTCCACAGAGCCTCGCACCGGAGAAGATGTGCTTATCTTGGACATTCGGAATGAGGTAGACTTCAACAGGCGTCATTTTCCTGCAGCCATATGTCTTGACATAGGAAACAATGCCGAGTCTCCGAATCCGTTCCTTGATACACCTACCATGGTTAAGCAATGGCGTAGCCTTGATCAGCGTTTATCCCCTGATAACGGAATCTTCGGCGAGGAACTTGATGGGAAAACAGTGGTAGTGTTCTGCTACGACGGAAATACTTCACGCATAGCAACTAGCATCCTCCAATATCGCGGCGTTGAAGCATATTCCTGTGCAGGAGGGATCGGTGTTTGTTGGGAGCTACTAAATCTTGTTGACGGACGGGAACATGAAGACTAACTTGTCCTTGTCTCTGGATTATCCCTCTTTTCATCCTTCATACAGGCGATGCAAATATTAATTTCATTGTACAGGTCTTGGTGTTTGGCCTGGAGCCTGGACCGGTTGTGCATGTAATTGAAGATGCGGTAGTGTAGTAGTGGGAAATGTATTTCATTGCTTGGCTCACTGCTGTCCCGAATACTGGTCGTGTCACTGCGATAAGCATCGATAGGCGGAAGCAGGGTGTAAGTTTCGTGGAGGGCCTTCAGTCTCCTTCAGTTCATTGCCCTTACGTATTGAAGAATTTCGGATGGTGGATATCAGGTGAGGGAGCGTTAACTTGAAGCGCCTTTGAACTCTTGGGCGTCTAAAACCTGTGAGATGCTCTCGAGTCCTTTCTACTCATGATCAAGTTAACGAATGCAAAATCGGAGTTAAACTGTACACCGTGCACACCTGTAAACATTCAGATATTGAGTTAATTCGGCCCCATTTCGAGCTCAGATGGAAGGTCACAATCAGGGCCTTCGAATGTGCTTCAGCATGAACGGGCAGTACCGCTATAGCATGGACGCTCATGGACGCCAGTCTAGTAGTAAGCACTGGCAGAGGTAAATCAGCAAATCAAAACAGAATATCGAGGGATCGGCGATCGCTACCTAGTTCAAGGTCCGAAGGTTGATTCGAGACGTTCCTTTTGCGCAATGTACAGCCTACAGCTTGTTTTGATCATGACGGCGTGGGTCTAAACCTGGTCTAAACATTAACTTTCAAGTTGTACTCCGAGTGCCAGTGCACACTGTGTGACGACAAGGCGGGAAAGACATTCCCCATTTGGTTCCAACAAGTCCTGAGTACAGTATTGCATTGGCATGAGTATACACCAGCCATTACACTGCTATATACAACCTCGAACAGGGCATAAGGGCCTCGAGGCAAGTCATAGGACCCCTGACAACCCACTAAGAGGCCTGATCCCAAAAACTTGAGTTTTACCCATATTTTTTGGGGGTCCAAAAGGTGTATTCTTACCCGGATTTTCCTCTGGCTCCATTACGGACCCCATTCTTACCCGGTTTGGGCCTCAGGGAATATTCAAAATTTGATTTTTCATCTTTTTTTGCTTATTTTTTGCTCAAAAGTTGCCAAGTTTGTTTCTACTGCAGGTGGTTCAATTTTTCCCTTGTTTGATCCATGCTGAAATTATAGACTCATCTAATCACCAAGCATCATCCACGTGGTTTTCTTTGAGCTCCAGGTTCAACTATGACAATGTTCATGCAAAAATTACATGTAAATATTGGTACATACAAGCTGTATAATAATGTCTATAATACCCCATAATACCTAGCAAATCATTGTCTGTATTGTGTAGTGGTATAGCAAGAGCTAAATAATTTCTTTCCAGTGAATGCCGTGTTCGAGTCTCGCCAGGGCTATTTTTACCCAACTGTAGATCAGGCCCTTTTTTGAAAGGAACATTTTTACCCGGTTTTCGCCCTAGGGATCAACACGAAAAATTGCGATTTTTACCCTCTTTTGGCTCATAGATTCTGAAAATTTTCTCCTATTCTTACCCGCACCTTGTACAGGCCTCTGAGTGGGTTGTCAGGGGTCCTCAAGTCATTCCCACTCGGGATGTGGTCAAGATAATTGATTACAGCTGGGGCCGACCTTACATCGGACGGAAGAATTTTGTGTGTATGGTTGGTTTTTAGATTGGAGTAAAGCTGGGACGGAACTGGAGTAGAAGGGTGCGGGGGCAACTTGAATCTTGCGGTTTTGCGATCATGAGTATAGGACGCTCCCCTTACCTTTTCGTAAGTTGTGCCTTCGGAAAAGATGCGGGAGTAGTGCAATCGTAATACATAGAATGGTATTTTTGAAATGATATCACCAAAGTCAGGCAGGAATTACTTGCTTATCAGCATGATCATGATCACTGCAAAGAAGCTCGATTCTTTGGTCGTTTCGTCGCAGGCACTGAGTTAGTGACCTGTTAGAAATTGATATGCGAAGAGGTTAGTGAATATCTACAGGGCGTACACAGGACGCACCTCAAATGTTGTGTCGGTCATCTCCAAGCTTGAGAAGAACTATGTCAAAGGAAAATCAGCCAGTAGATTTAAGATGACTGACAGAAGACTCAAGCTCGACAGTATGTCAAGCTCCGATAAGTATTCACGCAATGTCCAAGCAACATAGGATTTAGTGAAGAAATCAGACGACCGATTTTCGGATATCGAATCGTGCGATATCATTCCTATTCCCCGCGAAATTACATCACAGCGAGATATCAGACTTAGCTAACGCTTATAGCTTAAGGACATTCATGAGTAGGTTGAATAAGTAGATATCATGAGCTTGAAGGGACTTGAGAAGATGAATCGAACCTGTATACATATATGATGGGATGCTGTAGGATGCTGTCAAGATGACTGCTACTAGTACGTTGCTGTAGAACCAGGCAGCTGTCTGCAACTGCCCATTGTTGGAGCCAATAAGCGGTACTTGCACACCACTGCTCGACCACTGTTACTGGATCTTGGCACGTAGAAAGGATATCATGCGCATGTTTCGTCATGTCGCCGCGAACAATATTCCTTCCTGTATGATATCCGTGTTTTTCTTCCTACACCTCCAGTTTTGTATTGCATATATGAGCGCGGATGTAACATCTCTGATATGCAGTGTAAAGGCAATATTACCATAAGGAGAGACTTCTGAAGAAATGAGTGCTCGTCGGTGGAATAAACTGTGAGCAAACCGTGACCGATGATTGCAAAAACCAAAGGATGAAGATTTCAGAATTTTTCGAGTGGAAGGGGGAGTTGAGGAAGGCTCGAGCTCATCGAAAAGACGTGAATCGAGACAGAGAAGGCCAGATTTCAGTGGGCTTTACGAGGGTGTCCGGGTGTCGGACCCGCGGGCGTGAGATTGATCGGGGACAAAAAAGGAAATAAAGGGACCGAAATGGTCGTTGGGGAAAGCCACAGTAGCGATTAATTGGTTGCCTACTCGTCTTCTGGCGACGTTGTGGGACCAGAGCTCGAACAAGAAAGTCAGCAGAAGAGCTTCCCATGAAAAATTCTGGCGTAGGGGGAACTTGGTATTCTCGAAAGAGTCCGTTAACCATTGATCCCCATCAAGCTCAAGCTGATTCCAACTCCTTGTACCTAAACCCTCGCTCAGCGCCTCCTTTGCCTCCGAACTCCTCCAAAGTTTCTCTTCGATCACTCAATTCTGTATTTCGCCAACCAAAGATAAACAAGGCTCCTTCTGTTTTCTCTGTCGAATCTGCCCTTTCGCTGCCAGATTCCGTTGCCTCTCACCCTTACGGTACCATGCACATTGCCCCAATGCCTGTCGTCTCCAACTCCGACAATGCCGATGACGAGGAGGATTGCCCTGTCTGCTTAGAGCCGCTGAGCTTTAGCTTCAGATTGCCTGGAGAAAAACCTCATATTGTACCAGAGTGCGGTCACGCTCTTCACGAAGTGCGTCCTCAGCTTTGGAATTTTTCCTTTTTTTTCAATCGGAAATTTACACTCTTATAGGCTTGTTTCACTGCCGTTTATGGACCACCGCCAAACCAGTCGAAGTCTACAGTTCCAAGAAAGTCAAATCTAGGAGTTTGTGGTGTTTGCAGACGCCCAATGAAAGTAGGAGACGGCGATGGTGGCAAATCAAATAGTAAGTATCCATCAACTGCATCTTACAGCTCTCCTCACATTCTATCCAGAGCTGGCTGCGTTGACTGGTGTCGGTGACCATACCTCGTCGGTGCTGTACCCTGGGAGAGATACACCCACAAATCGACGGCGGCAACAACCTCCGAAGCCATTTGACCCCAACGAAGACGACCCGCTGGATCATACTGGCTCAGTAAAGTCAGATCCTTCCAGAGAGCATTCTCAGTACATTGTTGCCCCTTCCATCCAGGTTCGCCCTGAATTTTCATCACTGACCCGCACACACGATGTCAACCAACCCCTAACGTGTATCGTCGTTATCGAGCTTCCCGGTAAGCGGGTTCATGCTCCGGTTCCTGGCCCTGCACCTCAAGACTACAGCGCTTCTCGTCGGGCTGAGGCCAGTAGTCATTCAAGACAGGACACTAGTCATGCTTCACCTCAACCTCGAAGGCAGCAGCAGATGTCCGAGTCATACTCTCAGGATATGCATTACAATAACTCGTCTGGTCATGGGCATGAATCATTGTCGTCGGGGTCCCACAAACATAACGAGCAATCCGCAATTATTCAGGAAGAAGACTCACCTTTTAACGCCATTACCGAAGACTTACGCAACCGGATCATCGACTGGAAGGGTCATCCGCTATCTGATCTTGGTCCTCTTCAAATGTATGACCTTCTCTCCGTTCGGCGAGATTCACTTGTCCGCGAATTCTACGTCTACCTTTTTAAAGAGGCTCTTATATGCGTCGTCGAGGAAAAAAAACGTTCACTCGGTCGGTTATTGTCATCTGGCCTTGCCGATACAGCATCGGCAACGTCGTCAACGGCTCAGTCCAAGGGTGTTCTTCGTCTGAAGGGTAGAATATATGTTCGTCATATCAAGCAGGTGACGGCATCTAGCGCAGCTGGAGAAATGTCCCTCACCATCGACATGGAAGATGAGCTCGCTTCGTTCATCTTGATATACAAAGATCGGGGCTCTCTTGAAGCTTGGCGAAATACTATTCAGGCCTTGGTTAATATGTTCCAGTCCCAAAACCCATCATACCAACAGCCACCTCAGGAAGAGGCGCGCGTTCTGGAAATGGAAGAATTTGGCGGAAATTCGAAGGCGATGAGGATGTTGAGTGGCAGTACATCTACTACGGTCAGTAGTGGTGTCGATAGTCTACTCCAGAATGGCTCATCCAGATCAACAATGTCTTCTTCCACATCCCATGGGTCTGTCCTCCAGCAATCGCAGCGGCCCCAGATGCAACAGAAGCTGACTACGCTGGGAGAAGCAGATGAGATGAGTCAATATGACTCTCCCACAGGTTTGGTGACACCGTACACCTCGTCTGGGCCATCGAACTCGCTCACTCCTCTCCCCCATCCGGCAATGGATTTGATAATGGTCATCTCTCTTCCTCCGCCCAACTCCTCTCCTAGTACCGCTCAGTTGAAACTGCGTGTCATCAAAGCTACTTTGGACTTCATCATTGCATCGCTTGCGGCTAAAGATCGCCTTAGTCTAGTAACCTTCGAGGTTGGTCCAGGTGGCAGAGTCCGCAAAACTCCTTTTTTGAGCGTGAGCAAAGGCCAGAGTAAAAACAGGCTGGAGAAATTTGTTGAGGATATCTCAACAAGGCCAACCAGTGATCCAGATGGCATGGGCACGGGTCGCGTTGATGAATTCCTTGTGAGAGTGAGCAAGGATGAAAAGACTGACGTCGTTACAGCGGTGAACCATGGTAAGTCCTGACTCCTTACTACTTTCGCTTTCCCGAAATGTAGTCACGACGTCTTCTCAACTACTCATTGTTTATGTGTTCGGCGATTCTGACGCGACTCTTATTTTCTATTAGGTTTGGACGTCGTTCTGCAACGTAAAGCACGCAATGCAGTTTCCGGGATGGTTCTCGTCTCCGATGCTTCTGACAGTACACGTCGAGCACAAATGGATCTCGTACTTGCCCGAGCAGAAGCTGCTAACGTGCCGATCCACTCCTTTGGCTACGGGCGCTCGCACGATCCAGCCTCCTTATGGCTCATGTCCAATCATACGTCAGGGACATACACTTTCGTTAAAGACTGGTATGATCTCCGTGATAGTATCGCTGGATGTGTAGGTGGAATGATGTCGATCGGTCTTCTCAACATGAAACTCCACATGAAAATTGTTGATGGCAACCGTTTCAGAATACGAAAGGTCTCTGGTGGCCCCTCGAGCATCCTTGCTAGCGACGGTCAAAACGTAGATGTTGACGTTGGAGAGCTTAGGTATGGTGAAAGGAAGGAGATGCTCATTGAGCTGGAGCTCGATAATACCGACCTTCAGCAGCGCCTTGCACGAGCCAATGGACAAGGTAACCGTTTGGATATGCGCAACATGAATGCTACAGATCGGTTCGTGCAGAGTATGGGGTTGGATTCTCTTGCCATTGATGATGTCGATCTCGCCGATGGGATGATGGATAGGATGATTGATGAGGTTCCTGTAGTAGAAGTCGATGGTTCCTTCTTCGATCCCGCTGCGGCCAAAAACGTCACTCGCCTTGCACATCCTGTGTTGCTTACCGTGACATTGCTTCCACCAACACCGAATGCTCCCAAGCCTCCTTCCTCAGTTTCCGACCCGGTCATCGTCCGCAGAAGAATGGAGCTTCTTGCATCGGACATGATCACCCGTGCGCTTGTCCTAGTCTCCAGACGGAACTTCCCCCAAGCGCAGAAGATTATTAGTGAGACAAAGCGGATCCTTCATACTGTTCTCCAGACGATCTCTCGTTCATTGCCCCCGCCAAATTCGGGCACTTCGCGAAACAGAAAAGAAATTCTGACCTTGGGTGCTGTTAGAGCTATGCAGGCAATTATGCAAGATTTACAGATCTTGAGCGAAGCGTTGGATGACAATGTGGATTTGTTTGCCCATGATCAAAGGAACTTTGGGGCCCAGCAGGTTTGTAGTATTTTTCTTTCGCCGCTCTATATCAAATTGACAATCTGAGTGTAGGCAATGATTCTCAGAGACCAGAAGAGCTGGACTGGTCGCAGCGCAACAGAGAGATTGTTCTGGACCACTGATAATTCCATTGAGCTGGTCTCACGCAGTACGGACTGGATTGCTCGGGAATAATCGGGTGAATGAGTTTTTTAGTGATTCATTGCTGTTGGATGGGTTGCTTGCGTGCTCTAAACCATTTTCTCCAAAGAATCAACCAACACTTGAGCTGTATATATGTTGGTCTCACACTCCCTCTCGTCTTCCTCTCATCCATTGTATCGGTTCTCTATTTCTTGATGTACTACCAGTCTACCTGTGTTTTATTTTCTTGATCTCCGCTATCTGTTCCTCCATTGCTTTCCATTTCCTTCACGGTCTCCGTTATCTTCATGAACATTCGGCCAGGCTTGGTTGTTTCGTTACACTGTTACTTATCTCACTCTAGTCGTTGTGATGCCGTTCCTTTTCACTTACTGATATCTTTCTTTCCGTTGTTTATACTTACATTCCGGTTGAGTAGTCCAGATACAATATCATCCTCTAAAATTTGATTTGAATGAACTCCAACTCTGCGTATATAAGCGCGCGGTGCGCGCTAAGCATTCACTGCACAAAATACGTAAACGGTGATCAGGGATCGCGTGGCAGTTGTTGCGGTTGAATTCGAAGTCATCTTTTGACAACACACTCATCTTTCGCCGCGATGGCGGGCACAGGAAAACTACGCCAACGAGTCCCAGTCTCCGGGCGCGCGAACTTCGAATATGACCGTATACAAGAAGAGGAACATACTGACGACGTTTACCAAAACCCAGTAAGGCCCTGCTCTATTATAATCCTACCACGCAAGTTAATGCTTTTCCGACCGGTGGTCGTTAGAACAATCGTCACCCTATTGAGAAAATACTGGAAACAGACAAAGCTAGCGTCGTTGTCGTCGCTGTGCTGACCGCATTAGCATTCGCGCTGCGGTTTTACAAGATTAACCACCCTGACCAAGTTGTGTACGTCGACCTTCGCACCTTATGGGAATCCAATGTAAATGAACGTCCCTAGATTTGACGAGGTCCACTTTGGAAAATTCGCATCATATTATATACTCGGAGAATATTATTTCGACGTACATCCTCCTTTTGCCAAACTTCTTTTCGGACTCGCTGGCTGGTTTTCCGGATTCGATGGACACTTCCAGTTTGAAAACATCGGGGACAGTTATACCCAAAACCACGTTCCTTATGTCGGGATGCGCGCCCTCCCTGCTATCCTTGGTAGCCTTACAGTCCCGGTCGTCTATGCTATCATGAAGCAGAGCGGTTATTCCACAGTAATCGCAGCGTTTTCTGCAGCAATCATTCTGTTTGGTGTGTAACATAAATCATAGTCGGCTTTCCCTAATTTCTGACGCGTTCATCTCAGACAACGCGCATATCGCACAGTCTCGTCTTATTCTGCTAGATGCCACTCTGATATTCTTCATGTCTCTCACTATCTATGCTTATGTCCGATTCCAGAAGCTACGTTATAGGTATTTACGATCACCAACTTCTTTGTAATTTGCGAATGCTCATCCTATTCAGGGAGTTTACCAGTGAATGGTTTGGCTGGCTCTTCGCAACCGGTATCTTCATGGCTTGTACATGGGGTTCCAAAGTCAATGGTGTACTCACCGTAGCTACTGTGGGAGTTGCAGTGCTTATTGATCTCTGGGGTATTTTGGACTACAAGAAATCCCCATCGATGGTCAGTGCACCCTTTCTGATATTTTAATCAAATGCTTACGAACGCATTCATAGGACTATTTCTGGAAGCATTTCGCAGCTAGGGCTATCGGTCTTATAGTGGTCCCTTTCATCATATATCTCTCATTCTTCTGGGTTCACTTTGCTCTCCTTCCAACTTCGGGCACGGGTGATAGTTTTATGAGTCCGGCCTTCCAGGAAACCCTTGCTGGAAATGAGATGTTATTAAGTGCACAAGGTTTGTGTGTGATGTTCCTTTGATTGTTAGATGTGTTCGTGACATCGTTCGCAGAAATTCGATATTACGATACTGTGACCATCAGACATAAGGATACCAAGGTCTACTTGCACTCACACGTAGAACGTTATCCCCTCAAGTATGACGACGGACGTATCAGTAGCCAGGGTATTTGATTTCTCCTCTTCATTGTGCAAGTCAACTTAAAAAGAACACACAGGCCAACAAGTGACTGGGTATGGTCACGCCGACGAAAATAATAACTGGCAGATTATCCCTACGAAAGCTCTTCCTGAAACTGGCCGTGGCCGCATTGTCCGTCACAACGACATGATCCAACTTCTCCACGTCAACACTGACACTGTTCTTCTTACCCACGACGTTGCATCACCCTTGATGCCCACCAATCAGGAATTTACTACCTGGCCCAGAGACGACACTTCGCGGTTTAATGAGACCTTATTCCAACTGTCGCTTACCGACGCACATGACGGAGAGGCATGGAAAAGCAAATCAGGATACTTTAGGCTTATCCATGGGCAAACAAGAGTGTCAATGTGGACGCATACCAAACAGCTTCCGGAATGGGCTTTCAGGCAACAGGAAATCAATGGAAATAAGAACCCTAGTGAGAAAACTGCGACATGGTTTGTTGAAGATATTGTCGCTGATGAAAGTGAGTTGGGAACATATTGCTGTTTAATGTGTACTGATTGCTTTTTGCAGCTGGAGAGGACCCCAAGGAACGTACTGGCCATCAGCCTCCGAAGGTTCCCAAGAAGATGAACTTCTTCAGGAAGTTCGGGGAATTACAATTGCTTATGCTGCAACACAATGCTGGCCTGACAGCATCACATCCTTATGCCAGCGGACCTCTCAACTGGCCCTTCCTCATTGCGGGAATCAGTTTCTGGACTGAGAATGATCCACAAAAGCAAATATACCTCATCGGGAACCTTGTCGGATGGTGGACTTGTGTTGTCGCCTTGTCAATCTATGTCGGGATCCTTGGAGCAGACCTGTTAGCTCGAAGAAGAAATAATGATCCTATCCCCGAACGTGCGTATTGAAATTACCTGTTTCTTCTCACCGTTGACGCTGGTCTTTTCAGCTGTCCGTAACCGTCTATGGAACTCTACTGGTTTCTTCTTCGTCGTTTGGGCCGTGCATTATGCTCCATTCTTTTTGATGAATAGGCAACTGTTCATTCACCATTACCTTGCATCGCATCTCGCATCTGCTCTCATCGCTGGAGCTGTTCTTCAGTTTATTCTTTCCGAGACCATTAATTACCCCATATCTGTTGAAGCGCCAACGATGAGACGTCACAAACGACAATACGTCGACATTGGCCTCAAGGGACCCATCATCTTTGCCCTCTTCTGCATAGCAATGTTTTCAATGTTCGTTTTCCTTGCTCCGCTAACTTATGGAACACCAGGGTAAGTCTTCTTACAGATTTTGTTTAAATGGTGCTCAATACCTCTTGTACAGATTGACTGGTGACCAAGTCAATGGGAAGAGACTGTTGTCATCTTGGACGCTGCATTTTGCAGCTAAAAAGACCGCTGAGGTTGTACCGTAGTGAGAGCGTAGTTTTGAATGTTCTCGGTCAAATGTATATATGGAACGAGTAGATCATGTTTCTTTCGTGACTGATTAATCATTCGTGAGGTGGTATGGCTCGTAGCATAAGGCCTGCTTTCGATAGCTGAAGTTGAATTTGATCATGTTTCGGATCTAGATGACAGAAGCATCTGGCAAATTTGCTTTCGTTATACTCACCGCTTCATACAGTTTTCCTTCCTACTGCCACTATGCCTCAGATACTCAACAATGCCCTCGAAGCTGTTGGAAATACTCCACTTATACGCCTTGACAAAGTGGCGAAGCTTCACGGGCTTAAATGCAATCTGTGTACGTACCCTCATATTCTTACTGTCCAAAATTCGCATAGCTGACGCACATGATTCATCTGTGCAGTGGGCAAAGTCGAATTCATGTCCGCCGGTGGTTCAGTCAAGGACCGTATAGCAAAGGCCATGGTAGAAGCCGCTGAACAAGAGGGTAAACTGGTTCCGGGGAAGAGCGTAGTCATCGAGCCCACTTCTGGAAACACTGGTTCGCGGCTATTCTTCTGTTACTTGAACGATCTTCCTAACGTTTGTAATCATACTAGGAATCGGTCTTGCTATGGCTTGTGCAATCAAGGTGATATAGCATGCGTACTGCGTTTACGGGAAAGATACTGAATACTATAGATAAGGGTTATTCCGTGATCATCACACTTCCGAATAAAATGTCCCTCGTAAGTTCTCTATATTGAATCCTTTTCTTTGATACTCACTCTGTGGTATGTCTTGGTAGGAGAAAGAAGCTGCACTTCGTGCATTGGGTGCTGAAGTCGTCCGCACGCCCACAGAGGCAGCATGGGACTCTCCTCAAAGCCACATAGGTAGAGTCTATCTCATCCTTCCTTAAATCTCGTGGCTGAATTCCTTAACGATCCCAGGAATTGCGCGGAAGCTGCAGAAGGAGATCCCATATGGAATCATCCTGGATCAGTACGGAAACATCAATAATCCATTAGCACATGAAATGACCACTGGGCCTGAGATCATCGAAGCCGTGAAATCCACACCATCAACTTCCAGTAGAGTCTCCTCGCAGAAGGTCGACGTCGTCGTTTGTGGAGCCGGAACTGGAGGTACGATTTCCGGTATCTCCAGGGCAATGAAAAAGACACACAACAAGGACTGTATCGTTGTTGGGGTAGATCCTGTGCGCGCTCATCGTGCATAATTATAACCTTGAGCTGACTTTTGCTTCAGGATGGCAGTATCCTTGCAGTTCCCAGCTCACTGAACACGAAGACTGAAGGTGACGCCTACGTCGTCGAGGGAATCGGTTATGACTTCATTCCGGACGTGCTATCTCGCGATCCCACCGATATAGACGAATGGATCAAAACCAATGACACAGAGGCATTTGATGCGGTTCAAGCGCTTATGAGGAACGAGGGACTTCTGGTTGGAGGGAGTAGTGGAAGTGCTCTGTCAGGTACGCTGAAATGGTTGGAAACAAGAAAGGATATCGCAGAAACGTTGGGATTGAATGTGGTGGTCATACTTCCTGATGGGTGAGTTCGTTTTTCATTATCTATTCAACTTGTGCGCTCATGTATGTCTAGAATTCGGAATTATATGAGCAAAGATTGGTTCTTGAGCCGTGCCCTGCATGGAGAACCCACCCCGCTCGCGCAAGCCATCGCAAGAGTTCTGCAGGAACCTATTGCAAACGATGTTTAAATTACTTGACGAACATGTTATCTTTATTGGAGATAAAATAGCATGTATAATCGTAATACCAACTAAGAAACGAAGGAATTTAGGACTACCACAGGGATGATCTGCTCTACCCAAACAAGAGAGCTCGTCTACAGAGGTGGACCATCTAGTAGTTGATTAGACAACTAGAGTACATCGATTTTGGCGCATCACCAGAACCAAGTAGTTGTGGATGCGTAATTGCACTACTCGGGCAGAAAGTGGCCAGGAAAAAGGAAAAATCCTTTGAATAAAGATAGAGGTCACGCAAAAGAGCATAGGTAACATTGTCAATTGAGAGGAAAGGTGGTGGTACTCGGAGGAAGAGCATGTCGAAATTTTTTTTGGAAAAAGCGCTTATAAAGACCAGCGCCAAAGTCAATGCCTTCGAAACCAAACAGAGCCCACCGCGTCGTCCATTAACGATCATTCACACCTTCATGCTTGTTCTACGACCGCCTCTCTTTCCCACTCATATTCATGCCTAATGACAACCGAGTCGAAAGTAAAAAATGCTACTACACTTCTACATAGCGGCAAAGTCAAAGAGCGTCAAGAAGGACTCAGCGCGCTTCGAAATATCTTCTCTCAGAATTCCTCTATAGAACGGTTCTACAATGTTGCCGGTCGAGACGGGCGGAAACCATCGCATGAAATATGGGCTCCGATACTTGACGGTCTTCAAACTTGCATAAGATCTGAAAAGACTGCATTTGTCACCGCAAAAAAGAGTACAGATGTCATTGAGAAGAGGTTAGCCGCGGCGGCTGGGACTTATCGATGGTTTGTTGAGAAGTCGATGATGCATTTTGCAAAGAAAACTGTCCTCGAAATATGCCACTTCCTATATAGGGAAATGAAGGTGCGAGAAACTCTCATACCATCGGTTGCGCTGGATTTTATCAAAGCGTATGAATGTGTGGCGTCTCATCCTCCTCATTTGGCACGGTTAGAAGAAGACGAAATAGAGTGGGAGGAAATCGTCGAACTATCACTCAATGTTGTGCTCAGGAAGCCTTTGAGGACACCACTTGCCAAAGACATTCCATCCCAGGATCCGCCAAGTCCATCGCATACTGATAACTCCGAGATGTTTGTGGAGGATTCTCTTGCATACAACGAAGATGAGGATGTGGATGCTCTCCCTGGGAGTAAACGAAGACGTGGTGCTTCGCAACCTGGTCCCGCAGCTTCGAAGCACCCTCGATACACGACTTCCAAACCTGTATCTGCGGAGCAGGTAGCTTGTATGTCCCTTTTGTCGGTCCTCTTCAAGTCTAGTTCTGCCCCTCTTCTAAAAAGTAGCATTGTTCGTCCCGTTCTTCGCAGCCTAGAAGGCTTCTTTGAAATATACTCTTCCGAAACCTCCCTCCATCACGACTTTCTTGCGGCTACGCTGTCAACTCTGAAACACGTATCCTTGAATCACAAAGACGATGTGGTTCGCTTTGCTGCCAATAGCTGGGATCGATTGCTTAATTTGTGGGGCACGAAAAACAAGGCTTTGAAGGAAGGATTGGTTTCCATCCTACGAATGCTCTTTCCTTTCCTTACTGCAGATCCTAATATTGGAGAGTCACCTACTAAGCCGTGGATCGAAAATTTGACGAAGCTTTGGCATCTCATGTGTGGGCAGGGGGATAAGCGGTGGAATCTTGACCCGCTTTCTTTGTGTGCTGTTCGATTGGAAGTCTCCACTCAGGACGATTACCAAAAGGCCTTTAGAGCAAAGACTTTTCGTGCCAGTGCTCAACTTGATCCATTCCAAGCACTCACATGGGCGATGCTAGAGCTGCAAGCTGATTGCTTGGCGAAGGTACGCTGAATGCGGACATACCCCCTACTCGTCTAACCGTGCTCTCGTATTGTAGCTTTATCAACACTTCGAATCTAACCCCGTGTCGTCAACCCAACCGCAATCAACACAATCGAGCAAACGCCCTCGTCTACTCGAGAACCCTGTGACATCCCTGCTCAAATCTGTGCAGCAACCTCCCATGCGCATCTACAATTTACAAATACTCTTGTTCTTCATTGACCGACATTGGAATACTCCACATGAATCTATGCAATCAGATATCATTCGCACTCTTCTGGATCACGTAACCAATGATGACGGGACTGTGCAGAGCTGGGCTTTCGTATGCCTTGCTGCTCTAGCATCTGCGGATTGCGATAATGCTGCCAGTCTTCTCTCTTCTCAAACTCTCTCCGCCTCTGCCGTTCCTCCAACTACCATCCAGACGAGATATATGACGAGCGTGTCTACCCGAGGTGCTTCCACTTGGGATTCTGTATGGACACATGCGATTCGCCGTACTAATTCACCCCAAGTATGTCGTGCCGCTTGCCACACCGCGAGTATCTTGCTCGTTTACGCTAACACTGGCTCTGCCCGACAATCGCTCGTCAGATCTTCCCTTACCTCTCATCGCGTTCTTTCCGAAATCGAAACTCTTGCGAAGGATCTAGATGTTCAAGGTCCCGTTGCCCCTTTCGATTCCGTTTGCACGTTTCTTTCGCTTTGCCTGAAAGTCGCAAATCAGGACGTTCGCCTGTACCGTATGCAGCTCGAAGAAAAAGTTTTAACTTGGCTGATCGACTCGTGGAGGCCTGCGCACATGGAAGATCCCGAAGCACCACTGTATCTGGTCAGCGACGTACTAACATTACTGGAGGCTATCTGCTCATCCTCACAGCGGAGTTCACTCGTTTGTCGGGTGAATTTACCGCAGTGTTTGATAGTAGAAACTTTAATAGCCGAGGAGCAGGCTAGAGTCATACGTGATTACTTGTTGGATGCCAAGCTACCCTCTGTCAAGTTTGATGGTAGTCGCCCAGAGTCTTCTGCATCCCCCAACGAATCTTCGGACTTGGGGAATGCCACTTTCATGGCGCCCATCCCCGCCGAAACGGACCTCGTGCAGCCGCGGTCCAGAGAACGTAAAATCTCGGTGTTCTTCCTAAAATGCCTCGAATCAGCTCTATCGCCATGGCAGGAAGGTTCAGACAATACCATAGTCCTTAGGGCTCCTGCGGCCAAGAGGGCTTTAGATATTGCTGTGGTCGGCCTGTCTTTTGAGTTCGTCCTTGTTCTGAACGGTATACAGTGCAATAGACGTGTCATACAGGCAGCTTGCAAGTTAATCACCTCGATTGCCAAATTACTTGATCAGTCTCAGTGGAGTATAGAGGAAAAAGGCGCCGTCCTTCTCTCATTGGAACCTTTAGTCTGCCTTGACGCCGAAACTTACGATGTTGCTTCTTGGACTGTATTACTGCCACCGACTCGAGGTACCGGGATCCGTTCTCAGACTCTGAAATCTCTCCTGTTGGATGACGATAGGCGGCAGAAAACTTTGCGATTGGAAAGAATGAAGCATCTCAAAACATTATGGCGGAACCCTGACGTGAGGGGTGTTATTCAACCGTTATTTTATCTAACCATTTCATCCAGGTACAAGCCACCTTTAGTGGCATCTCAGAAGTCTTCAAAGACATTCTTAGAGTCGTCATGGGCCAACCTTCGAAATTGCCCGCTGACGCCATGGTTGTTGATGACAGCTTTAGTACTGCTGGTCGCAGTCCATCGCAATCATTGGGAGCCACATTGGGTACCGCCGCTCAGATTTCGGCAACCCGCCAAGTTGCAGGCATCTCTATCCTGTTTTTATCTGTCGGTCCTCTTTTGCAGCAAAGCGCAGGCGAGCCGACACGCGATAAAGAGCTGACAGAATTGATGCTTGAAGGTGCAGAATTGGACCTCGACCGTTTCCTGCTAGCGTGCCCGGTATATTTCAATTGCATTCGAAACCAGACTCTGAACTTGAGCCTCAACCATTTGGCCCAATTCATCACTGTCCTAGCGGACCATCTAGTGCGATATCCAAATGTCAAGAGTGAAGAATTCAACCTTCAAATGATCTCATTCCTCGACGCAACGCTGTCCCTTTGGATATCTTTGGCGAACGTAAATCAAAATGCTGCTGATAACTTTCGGGAGCTTTTCGATCATTATTCTAAACATCTCCTACGTGGAAGGCTGAAGCATTGGAAAATCCGTGACTCAGTCGCGCGTCTCTACAACAGATATCTCACTCTTGATCCTTCGCAGAATGCATGGATGGACCAGGACGAACAGACAACATCCCCCATGTATATTCTTCCCATGTTAATCGAAGATATTGATATTCGCGTTAGATTTCGAGCTGTTGTAATAAATGCGCGGCTCTTTGAAATCTCAAAGAATCCCATGGCACTATATGACACGATCAGGCAGAAATATACCACAGAGCTCGAGCAGTGAGTCTTACTGTACTACCGCGCACACACAGTCAAAGTAACTCTTCTCAACCAGTTTCGAATTGATGCTCACTAGGATACTTTCATTGGGAAATATCATGGTTGTGAGCTCCGCCGTTCGACGCGGACCTTACTGGCATCTGCTGGAGACATGCTTCTTTTCGACCAAATATAATCGGCACATTGAAACGCTCCTCACCGGAGTGTCTCAACGCATGGGTCTGAATAAATTATCAGATCTGTTCGAGGCTTACGCATATCAGTTGGCGTTTTCCATACTTCAAGGCGAACACAACGTCTTACAGCTCCCTGTCAATCTTCTCGGGTACAGGGATCTCAAGGAGCGCGCCAACGAAACGATTCGAGCTTTTACCCCTGCTAACCTTGTGGTTGTCGGCAATCCTACGATTAAGGAAGCAGGACGGAGCCTGTTCGTAGGACACTGCCAGGCAACACAGAGACAGCCAGAGGAAGTCATCCGTGAATGTTTCGGAGATCTCGTGGCCTATCAAGTGCTCGTTATTTTGGATGGGAACAGCCGGTCTGCAGAACAAGTAGAGGCGAAAATTCTTGAAACCCTCGAAACATATGATCCTTCGGTCTTTCGGGAAACGTTGAAAGATAGCGTAGATAGCATAGCCGCATCGATAATGCGGACCCTGAATGAACAGGATTTCACTGAAAACGGTTCGATTGTCCATGCCCTACGCACTCTTGACGGCTCGACTGGTCCAGCTCCGCTTTTCTCCCGTTTAACACGCTATCGACGGCTCGAAGATATCGATACTCACATGACTAATCTCCCAAATTTTAGCCCCAAAACCATCCTGAAAGCTTTGACATGGCTCACGACGGAGGTCCCAGGCGGAGATAATCATGCACTCACCTATCATGTTCTGCAGATGCTTTTTGCAAATCTCCAGCGATCATTTCTCATAAACGAACAGATGAGGCTAGTCAATGCTATCTTGTTATGGGTCGTGTATAGGCATCAAAGGACGAGTTTCGATGATACGACTCTGCTACACGCACTCGTTCGTGGGGCTTGCTCAATGCTGGGGCAGTGGGATTTGGTACCAGCTGCTCAATCCATTCTGGAATGGTGTTTCTCCCTCTACGATTCACGCATCGATCCTCGATTTCCTGATATTCTCATCCGTGTGGCTTGTTTGTGTCACGATTATGCCACAGATGCCGATGACGATTCCCAAGAAAGATGTCAAGCATTACTTCAGTGGGTCGATGGTCAAACTTATGCACTTTCTTGTAGACCTAGTGTTTGTGAGCAAGTAAAGTTAGCTCTCCCGGCTTGGCCTCATAAGCCTTCCGAAATACTAGGCCCGCTGTCCGACTCCATAGATCCGGCCAGTTTGTCCAAAGTCCTTACCGACAGACATATATCTTCGAACAAGTTTCGCTTAGTTCGCCGTCTTCGGGACCAATCTCAGCTTCATATATACGACCATTCACAATTCGCTCAAACAGACTTTTGGAAACTGAAAGAGTGTATGCCAGCGACTCACCAGCTTCGTGAAGAAGATGTGCATGCTTTCGCCAGTTTATTGGTATTAAACCAAGGTTCTATCAATGGGTTTGGCAGTGAACCGGAGAAAAAAATATCCCCTTCTTTCCAAGTCAAGTCCCGTCAGCAGAAAGAAGTCGCAAAAGCCAAACTTCATACTCCCCAAAGCTCATTGATACTTGTTCTCCTAACCATGCTGGACAACCATGACGATGATGGCTCTCGTTATGCTGCATATCAAACCCTGCGCGCTCTGATGTTGACCTTGCCGCTGGATCTTTTCGAAGTGCTATCACAATTTTGGCCTGCAGAATATCGGATTGAGGTCTGCTACTTGCGGGAATTCCGTCTGATTGCCACAAAGCGACAGATACCCGAATTATCTTCAACTTTGTCTGCTGCTAAATTCATTGAAACGGCACAAGATTTCTCAGCCTGGATAAGTGCATTCGCAATTCTTCTTGCGGATGTCTTGTCCGCGTCCAATCCATTTTACGCACAACTCTGTGCTATTCTCGCCTCCCATATCCCTTTCACTACTACGGTTCTACCGTTACTAGTACAAACTCTTCTACAATCACCTGACGGAAATTCACATTCCTTAACGTTATCGCGATATTTTGAACAGGTCCTTTCATCAAGCAAAACGGCTGTCCTATGCCGCAGATCCATCATCGACATTGTTCTACATCTGCGCCACATAGACCATGACGGCCGTGATGCACTGGCGTACAACCAATGGCTCAATGTCAGTTTCCTTTCCCTTGCTCAAAATGCGATAACTTGTGGAGCATATACGACCGCATTACTCTTCCTGGAATTAGACGCCGAGTACAGGGACCGGTCCGGCGATGATGATGTCTCTAGAGATACTGAGCAAATCATGTATGAAATCTACAGTAATATTGACGAGCCCGATGGTTTTTATGCTATCCGGACCCAAGATCACCATCAATTTTTGATGAGGCGTTTCCATCACGAGAAAGAGTGGGGGAAAGCTTTTCGATTCCACGGTGCAGCTCTAGAAACGGACACCCAAAACGCAACGGAGATCGAAGGCCTTTTACAATCCTTCCACTCTTACGGTTTTAACCATATCGCAACACAGACGCTCCTTAATTCAGATCAAGAAAATCCGAATATCGCATATCGGTTGGGTTGGAGAGCAGAGACTTGGGATCTTCCGGAATCTAATGACGGGTACCATCCTGGTGCTTCGCTGTATCTTGCTCTTCGCGCGGTACATCGCGAACGGGATCAGGGGGTTACCGACGCTGTCATCCGGCATGTTCTGTTCAAAGAAATGGACCATCTCCGCACTCTTGGATCTGAGAATATTGCTCAAATACGTGAGGCAATCCAGTCACTGATGTGTCTTAGTCAAGCGATACAATGGAGATCTTCCTCGATTCAGGACCTTATCGTTGGTAAATGTACAGATGTTTCGAAATGGTCGACGTTCACTACAGTAGAATCTGGTTTCCAGTGAGCTTTTTTCTTTTTTTTAAAGTCTAACTTTTCTGACTTATTCCGTTAAATAGCTTCGACGATATAGAGAGTATCATGGCCACTCGCATATCACTTGTTAAGTCTGCCAGACGCAAAGAGCAGCGTCACCAGATTGGTACTATGCACTCTCCCTTCAGCCAGACCTTACTAGACGTAGAGAAGATATGTCTCCTTGGTTTATCACAGGCGGCTCGAGAGACTCGTCAGAATCAAATAGCGCTCAATTCGGTTTTTCGAGCCAAAAACCTCGAAGATATCCCATCTTTCGTAGTCACGGAAGAGTTTGCATCTGTTCTTTGGGCACACAAGGAGGAGAAACATGCTGTAGAGTATCTCAAAGATCTACGGAGGGTGGGAGGAAATTCAGATCCTATATGGCAAGCACGAGTGACGGCGCGACTGGTACGTTTTGAATCACACTTTGGTTTCTCATCTATGAACGTGAAACTCCAGGGTTCTTGGACTTCGGAGGCTTGCCTTGAACAACCATCCTTTATCAAGCATGAATTCTTCGAGAAAGCGATTTCCCTGATTAAACAAAATGCTCATGATAGCGAAGGACGAGCTTCTGTGTGTCATCAGTTTGCCAAATTTGCTGAAGCTCAGTACAAGGCGGCCCTCGATTCACCAGATCTCATTCGCTTGAACGTGTACAAAGAACGCAAAGAAAAGGAGCTTAGGCACTACGAACAGTTGAAACACGAACAAAAGGGGCGTATTGTGGACAAGAATTTAGCTAATACCATTGCTGCAGTCCAAAAGGTTTTAGCTCAGGACAATAAAGCTACGTCAGACTTTATTAGCAGCCGCGATGCCTATCTGAAGCAGGCCATTGAAATGTACTCTCGGTGTCTCGAGGCATCGGATAAATTTGATGCAGACGTCCCTATTCGATTTTGCTCACTGTGGTTATCCAACTTCGACTATGATCCTATACAGGAAAAACTGCACAAAGCTTTGCAGCGAGTGCCGTCTCGTAAACTTGTATTCTTGGCAGTAAGTGGTACATGATATAGGTTGAGGTTGTCATTCTCACATCTTGCTTGCAGCATCAGATATTCTCTAGGATTGATAAAACAGATTCTTCATCACAGAAAACATTACAGCCAACAATGCTTCAGATGTGCACCGAGCATCCTTTCCACAGCCTCTATCAACTCTACTGTTTGCAGCCTCCAAAAACTCAAACGAAGATTGATCGACGAAGCTCCGGTCGTGTCTCTAGCGGAAGAACTACAGAATTACCTCCCACTGGTAGATCTTTGGCAGCTAAGATCATTTTTGACAAACTATTGAATGATCCAAAAACCCGCACGCGTACCGCTGCTGTTCAGGAACTCTGTGATGCGTCATTGAAGTTTGCGAATTTCCCGGTCAGCCAATCAAAAGAGAAGAAAGTTCCCGACGATCAACCTATTCGAACTTTGCACTTAAGTCGCGGAACAGTTCCCGTCATCACTGCCTACACTCCCATTGACCCAACCATGCGTTACGATCCTGGAAACTGTGTTTGCGTAGATAAATACGCCAGCGAATTCGACACTGCTGGTGGAATAAATCTGCCGAAAATCATTTTCTGTCATGGTACAGACGGGAAAAAGTACAAACAACTTGTGCGTACGCTGACGACTATATTCCTTCCTTTAATTTTTCATCACTCTTTTCAGTTCAAAGGCGACCAAAAGGACGATCTACGACAGGATGCTGTTATGGAGCAAGTATTCGACCTTGTCAACGTTGTTCTCAATCGTGATGTCGAGACGAAGAGGCGTAATCTATACATTCGAGGGTATAAGGTAATCCCCCTAGCGAGTCAAGCGGGCATCCTTGAATTCGTAGGGAACACAACGACGCTCAAGAGTTGGCTCGACAGAGCCCACGTCCGGTCCGTTGTTCTATCTGTGCATAGTTCTCAATACTCATTAGATACCCCAGGTACCGGCCTAATGACATGAGGAATATCGTAAAGAAATTGGCGGAACAACAAAAAAGTCCTGGTTCAACCCCCGAAGCCAACCACCAATTCTACGTACAGTGTATGAAGAATTTCAAACCTGTGATGCGACACTACTTTACAGAAATTCACAAAACGCCCATCGCTTGGTTCCGTACCAGGTTGAACTACACTCGGAGCGTCGCTACAACTTCCATCGTTGGTCACATATTGGGCCTCGGTGACCGCCATACCTCCAATATCCTAATGGACAACAGCAAGGGTGAAGTCATCCACATTGATCTCGGCGTAGCCTTCGATCAAGTAAGTCGAGTACGTTTATAGTTGAAACATACAAGCTCTAATTGGTTGCAGGGGAAGCTTCTGCCTGTCCCAGAGAACGTTCCGTTCCGAATGACCCCTGACATGGTGGACGGAATGGGGATTTCAGGGACAAATGGCGTATTCCAGCGATGTGCTGAAGAAACTCTTCGTGTACTTCGGGATGAGTCAGACGTCATAATGACCGTTTTACAAGTTTTTCGTTATGATCCTCTATACAATTGGTGAGGGTTCCGAGCTTTGCAAGTTATGCACAATTTCGATGCTCACACAACGTCTCCAGGACGATGAGTGATTACAAGATGAAGAAGCAAGCTGAGATCGATGACTCTGCGACGACGACAACGATGATTATGAAGAATCCCGAGAACGAGAGGATCCTCACGGAAAGATTGGGTATTGGGATTAACCTGGATAGTACTCGTGCACAGGAAGATGCAGATCGTGCACTGATGGGTGTTTCCGGGAAACTCAGTAGGAATTTGAGTGTCGCTGCCGCAGTTAGAACGTTAGTCGCGGAAGCAACTGACACATACAACTTGGGCACGATATTCTATGGTGCGTCTTACTTGCTACGTCCAAAAGATATCGCTGACATTTATTACTTTGTCAGGTTGGGGACCCTACTATTGACGGATTTATTTTCTTCGTTTAATTTCTTGGATTAATTTTTCAAATCTGCCTATGACACCAATGTATCAACTAAAAAAGCATTAAGCATACTGTATTGCCCTTACTCAATGTACTCAAACATTTGTATCCCGGCCTCCATCGTTTGCGATTTCCTCATTCTCTGCCCACCGTTCTCGCTCATCTACTTTCCGAGAGTTGCCCTTCGCATGACTCACTCGCAGGACACTGCCCAAGGCCCGTTTCCCGTTGAAGACTTTAACAGCGTGTGCTGCATCCTGAGCACGAACAAAGTCCACAAAGACATAGTAATTGTTACCAGGTCTCGGTGGGTTCGGAGTTATCCGCTTGGAGATAGCCTCTCTGTTGATAGAGCGGATGAAGTACTAATCAGGCTTTCAGAAAACTTCAGACGTACAGCTCGTATCCCCTGAAAATGTCACGGACGGCATCATTCACAGCGCGATGTGTTGTCATTTGAGGGAGACCTCCAACGTACAGTCGTCTGCCTTGATCGGCATAGCCCTTCCAATGCAGCTCAGCATCATCTCGCTCCCAACCCTCAAATACCAAAGATGCGGCTAGGTTGTTTGCAAAATCGGCAGGAGACCGTCTTGGACGTGGGTTTACGCCTTGTAAAGGAGTGTCTTGAACTGCATTTTCTTCATCGTTATTCTGGCGCGTGCTTCTGGGAACTCCAGGCCGTACTTTCAAGGGACGTCCCATAAACATCTGACCATTCAAACTTTCCATAGCGCGCTCTGCGTCTTCCTTCGTCAAAAGCTCCACGAAACAGTACGATAGGTTTCGTCCAGTGAAAGGATCGATAGAGATATCGATGTGCTCTCTATTATTCAGTGATTAGTAGTGCTTCAGCTGATTCCAAGAAAAGATATAGGTTTTTTTTCGTACACAGGATAGGCCTCAAACAGTTTCTCAACGTCCGTGCGTTTAGAAATATAAGGCATATTTCCTACGTAGACGCGACGTCCTTCTTCGATTGCCTTTGAGGCATCGTGCGTTATATTTGTACGCTGTCCCGACGCGTTCCATGTTTTTTGTTGTTGCGTTTGGATTGCTGAACTTGAGCCGTGCTCTCTTGGTCTGTTAGGAGAACTTCGGTACGTGAACTTGTTCTCGGAAACATTGTTTGACGATGTAGAAGGGGAAGGAGGCTTCTTCTTCACGCGCCAATTATCTGATTCTGACATCGGATGAACAGGAGGCGTTGTAGGCTGACTAAGCAACACCTTTCATTCATGGGTTCTGTTCAGGGCAAAAGGACCACCTCATTGCGTATTGTCGTCTATGCTTGTTTATACTCGAAATGAATTACAATTCAACATTCCCCATCAAGGTGGTAACATATATTGTATCTCTTTCAATCCCAAGTGGACTTGGTTCTGGTACAGTAACGCTCGAAGTTACACGTTTGCCAAGTCTGAACCAAGACCCATTTGAGGACCTGAGGATGGAAACGTGGAGATACAGATGAAATTCATTCCAGAGTTCAAAGATTGACGCGTTCCAGGATCTACGCTCACAACGGAGAGTGTCTGCTATCCTGGTCTGCTGCCTAGGTATTTATTATCCGTGATTAATGCCAGATTAATGCCTTCTCCGTTTCTAATTCTTCGCTGACGTTGAGACCGACACAGAAGTCACTGCAAGCCATCACCGGCATCCGAGAGGCCGACGCACAACAGGATGATGTTGAGTGATGCTGATTGGTCCTATAGGAACCAGTAACTTCTCTGAGTATTGAATTTATTATTGATACACAAACAAAGGCTGAGAAGGCTTTAAAAAGGTTACAAAGACGAAGTACCATCGGATCCATCTAAATCGAGATCAAGGTATGGAAGGAGCGAACTTGATGAGGTGTAGAATCCAAAAGAGTGGTACAAAAGATGATAAGAAGATCATGATAGTTGTTTCGGACAGCACTGGCTGGTGTGAAAGCGGTGAAGAGCCTGGCACGTGGTAGACTAGAATTCGAATGATACTTTATCGCACAGCGAACAGCCTGAACTGAGAACGTCGACGTTGTTCACAACTTTTTTTCTCTCTCTCTCTCTATCTCTTTGCCACCCTCAGCCGGCACCATCACCTCACAGGAAATATTGGAGAATTAAATAACGGCTTGCGCCTAACAACGATCGGCCTGGCTGTGTCAGGATATGTCCAGTGTTCAGCAACGCCGTCATTCCAAGAACATTACAGTTGAATACCACAGGTATTTTTCTCGTTTTCCTTTCTGTAATTATTCATCAATATTCCCAGGCCGAGCCGGGAGAGTGTCGCCGAGTACAACGCTTTACTCGCTGAATCTAATCTTCACGCTGCAGAAGCCAACAAATACAAGGGCTTTAATCCTTCTCGAGCTGCACCTGCACCGCCTCCAAAATCTACTCTCCATAAGTCACGGACTAGAAAACTTTCTTTACCAGCCAATCCAGTTCCACAGTCACCGTCTGTGCCAGCTATGACAACTTCTTCGCCGCCACCTCGTCCTTCTCGTGCCAACACGGCAAATTTGAACGATCTTTTTCAGGCAGAGCCCATCCCAAGCAAAACAAGACGTCTTTCTCAACCAGGTCCAATATTGTCCAACGACAGTCAGTTCTACGCTGATCCTGTCGAATCACTGCCGCCAGCAGACTACAACAACTCCGCAGGGACCATCGCCAACAGATCCCGAAGTAGCACACAGTCTAAACCCAAAAAGAGTGTTCTCGGCTTCATTTTTAACTCTTCCAAACGCCCAGAAATTTCCACTCCGTACGATCCTGTCCATCTTACCCATGTCGGCTTCAACTCTTCCACCGGAGAGTTCACCGGTCTGCCGAAAGAATGGCAGCAACTTCTGCAGGAAAGTGGCATCTCCAAGTCGGAGCAGGAAAAGAATCCGCAGGCTGTCATGGAAATTGTCAAGTTCTATCAGGAGGGTCATGGCGACGTCTGGGACAAGCTGGGAGCCATGGGTGGAAACACGCCCGATTTAGCTAGTGGACTATCTTACGGAGGAGGAAAAAGCAGTAATGTTGATGATAACATTCAGAGTACAGTAAGTTCTCGTTTTCGTTGCAATGACCCACTTTACTGACATTTGTCGTCTAGCGCGTTCCTCCGGCACCTCCGAAGAAGCCTAGTGCACCGTCATCGTATCGTCCTGCTCCTTCTCCTCCAACTGCTGTCACACCTTCTCTTGACCGCTCCACCTCACAACGTACACCGTCCAAGCCCGTCCGACCAAGTGAACCATCTGTCGGCCGGTCTAATACTACTCGCGATCGACGTCCTCCTGCCACCGGTGTATCCTCGGCCCCTGCGTCCAGTGCAGGTTCGTCACAGCAGTCAGCTCACCGCACACCCAAAGTCTCACCTGGATCATCTTCAACTGATTTGCCGCTTAAACCACCTCAGCCCCATCGGGAAGCTCCGCGGGCGACAGAAGGCCGTCAACAACAGCCAGCTCCCTCACCTGCAGCACAGCAACTCGCTAAAGCAGCCGGTGGAGGTGTTGCTACTCCCCGAAGACGCGAGAAGAAGCCAGTAGACAAGGATAAAGAGGAAGACATCGTTCGCCGATTACAACAGATTTGCACGGATGCAGACCCTACCAGACTGTATAGAAATCTTGTTAAGATAGGACAAGGGTATGCATGCGCCTCACGCTTTCTTCATTTGTTCCATGTATTGACTTGCTATTTTTTCATTTCTTTGCAGAGCTTCTGGTGGCGTATACACTGCCTACCAGGTTGGAACAAACCTTTCCGTAGCCATCAAACAGATGGACCTTGAAAAACAGCCCAAAAAGGACCTCATCATCAATGAAATCCTCGTTATGCGTTCTTCACGTCATCCAAACATCGTGAATTACATTGACTCGTTCCTGTACAAGAATGATCTGTGGGTCGTGATGGAGTACATGGAGGGTGGTTCATTAACGGACGTTGTTACCGCCAACTTGATGACTGAAGGCCAGATCGCCGCTGTTTCGCGGGAGACTGCACAAGGGTTAGAACACTTGCATAGGCACGGTGTTATTCACCGAGATATCAAAAGTGATAACGTGCTGTTGAGCATGGTTGGAGACATCAAGCTTAGTGCGTGTTTTTTTTCGTCGCTTCCCACCCGCAAAGAGTTTACAACTTTTCGTTCCTGCCCACAGCCGACTTTGGTTTCTGCGCTCAAATATCTGATCCTGCACATGCTAAACGGACGACAATGGTTGGAACTCCGTACTGGATGGCGCCCGAGGTTGTTACACGTAAAGAATACGGACCAAAAGTTGACATTTGGAGTTTGGGGATCATGGCAATCGAGATGATCGAGGGCGAGCCCCCTTATCTCAACCAGAATCCGCTCAAGGCCCTCTACCTCATTGCCACGAATGGAACACCTAAGATCGCCAATCCGGAGAATCTGTCAGCAACGTTCAGTGACTATTTGGCAAAGACGTTAGAGGTTGATGCGGAGAAGAGGCCGACAGCGACAGAGTTGCTACAGGTAAGGTCCTGTATATTGACGTTAAATTTCTTTATATTAATTAATCATCTTGTAGCATCCCTTCTTCAAACTATCGGAACCTCTCCGGACGTTAGCGCCGCTTATCAAGGCTGCAAGGGAAATCGCAAAGAACAAGTAATGACCGGTACAAAAGAATGCGAAGGAAGAACGAAAGAAAGAAAGAAGAAGAAGAAGTACAAACAAACGGCAGGTCCTGGTGATATCATATACATTCAATCCCTAAAGTCAAGAGATTGTTTGAAATTTTCGTCCTTCCAATGTGTTGTACTTATAATATGTGGATGAAGTATCGAATTTGGGACCTATTCCTCGTGTCACAATCCTTCCTATAGCCTCTCATACCTACCCTCGCTACATCGGTTCTTCGATGCTTCTACTCGTCGAGTTGCATGCGCACCGAGATGTCCTTATTTCACCGCTATTCTACACAGGATTCTAGATTTCCCTTTCTCTTCTTCTCCGCTCCATTTCTTCGTTACATTCAAAATACTCATTCATTATCTGTCTCACAGTCTTTCTTCTAAGCTACCTTTCTTGAAATATCTTTCACTCATTATTCATCATGTTTCGTGCATGTGTAACTTGCTCTTCTTTAACCCTTCCTGGGCTTCACCTGTTAATCTTTCTGAAACGTTTCTTTCTCCTTTACTTTTCTCTTCGTTCGACCCTTCAACGATTCATTATTCCCCTATTGTTTTCGAACGCTTGCACGCAGTAAGTATACGACTGATCTATCGTTACCCTTAAAATTATATCCCTGCAAAAAAAAAATACACCGTCTCTGTTTGTAAATGTTCCAAAGAAGGCAGAACGACCGCAGTTGGTAGTTCAAGTGTACTTTAGAGAGCTGTCCTCTAAAATCTGCTTGGGCGTTATCGGATAAGCGCCTATCTTCAAGATGCTTCTTCACTGGAGTTCAACGATTTCAACGATTCCAAGTAGCAAAGGCTTGCAATTCTCTGAGCCATCAGGTCACAATGCCACGGGGGACCGCCCATTACCGCAGTACAAGTTCCGTTAATTGACGCGTCGAAATTTGCGGAAACGGGTCTCTTCCGGAGCAAACTTTTCTTCCCAGTAACTTGCTAGTTTTCGAAAGAAGAGGACCGTTCCTTGCGGCAAAGACAAAGGTATTATTTGCAATTTGCAAGTGGCCAGCATTTGACATCGGAGCGGTGTGTCCATTTCTGATTCTGTGGATATGGAAACCCCTACTAGACCATTGTTTGTCTCTTTTTAGCATTCTGGGTTGTCTGACATTTGAATTTCAAATCCTTTGTTAGTACCGGTATATAAACGCGCGTGCAGCATTTCCGCTACACCCACGAACGATCCACAAACTCTCATTGATAACACTATTTTCGACAGCTTTGCTCTCTTCTGCTTTAATATCATGATGGCATCTTCTGCTGTGCTAGCCGCCGTTACCCTAGAAGATAATCCTTTCATCGAAGGTGTTGGAACCACAGATATAACTCCTCAGTCCGCTAGTCACCAACATCGTATTCTTCATAAGAAGAAGAGCTCTCACGACTTACGAGACGACTATAACCAGGCTTCCACGGAGAGCCCCCAAGTTTCGCAGACAACGGAATCGTCCAGTACATGATGTTTTCTTATCGTCATGTGAACAATCCATAAGGTGTGTGCTGCGTATCAAGCTGTTTAACTCATTCTTACTACGTCGAACTTAGATTTGGACTGCATGGCCACTTCTTTCCCCTCGACGCTCCAAATTTTGTTCCTCAACTGACTCTTCTGGGCCTCCCCATTCAAATTCTGCAAATGTATTATTACATGTTATGCTGCACAATTATGACCATCATGCCGTTGAATATCCATGGACTTTGCATCTGTACCTTTAAAATCTGCTCGATGCGTGTATCTTGTATATATATCATTATTCTATGGTCCTCCGTTGAGTCTGAATTTAATACTCATGGTCGTGCGACGTAGTGAATAAGATGAACAAAAATGGTGTCATGGAAGTCGAAATTATCCTGGTGCTCGTCAGTTTTCGTATACGATACTCGGTGTTACTTGTACTTAGTGCATAGTTCTCGTCGATGGCCAGGAAGCTCATCAATCTCACGATACGGGCAGCCATGGAAAGTAATTTACTGAATTACAGAATAACCTTCGCGCCATATCGGATAGGGTAACGGTGGAGGAAGTTCAGGCAATCGTCGGAGATATCGTCCAAAATAGTAGCAGTAAAGAATAAGGTTTATTGAAGGGCACAAGATCTTACGATGTCAGAGTATAATTGACAGTGGAGGTATCAATGATAGATGAGATAGATGGATCCAGATAGACACACGGCTCCGCGAAATTACTGGAGTATCTATCTCTAACCAATGCATTCGACTCATCTGATGAACTTCAATGCGTGCCAGACATTCTCCTCTTTGGCACTGATTCCTCGAAACAAAACCAGGACAAAGAGACAGCAACGCTGCTATGCACTGTCCAAAATTGTGGAGGCCACCTAGAACAAAGGGAAAGAGCGCGGTAAACAAGGATTGTCGAGACCACTAGGCTTCGACCATATTCACAAGGAACAGGTATAGCGTATGAAAATAAGATGTTACTCCTGTCAAGGGTCTGTGAAATGGGCAGTTACTACGTGTAGTCTTCGACTAGGACGATCTCATGACACATACCCATAATGTAGATAGTTCTAGTAGAAATCAAGTTGCACCTCTGCTCTTTCGTGACCATGAGGCGAGTCTGGTGCAACACTCAAGGCTTCTCTCAACTCTAAGGGAATGGCCAATAGCCCTTGCGAGGACAGATCAGCTCGGTATACATGGAACAGATGAACGTCCTGCAATATGACTGCATCTCCGTAACGGAGATACCCCACATTGCATCTGACGCCTCGCAAGCAAACCGTCTGCAAAGTTGGACACGAATGCGTCATCCAATTCACGAACGACCCCAGAGGAAAATCGGGATTAATTGATTTGGGAGCATCCGGACTGTAAATCACTTCGAGGGTGTTGATTCCGGTCAGTACGAGGGGGTTAGAATTGAAGACACGATTCAGGGAAAACTCCACAGAACGGAGTTTTGGTATAAGGATATGAAAGGCAGACCGGGAGTCCTCCGTGTTACGGAGCACCACACTGTGTTCAGACGAGCAATCTCCGAGAAGCAATTCAACTGCGTGGCAATTCGACCGTTGAGCAATTCGATACACATCATTTAAGACGCTGGGAGCGTTTGAAGCAACCGACATTCTCTGCAACGATGGAAAGTTTATGTTCACCCCTGGCGGAAAGGCGAGATCAACAACTTTAATGGTCAAGCTCTCCAAATTGGGAAGACGGCGAAATGGAAACAGACGTCGGGGATGGTTGTATCCGCAATCAATGACCAAAGATCTGAGCTCGCAGAACCACTCATCCTCTGTTGGAGGATCCTGACCTTGCTCTGTCTCCACGTTGAACTGTGGAAGTATGCCATGATAATTCATCTGTAGACTCCATAGAAGGGAGCCTTCCGATCGTACAAACAACTGAGAGATGCGTTTGTGATAAACATCGTCGTCGCGGGCGAATGTTTGCACACAAGAAGCAGGAATAAAGCAATTCCAATTTAATTCGCAGGGCCCAATATGCGGGGTTTGCATCACGATAGATAGTGTAGGGGCAACACGCATCTCGGAATCTGGTCTCGATCGCCTGAGATAAAGCCTAGTTAATTCTGCCATGATTTTTAATACTCGTGAGGGAGTTCCAGACGTCGAATTGTCGACAGAGAGGGTTATATGCGTCCATAACCTCGGCTCATTTTCCGCTAATTCGCGCCACAGTCGACATACAAATGTGAGTATGTATGCTGTATGACCCCTAGGGGTAATTATGCACTGTGAGGCGACTTCCCCAACGGAGGAGTTGACGGAGGGGAAAGGATTGTCGCATGCGTAACCGAAAATCCGGAGCCAGAGTTCACGAGGAAGATTTGGCTCTGGGTCTTGCGCTTCACTCTCGCGAGTGTCAGGCTCGATGTTGGAAGAGGACCGTCGAAGATAAAGATGAACAATAGAGTTTCCAGACTTTGAAAGCCACTCCATCCATGTATCCGCTGTCGACGCACCGGCAAGATCATCCTCTTCGGGATGTACAACTTCGGGAAGAGGAGAAGTAGGAGGAGCGCAAGCAAATTGGAAGATCTTTCGTAAAATATATTCAGGTAGTTTTAGAGGATGTTCGGGCAGTCTTTGAAGTTGCAATATCCAAGAATCTATAGACGATCCGGCGAAAACATCGATAGAGTGGACTGATGAACTTTGTTCTGTCATTGTTCGGATTGTATCTTGTAGTGTTTATTTCATGAAACTGTAAAAAGTGTTCGAAGACTCGAAGTTGTAGTAGCAAAGGACCGGCAGAAACAAAGGACAGAAGATTGCCAAACAAAGGACAATTGTAAATATGACCAAATCGGACAAATTGCTCTGAGTCTTAGATTCAAGATTGGTTCCAAGCCCCGCGGCGCGCGTTGATAGCCCAATTTGCATAATGTTCTAAATATGATATGATTTTGAGAACTTCGTTGGGCAGGAGCTAAGTCAAGCAACCCAGAAAGAGAAAGAATTCATTCAGTTTCACTGATATGTCATGTGACTGCGGATAAGCTATATCAGGCATATCGCCGGTCACATGATATATCAGTTGCACTGAATTTTGGTATTTCCGTCGAGCGGAATTTTTTCTCCTTCCGGTGTGAAGGATGTGAGCTTGCAAGAATTTGTGTAAAGTTGTCATTCATTAATGAGGCCCATTATGTACTGCTCATAACTAAGACGGGTATTATGTTATACACTCATCCTCCTAAAATTGGAAGAAGGAAAATAGAGAATAGGAAAGGTAGAGGGATTAGTAACATAAAACAAGGATCAAAAACCCATGAACATCATATCTTCGTCCGAACTGATATACGACGCTCCATATCCAAAGTATGCCTCTCCCCCAAAGACATCATCCATCTCGTCGTCGAACTCATCATCCATATCCTCATCCTCAGTATCACTATAACCACACTCAATATGATCCCAATCAACGTCTGCGACGATTCCTTGAAGCTCTGCAACGTCTTCGGAATTGAGATGCGAACATCTCTCAAGAATTAGTTTGTGGATTTCGGATTTATGCTCGTATCGGTGCATGAGGCAGTCCATCAAGGGTTCAAGAAGAGTATTTTCGGCTTCATGATCACGGTCAAAATCGGCTTCTAGGAGTTTGAGAGTGCGGAGGGCAGGGAATGCCAATGTCGGACGACCAGGATTGGGATTCGAGCTCGAACTGGAAGCCAGTCCATTGTAGCCAGTGGCACTTTGACTGCCAGTGTGATAATTCAGGGCGTCGACAAATTCGTATGTACTTGTTCCTTCGACTGTCAAGGAATTCACCTTGGGTAATGTTCCAAACGTCCTCGCGAACGTCGGAGAATTGACACTATCTTGATAACCGTTCCTAATGTGCAGATGCCTCAGCTGTGCGAGGGGAAGAGGACGACAGATGGCCACGACGACATCATTGTGTATCTGTCTGATCACAGCGCTCTGCCAAGTGAATTCGAGTTTGAGCCAGCCAATGGAAGGAGCAGTGGCCAACGGATTAAGACTAATCTCCCGAGACGGAGTGAGCGCATTAGTTGTAGGCCTGCTTTTTGCGACGCTGTTCCAGGCTTCAACGATGAGACCACTACCTATACCCATACTCTGCACCAAGAGGCTCTTGATCAAGGGAGAATTCGTAGCCGAGCTCGTGGTGGCAGTCTCGCGTGCAACGGGTAGGCGCTGACACACATCGTGAATGAGTTGTATAGTCGGCGAACCTTCGTCCGGAATGTCGCTGCACTTGGCCATGATGTGAATAGTGGCGTTGGATGGAACGACGACGTGCTCTAGGAAAATCGCACATTCCTGTAGAGAGCCGACGGTACGCAACTTGCGCAAGCGAGGTAAACTTACTCCGGGTTTCTCGGTATGCTCTGTGTCCGAGGTACCCGGTAGAGTATTCTCCAAATCGAGAATCTCCAGCTGCGGCATTCCAGACAATGCGCCGATGAATTGGTCTAGTGTAGGTGCGGGAGGACCGGGATTGTGCACCTTCAAAAAGCTGATGTTTCGAAGCAAAGACGAATCCCAACGGAGATGGCACCGTGTTAGCTCGATGTGAGACAACCGAGAGGCATCGCCTCCAAGAAAATCCTCTGGAAGGATATACGGCTCAGCGCGGGAATGATAATAGTAGTCGCTGCGACCTATATCAAGGTACAAGGTACGCAGGAAAGGTGCAGGGGAGTTGATGCCACTCAGGAGTTTATCCATATTATCCCGAGAGGCGGATAAGTGAAGTTCATTGATTCTGGGGAGATGTTTCAGACCTTCGCTGACGGCGTCGACGACTCGGGGAGTGAGCCAGTAGTTTGAAGTGACCTCGATGGTGAGTGGAGCCATTTTGGACCGCCTGATCATCTCATATGCCCATTCTGTCTTGGTGAACTCTGGTTTGCTCCACAATGTAGGGCAGCTCAAAGCGGTATTACGCCAGAGACGAGAAGTATGTGTAACGGTAATCCAACGCCAGCGATAATCTGCAGCATAGTTGGTAGGCGTGAGAGGGTCTGGAAGGGTGCAGAAAACGAAGATTGCGCAAAGTATTTCTGCAGGCAACTTGGAGATAGGGGCAAGCAAATTGCGACGAGACTTGAGATCTCGAACAGCTTCCTCATATCTGAGTATTTCCTGGTCTATTTGGTCAAACTGAGTTTCACAGGCATTTTTGGAAGTTGTGTCTGACGAAGTGATTACAATCAGTACACTGAAGGCTCCACAAAAGAAAAAGGCCAAAACGACGTACCGGTCATGAAATCTGATGATTGGATGGTGGTGGTGAAGTGATTTTGATAATTGCAAGATGAAGATGAGGGGAGAACTAGACCAGCTACAATTCTGCTATCCTGGGAGTTCATGTCGAGAGGGCAAGTTATATATACAGCCTCGCTTACAGCCACGAGGAACACAAGTTGATGGCAGGGAGAAAAGAAATATTTGCTCAATATATTCATGACATAAGGTCACACGATACCGCGTTTCACTTTCACAACCTTCGCGCCATGGACTCCTCCGAGCTGTACCACGTTAAACAACAATTCGTACTTGGTAAAACCGTGTTCATCGCCATAAATCTTTTGGTTTTTATTCTGTACTATTAGGTGCATACAAAACCCTAGTCGACTTGACTTTACCGGACCCAAATTCACCGGATTTTCTCCCAATTTTGATTTACCAGGCCCGGTCACACATTGCTCTTAACAACCCGAAAGCTGCCCTGCAACTTGTCCCAGCTGACTCTGAAAATGTGGCTTTGAAAGCCGTCGCAACTCTAGCAAAATTCGTAGCAGCAGAAGGAACGGCGGACAAGGAAGCTTTACTGGAAGAATTACGCGATCTCTCGGTTGAAATTGAGGGTGATGATGTGGAGGGTACTGATCGCGATAAGGCTACTGTTAGAGTCTTGGCTGGAACAGCATTTGCCAGAGCAGGCGAGCTCGAAGAAGCGCTCGAGACTCTTGGTGCTGATACTGAAGATCCCGAAGCGTTCGTGGACCTCTTTTTCTTACCAGAGCATATACTTACCCATCGCATAGCGTGGCTGTTATCGTTCAAATATACCTATCCATCAACCGTCCTGACCTTGCCAAGAAGGAGTATGAACGTTCCAAGCGTTGGGCAGAAGACGATCTTCTCCTCCAACTCATCGAATCCTTAATTGGGCTCGCCACAGGCAAAGACGGTTATCACAATCCTTACACCTTCTACACCGAACAGCTAGGAAACCCCTCTCTGTCTTCCCCACATGTACTCACTGCTCGAGGCGTGACACGTATCCTCCGGAACGAATTCCCGGAAGCCCAGTCCGATTTACAAGAGTCTCTTGAACAGTACAAGGATGATGCAGAGGCTTTGGCTGCGTCTGCTGTTGCCTCGGGATTGAGCTCCACGAAGAAAGGCGAAACGGACGCGAACGAGCTTTGGGCGTGAGTTTTTTCTGCGCTCGTCTCTAGCATTTCTATTGACGAGCCCCACACGCATACTTTCTGATCCTAATTGCAGTCGATTGACGTCTGAATATCCCGACCACCCGAGTGTTGTTGATCTATCAAAGAAATCGGCGTTATTCGATGAAGCAATGGCCAAATACACTGTTCCTCCGTTAGCTACAGCGACGGCGTAATTCCTTAATTAAATTCGCAGCTTAGGCCAGGGTATAGTACATAGATCATTCGAGCCTCGCAACATGTTGGGATCAAAATAATAGTGTTTAACTCTTTTGGTGTTGGTACCTCGAAGTGATTACGCCCACTATGCGGCTAGACCTACATAGTCAAGCAAACAACGGGCTCTCCACGATTATAACAAAGGCTGTTGTTCTGGCAGTGGCAGCAACGAGTTCCAATCTGTTCCAATAGCTTACAAAAAATCGCCATATTGTATTGGTGTGTCATCTCGAATCTCAAGCCTGAGGCTAGGTAAATTGACTGCCTCTTTCTTGCGTCCTACATATTCTGTCCCAGTCCGTTCCTAACTACATGGTGCCTCATAGAAGTCACAGAACTCTGGATCAACGCAAAAGATCCGACCGGGATGACAATCAACAAAGGAGCAACAGCCTGCAGGGCAGCGGTTACTTGCGGAAATTAGTACGAGTCTCTATGCACATGGCCCAGCACCTCCCACTGCCAACAGTAGCCAACAGTAGCCAACAGTAGCCAGCAGTCTCCAACAAGTGAGCACGACTATATTGCATTTGCAGTGTATGACAACATTAACAGCACCCCGCCTCTGAATTCGTTAAGCCCCATCATCCAGATACTCCCTTCACCGTAAAGCCCAAGACTAAGGAGTTCGTCACGGCACTCTGATTATCTTAAGCCAAGGTTTGGTCTAGTCTGAGAAGTATGCTTGTCCGAACTCCTCCATCAGTTGCCGATAGCACACTGAGAGGTCAAGGACTTTCTTCTGGTTCCAATAGCGGGATGTGCCTTTGATATGAAGTTGGATCTTTCCAGGGCGCAATGCCGAATTTCCATTCGTCTGACTGAAAACTTATGCACAAGATACCATGCAGGTCAATCCAGTTCATTAAGAAAGAGTTTGGGAGATCTTGCTCTTGAAGATACTTGCATGAGTACAGTCTATTCGAGGCAAGTACCTATATCGCAATCAGAGGCCCACTTACAGAGATGCTCACTATGTTGTTATAGTCGTGTACCAGAAGCAATGATATTGTCTCTATCACCTTGCTTGCAAAGGTCATTTGTTACTCGATATTATTAGCGCTGCGGAAACTTTACCCACGGTTTCGGCGCTTGTTTCTAATTCTAACCTGTCGTTTTTGTCCTGTACAACCACATGTCTACCGTACCAGTGTCCCTCCACTGTTGTGTGCAGCGTGCTCAGGTAGGTCGGCAGGTATTCACTTCCTGTTCAAATAACAACTCCAGCCGTTTCTTGTCCTGTTCCCACTCTGCCTCCTTTACATATCTACCACAAGTTCAGTGTATGATGTATGGCTGAAATCGGTTGACAGATATTCATGCCAGGGCGCAAGCCGCCTTTGTACCTGTTGAGTACCACCAACCACCTTCACATCAAATAACAAATCCAGCTTTTCTACCGCCCTGTTCTTACTTTGCCTCCTCCATGTCCTTATCACAAGTTGCTGACTGACATTTGAACATATCGTTTACACACAGAGTTTTTGCCTCTGTTTCATCTCAGATTCCATGTGCGATGTTGCGCCGTTAGCCTTTACTTTGTGCCGCACCCGCGACCACCCCTTTATTCTGCTTGACCTGTTTCCAGCTACTTAACGTTGGATTCAGCCGCGCAACAGGGCTCTGAGTTCCTCAGTAATGGGTTGAAGCCTATGGCAGGTACAACAGCCACAGTTGCAAAGGTTGCTTCTTTCACATTTGGGGAGGAGGAACATCCATTGGAAGGTATGTGTAGCTGATATATGTGATTGTACATTGACAACTTTCTGCTTGCGAGCAGAGTCAGTTAATGCCAATGGTAAACAGCGTTCAAGTGCACCAAATGCGAAAGCGGGGCCTTCCAAGGTGGCTAGGACCACCGGGTTGGCCAAAGACTGAAGGCCACGTACAGTTGTCTGTTTTTATTGTTTATGTATGTTTGTTTTGGTTCAACTCCTTGTAGTCAGGCTGTATTGTTTTACAACAGCTTCGATAAGATATGTATCTGTATGTATTGAGCTTGCTGCTTCACTGCAGAGAGGTGCAATTTGCATGTGACTTACCAGAACACCTCAAGCAAGGTTTGTGTCCCCTGCGGGGGCAACTAGTCAAAATTTGTCAATTCCATTCCCTGCCTTACATAACATTTCATTAGCGAGTGTCCTGCGGTCGAAATTTCCCAAAAACGCCTGAGCCCATGCGTTTTAACATCATTCACAATCGTGGTTTTGTGCTTATTAACATTGTAGGTGGACTTGAACCGACATGGTGGTACTATCTATCTGGATACTCACCTCTGAAAGGTGCCGGTGAGTAGCCCTTGGGCTCAGAGTCTCAAATTCTCAAGTTTCCATCTCATCTCATTATCGAATGAATCGTTGGGCGTGCCTTATCCTGTCGCAGTCGCGTGTTGCTCGGTGACTTGTTTTCTCCATCCACCTCTATGTAAAGACTTCTCGGTAGAGTCAAAGATTGCTAGCGGCCGCATAAGATGTAAGCGAAGGAGGAAGGACGTCGACCTAAGCTAGGCTACATAGAGCAACCAGATAGATCATGTTACGTTCCAAAATTTCTATCGTTTGAATCCTGATCACTGATCAGTTCCCTGAATAAAACTGGACAGGCTATTTCGCCCTCTTTCGCTGTGCATTCAAGGGTTTCGAGATCCTCCAAGAGCCTCTTAGGTCCGAAGAAAATCAGAATGGGTAATATTACTGGGCACCCATTGGGCGTGTGAAGTTCATCTTACCTCTCTTTTAATATTTTCATTGCCTGTTCACTAATATCTTCTTTCTTCGAGCTCTGGAGTCTCAGGCTGCATTTATACAATAAGAATGGACCATCGAAAAAGAGAATTATTCCACAAGGTGATTGATGCGCTTTGACAGTGACAGCACCACAAACGGCCCTTGGGCCCTGGAGCTCTGGAGCACGCTTTTATTTAGATCAACAAAACTCAATCTTGGAGCTCTTGTGATCTCTACAAAATCCATAGCCATTTCGCAAAGACATTCCTGATACCCTCGCTTCCAGTCTCACTCAAAGTGAGTACTTGTCACGGAATCATGTCCTCTGGGCAGAGTTTGACCGCTCCCTTGTAGTTCGACCTGCTTGGAAGAACCTGAGAGTGTTCTACAAACTTTAAACTCCATACTCCTGTGATTTGTGTTTTTGACTCGGACAAAGTAGGTTCCTTTAATGCATTTAGTACGTTTAATTCTGACCTAGTTATGTCGAAGTATGGGATTTCGATCACAAGAGATGGACCTGCCTGCCTTGGGGCGACCCGCCTTCCTGGGTCAGCTGTATGACGCTACCTCGGAGCGCCTTATGAATACGCAGCTTTTCAGTCCTGAAGTAGCGAGTAAGGTGCAGATTGTCCCCAATCCCTCGAACAGCGTCAAGTTCAAAGACATAAGCACAATCTCAGAGCGAAGTCACGCTTTGGATATCAACGCTGAGCTCTCCCTCAGCATCCTCGGTGGCTTGATTGACCTGAAGGGTTCAGGCCAATATCTCGATACCAGCAAGTCGAACGTGTCGTCACGCGAGGTCTCAATGATCTGCACCACTCGCAGGAACTTGAAGAGGTTGGACCTAAAAGGCAGTGACACTATCACGCTCGACGCGTACGAACGTGCAGTTAAGCGCCATGCTACTCATGTGGTTACTGGTATCATTTACGGTGGTACGCTCGTTACCAACGTTGTCGAGAAGGCATCGTTGTCCGAATCCCGGACCAAGATCCATGGCGAGTTCACCGCCTCCCTCATGAAGAAGATGGCGGCGGCCTTTTCTGCAGAGGGTAAGGCGGCAGTTGACAGCGACAAGACATCCAAGGACGTGCTTCAGAGTCATGATTTCGACTTTTACGGTGATTATGTTGCCTCTGATCGTCCCAATGCTATGACTATTGGCGATCTCTTTGAGCTTGCAAAGACATGGCCAGATCTTGTCGGTGATGGAGTCCCTTGTCAGATTACTGTCACTCCTCTAGACCAGCTTGTGGACGAGTCGGTCGAGGCGAAAATTCTCCACGAGCTCGAAAGCGACGAGCTAGCTGCGATCCTCGCCGCCTATGATGATATTTTCCGTCTTGCAGGGAGGAGAACTCGTATTCAGGTTGCCCTCGAAGCCGGGAGCGGAAATCTTGGTGCATGCTGCCCAACTTTCATGGATATTTGCAAGAAGCGGAAGATTATCACCGATGGTATCCTCGGGCGCTCCAGGCGAGCGTTATCTAAATTTCTCATCGCTTTCCGTCATGGCGGAATTGAAGAAGCTGGCAAAACCACCACTGAATTCGTGGATGCTGCCAAGGTTGGACTAACGGAAAAATTGAAAGAATGTGAGCAGGACGAGTCCGTCCTGGGACTTCTGCAGAATATTCATGAGCTAGCTATTAGTCACGGTGTCCCGTTGGAAACTCTCAAGGGACTTCGCCGCCTAATGACTCAAGCCGATCAGAGAATGCTTGGTGTCGTTCTCATCCCTCCTTCGCCCAATCTTGATGGTGCGATCAACACTTACGATGTCTTGGTTTCGAATATCAAACGATGGAGGGTCGATGAGGACAAGAAAGATACTTCCGTGGAAGGGAAAGCTAAGGAGACCCTCTTTGTCTCCCTTTACTGTGACCCTGCGCTTGTTCCCGATATTTTGAACCTCGACGGAAAGAAAGGCGTGTTGAAGAAGGCACTTGATGGATTCGAGAAGAGCCGAGGTTCACGTTTTGTTCATTACGGGGTTCTACCCAATGGTATATCTACCATACAGAAACAGATCGATTGGTCGCTCCTCAACGACGAAGGATGGGCATTCATCCACAATGATCAAGAATCTTTTGACTACATCGGTCAAGTCAGTGGTGGAAAGCGACATGGTAGAGGCACAGTGACCTATGCAAATGGATCAACGTACTCTGGTGATTGGTGGTACGACCAGAGGCACGGGGAAGGCAAACTTGTTGAAAAGTCGCAGGAAATTACCGGTGTCTTCATCAATGACCAGTATTGTGTAGATGGGATCATCGCCGACCTTACTATTCTAGCTCACTACGCGCCTATCGGAGCGGCGAAGATTCCGCTTCGTAAACGAAACGCTGGCACAGCTCATGTTAGTACGATTGGGACTATGCTTGGATGGATGGAGACCGAGGAGTACAAGCTGGTAGTTGAGGCTAAGGGGGATCAGAAGCTGGAGATGATCGCTGTCGGAAAATTGATTAGACATGATCAAGATGAGATGTTCAACAAAAGCTGGCCACTCGAGGAAGGAGTTGAAATAAAGGTAGAAAGGAGGACATAATCGAGGCTTGACATCCGAGTCATACGATGAGGTCTTCCAAAAGTATCGTTTCTTCTGTTTTGTTACTTCTTTTTATATCCCACCTTTCTTCATCAAACAGTTTTTGTGATGTTAGACGGAGAATCTGGATAACATAGAACGCGTGTAATTGTATTGCATAAAACAACAATTATTATGGCGTTTCAACGTCCTCATCAAAAGTTCATTACACGAACTGTTCCCTGGTACTCGACGTTGTCTGTTGCTTCCAACAGTTCAGAGCCAAGATTTAGAACACGCGTATAGGTCTTCTCAAACTGGCGATTGGAAACCCAAGTCCCTTCTCCACGCAGATGCCATAGGATTTGCAAAATCCATGTAGCACAAGTCCATCCTTGAGGCCCATAATTCCCTGGATATCGCCAGCCAGAATCATAGGCGGGAAAGTTGGATTGAATCATAGCTTGAAATGAATCCACAGTGTAGTCGGAAGTGGTGAAGAGATGCACAACACCTTGAACCGCACTGAAAAGAGTGATATCGCATTTATCGAAGGAGTGAGCGTAACCTGTATCGCCCAATGGCCTCTTCAGTTCGATTGTACGTACAGGTTGGGAAGCCCAGGAATCTGCGGTTGACGCCACCAATATCCAGTGGAAATAGGAAGGGGTATTGTAATAGGCACTTCCTTCGACGAGGTAGAGAGCAATTCCTACCCGAATAGGCATGATATATGTCTGCAACATCTAGTTAGCGACCGAACTGGATGTTATTGAATCCAGTGACAAGTAGAATCACCTTTCTGGCTTTGGATCAGAGAACAAGTCAGGCATTTGGTGGAAGAGCGCCCATACACGACGTTTTGATTGAAATCAATTCGTATGATAAGTCGCGTTGAGAAAATATCGGTCAGTAGACTCGAGCCAGCAGCTTCGGATGTTGACACTTTGAAAGGGGTCGAGAAAGTGATTCCGCATCTCACTTCTCAGCAGCGGACTGGTTCGAGTCTAGCACCACAGCAAAAATAGTTGTGCGTTGACGAAAGATTTTCATGATGGTAATCTCAGGGCAACTTCACGCTGATAACGACGTTATCTTATCTTACAGGGCTTTGTTCTTCACTTCGCTGGTCGACTCTTCTCAGATTCTCCTCCCTAAATTTTTGCTGGTCAAATCTGGGAGCTTATTCACCGACATTTTGCTCATATAATATCTACTGCCTCTACGAAGCCATACTCCTTTTTCCCATGATGTATCTTAACGTCTTCTTCAAGTTGTACCTCATTATATTGGTTGCTGCTCTGACAGTGTGTGCTGCACCTCATACAGTGAGTAGCATGATATTCATCGCTGTGAAAACTGCTCCATATGAGCTGACTACCGTTTTCATCCAGCTGTCCAAACGTGAACCAGGCGATTACTTGAATCCCTATGTTAAAAATTTGCAGACTCGCGGTGCAGGACTATTTGGCGCAAAAAATACCGATGGCGATGGTGAAATGATCGAACTACAACCGCTCAGGACATGCAAACTTGAGATCAGGTCTCTTTCGTATTTCGATAAGAAAACGGTCGACATAAGCTTTGTCGAGGACCTCGTTCTCAAAGCCGCACAAGAACGGAACTTATTCGACGGTGCCCATGTGGAATTTGTCCCCGAGTGGAAATACAGCTCGGAGCAGTGTCCTTCGGAGCCTATCGTGCTCAATGTTAACCCAGTTGATGTGAAGCAAGGAGTTAAATGTGCCAGTGATTTGTCGGTGGAATTGGGTAGGTCAGATTCTCGTAATCATTACGTGGTCTATGCCCTAGATGGTAGCACCCAAAAAAATGTGAAGATTTTGAGCAAGGGAAATCGTGAGTGACTTTTTAATTTGATGATAAACTCTCTTCAACAATATTTCTGTAGCTTGGGGATTGTCATGAGGAAAGGAATTGACTTTGACTTCTATGTCGAGATATTGGCTCGTGATGGGTAATACGGTATATTCTACCTGTACTATCTACACCAACGTCGCCATCTTCTCCGCATTTCATTATGCTGTCTCGACGCAGGGTTTAGAGATTTCCCTCTTATCATAATATCAAGAGATTTGTTTTAAAGGTTTTGAAGGTTCATGCATCATGTTTAAACTTTGTTTTTTTCGAACAAAATGAGGCAGTAAAATCCGGACTGTTCAATGAGTTCTTGTCGAGATATTTGCATTGTCAACGTTCTTTCCTGTAATGTTCAAAGCTCAAACTAGTATCAGCGTATTTCTCCTGCGTGCCAATGGTTACACCGGCGGGTGGTTTTGATGGAGGTCTACTTTTACATGCCTATAACTACGTAAATGATACTTACTCTTTGTGTGTTACAGGGAAATTTACTGTACCTACAAGAATTACTTCGACGCTTAGGATAGAAATTAGAATTTAAGCTACATATACGTCATAACGTTCTATCAGGGTTAGGGGTAAACTGTTTCACTTTCCAACTTCGACTTATAAACCCCTTTCTCTCCTTACATTCTGTTCTTACTCGCTTAACACTCAACTATTTCCATCAATCACAATGCCAATCGCTAGACGCACTTCATCTACACAATCCAAGCTCAATTTTGGTACATCCAAAAGTTCACCGGCCGTTGTTGGCGGCAAGAAAGGCAAACACTCTGACAGGAAGGCGTTAGAACTGCGAAAAGTCGAACCGGAATTCGAAGATGTGGAGGGGTACTCTAGCTCCTCGAGCTCAGAGCACGATACTATCAAAGAAAGAAATGAATTTGAAGTGGTCGAACACCCAATCGCAGTTACCACGCTAAAGAGAAAAAGAAACGGATTGGGTGAGGGGAAGGAGAAGAAGAAGGCTGGGGTGAAGAACGAAGGACAAGAGGCTCAAGCAGGTATTTTTCTCGTATCACTTAGTCAACTCATTGTGTGTTCTGAACCCATCAAATAGGACCTCAGACCTCAGTTAAATCAAGTAAGGAAAGAACGGAATTGAGAGTTCACGATCCGAGATGGCGGAAACTGTCCGCTCAAGCCCGAGCGGTAAATGGGAATCTTCAACTGGGTGAATTTCTTAGCTTGTTCATCGCCCGAAACGAAGCACTGACTCGTACACTGCAGTGCATGCCGAGAATCAGAACAAGATCCACGATATCCTCCGTGTGTTTGACTTGTATGTATATTCTCGAATCATCGGCCGGTTGCTGTAATAATCAATGCCTCCTTCTCAGGTCTTACGAGTACGGGCCATGTTATGGAATCTCTCGGCTTGATCGTTGGGAGCGCGCAGAAGCCATGGGTCTCAACCCTCCTCCTGAGGTGAATACGAGTTCTTTTCTCCTGCCCCCATCCTCAACAACCCCTTTTCCTTCCTTACCTTCTTTAATCTTCGATCTTCTTGTATTCTCGTGATGTCCATATGCTAATTGACACCATTTCTCCCATCTATGCTTCTAGATACATGCTATTCTCTCAACCCGTCAAGGCGTCGAAGATACACAATATGCACAATGTGTGTTTTTTGACCAAGCCGAACGGATATAGATGAATCATAAGTGCCCTTTGTTGTTTCACTGCTTGGTATGTTTCCATAAAATTTCCACCGCCTTGATGTTGACGTGTTTGCTTCTTCGTCGATAGCCTCAGTGTCATGCCGTCTTTGCTACCATCTTGTAACTGTTATGTCTATTTGCTCTGCGTCCTTCCTTCCGTTTCTCAAGTTAATGGACTTGAATTGCACATGGTTGATCACTCAATTGTGTATCTTTAATATGTATTGGGCCCTCCGATGCGAAGCTTCTATGTAACATCGTTATCGTTTGCAAGTACATAATGCATCGGATTTGTTACTGTACAAAAAATATGATCGGCGGTAATCGTTCATAATGGCAGATTTAGTTTTTGCCCAATCTTTGAGGGCACTTGGCACAGTTGGTAGCGCGCACGCTTCGCATAAAGCGCGATGGATCCGTTCTGCGTGAGGTCGGGAGTTCAAATCTCCCAGTGTCCACCATCCTTTTTGCGAAATAAGTTCTTCTTTCCTGAAATATAGCTATACTTTTGTAAGTCTAGATGTAATACCGATGTACTTACTCGCAGTTGATTTGTACGTATCTCTCCCGCTCCCTTCACCTCACGGCCCCCCTTCAATTTTTTCCACATCCTTTTCTGCTTCCAAAGCGCCTTGAACATTCTCATCATCCGCCCTCACCTTAGCTTTGATGTTTAGCACTCCTTTCACACCATCTAAACTATTCCGGAAGCCAAACCACGTATATCTATCACATCCAGGACCGCGCATCATTAGCATGAGCAGGGCCCACGCGGTGAGGCCGAGGGTCATAGCAGCTGTGGCGCGCCAGCCGTAGGTGAGGAAGATTTTGGTGCCGGCAGAGGAGCCAATAACTTGCCCAATGAAGAGCTGTACGGGGGAGTAGGAGGGTAAAAGCGGATTAGGGCGAAATTGCTCGCGGAAGCAGTCTACGTGGAACGTACAGAGAGAATGTAGATAGCGTTCAACCGTGCCCGTGCGTGCGGTGCAATACTATACACAACACATCAGCATAGCTTTGTTTGAAGGAGACGCATGCCAACAGCTCACCTGAAAATGCTAATAGCCACAGAAGTTTCAAGCATCTGTCTGAAGACATCCAATCCGATTGTTGCGATAATAACTGCAGCGACGTTGAGTCCGTTTCCTACGACTTGGACAATTTGGAATAGGAGGAGACCAAGGCAGGCAACGAGCGAAGCTTGCCATGGAACGAGAAAATCGATGAATCGGCCGACGAGGGGAGCGAGGGCGACGCCGACCATGCCGATTAATCCAAAGAGGCCGATGATTAATCTGGGAAGTGGATGAGCAGGTACTTATGTGGGAGGAAAAGATACACTCACGTTGAATAATTATATGGTTCTCCACCCAACAGGAAAGTAAGCGTCACCCAGAAACTACTAAACGCAGCCGCTGAGCCCAGATTACACAAACATCCTTGAATAAGGACTGGCTCCGTAACACTAAACTTTGCCATCGTCCACATGATCCTCCCGTAACCCAACTTCCCACCGCCTTCCTCGTTCTCAACACCGTGCCCATCCTTCCCTGCATTCTTCGGTGGATAATCCGGCACAATCCAAAACAACACTACAACCAATCCCCACTGTACACCAATCGACATATAATATGTTATACGCCAATCAGCAAACTGCGCTATGAGTCCGGAAAACACACGTGCGATGAGAATACCGAAAAGCAGGCCGGAGAAGACGATGGAGAGGGCTGTTGCTCGGCGGGAGGGAGGTGCGAGGTCTGCGGTGAGCGGGAGGAGGACTTGTGGGGTTACTGAGGAGATGCCTGTGAGGAAGGAGAGGACTTGGAATGTGCGGAGGGAGTGGGTTAGGGAGAGACCGATGGTAAGTGAGGCGGAGATAATTATTAGGATGAGGAGGAGTTGACGGCGACGGACGAGGTCACCAAGGGGAGAGATGAAGATCAGGCCCGTAGCGTAGCTGGAGGATGTTCAGTCAACATTGGAAGTGGATAAACGAATTCTAGACAGTACCCTGCTTGGATAAGCGTTGGAAGCCTGCGATCCGAGTGAGTAAATATTTAGTCGACGTTGGAACAACAAAGGAACGCACTTGGATATCTCATCATAAGAAACGTCAAAATTGGTCGCCAGCTCAACTAATCAGGAGCCGGTATCAAAACATCAGAAATTCGTTCAAGCCTCCACGATATCATAAAGCCAAAAGGGGAGTCCTCACTGAGAATCGGTTGGCACCAATACAAGTTCGCTACACCTAATAATTGATATCCCTATAAGCGTCGACAGTGCATGGAAGTAGCCAAAGCGAATTCCACTCAACTAAATGTGCTGGTAACACCAAAAAGTACATTCAGAAACATTCCGAAATGGAACGGCTTATCGGGGTCATAACGAAGTCGCTTCGGGATCGGAATGAGCCCAAAGTCTTTTGGTGTATACCAGTTGGCTAGTTTATCACTGTCAGGAGGTGTGGCTGAAAATGTATCTGTGGGTGGTTTTGATATACCAGGATCTGTAACGGTGACATTGACGGAGCGATTCGAAATTGAGATCTTGTCCTCGGTTTGGTTTACGTTCATTTTTGCTTCTAGAGGATTGGGGATTGACTCTAGATAGATGAGAGAGTATGAGAATCGATGAAGTTACAGTGAGAGCTAGTAAGATGATGTGAGAGTTGATAGACGTACAGTGCCAGATAGGATATGATTCTTTTACCCTGGTACGGTCCCAACTGGTATGTACATCTTTCTTTTAGAACTCGAAAAATTAGACGGTAATGGAGCCGGACAACCTTCACTGGCAATATACGGAAATTCAACAAGCCAAAAAAGCGGCGTCTGATATTGTAAGTCAGTAGGCGCTGCTATGCGACACTCCGAGCTCAAGCACTGAAACATCTCCAGTCTTCACAAGGTATGTAGTAGAAGAGTAATTAAGCGAGTTCAGCGAAAGATAAATGGTAATAGTCATTTGGTCGATGAACTTCGCCCGCCATGAAAACATGAATGCCGCCGATACTTACCGATAGTTATATTACAACAAAAGGGTACGGCCTACTACCAATACTGATAGTCCTGGTTTTCGTACCAATGCTGTATATCTTTCAATGCTTCACTAAGCTCAGGTGGAAAATATGCACCTGGCCATAGCTGTGCCCAATTTACCATTCTCGGTCCCTTATAATCACCTGGTGTGAGAAACGGGCAATTAGACACACGACAGAAGAAGCCTGAAGGTAAAGTATTTAAGGAAGAGTGAGGCTCACCAATTGGGCCACATGAAACCTCGAGCTGAAGACTATTCTCTCCAAAGGGATGAGTGGGTTTGCTCGTAGACTTCACAAGATACCGGTGTGGGATCAACATTGTTACCCAATTTGGAGTTCGGTCAGACATTGATCGGTTGAACAGGATAACATCCTGAGCAGGTTTGAATCGACTCTCGATCTCTTTATCAATCGTGGCTTGCTCAAATTTGTTATGGATGGGTCCTCGATGTTGAATGAAGAGCTGGAATATATGTCAAGCATCTAGACAGATACAACAAAAATATGGGATGGCTTACCTTGTGGACGAATGCGGAAGTTGGAGCACGTATCACACACTACCATGTATATGTAAAATTGAGACAGATTCCACATCATCACGATTCATAGAACTGACTATCAAGTCCGTACTAGCTTGAATGCTCAGCATCTCGAGCGAGGAAAACATTTCAAAAAAAAGGACTTACGGGTCACGTTGAATTCCACAATTATTGTCAAGGACACCATATCGATTCTCCTCCACAGCTTGCGTAAGTGCTGCAGTGAGCGTTCCTGCAGTGTTGAGCTCCCGAAAGAGCGCCTAGTAAAGATATTGTTAAGCGAACTTTAGTCCAGACTTCGACATCATTCCAAAACTAGGGAGAAACTCACTTGGGTGGGTCTTTGTAGGAATCCGACTACTTCTTTCGATGAAGACTGAGCTGATGGTCGAGTTGTCTGGGGCTGGGTCATTGGACGCAGAGGAAGGTTTACAGCCATGCTCGACGTGATAAGAGCAAAAGCAAAAATGTTGGGAAAAAGGCGAAAAAGAATCATTGCGAGTTATTTTCAAGGGGATACTCAAGAGAAACCAGTTCTGTGAGTGGAAGGAGAGACCAGCTCTGGAGACTAAGTACTAAGTAGAATGTGGAAAGAAAGCGAGACAGGCAGAAAAAACGCATGCTTTCTCAGCCTTCGCTTGCAGTGATACGAATCATGAGCATGATGGATGCTCAGGAACTTGGTCGTTGAGGAAGAATGCGATCTTCCCGAGTCTTCACCGCACCCCAGACATAAAAAGTTAAAACAGGCTACACGCTGTGCAACACTGGGAGTGGGTCGGAGTTAGTGGAGAGAGTCGGGATGTTTCAATACAATGCATTCCACTGGCATCATCACCCGTATCACCCATAACATGACCACTGGTAGCTATAATCACATCGAAGGAACACATAGATTACACACCTACATATAAACAGGAGGCGCTACGGAATGGCCCCCCCGCGCCTTAGTACTTGCTTTATACGCGGTATAAAAGAGTCTAAAAAAGCATTCCACTGGCCTGACAGTGTTTTGTTCAAATTGTCTTTGAGATATCTTTCCCCTGCTTGGTTTGATATAAATTGTGCAGTCAGAACCACGTCGACACAGAGATGTGCAGATGGAGCATTGAGAAGAAAGGGATTCTATTTTCCTCAGATATCGAGACAGGAGATGGACAGATGTGAAAGCTTGTGAAAGCAAGTGACTTTCTTATGTCTTTGATCATGAATCAACAACTCATGTTCTGTCCAATGTCAACTGCGATCCAACTCTGAATGCTGCAGCTGTACTTCAAGTGCCTTCCTGAGTTCGTCTTTGAGGATTTTATACAGAACTCTGGACCTGACAATGAGGTCGAAGAAAAGAGGGGAAAAAGAGTGTCCCTGCCAGGATTCGAGCCTGGGTTACCACGGTCTTGCATAGAACACTGAATGCTCTACCACAACGTGGTGATCTAACCACTAATCTACGGGGACTTGAAGTCAAGAACTCCTGTGAGGTTGTAATCAAGATTCTATGTATATGATCCATCCTGATGCTATTTCGGGTGGGGTTCGTACGTGTATTCCATCTTGTCAAGAATCCAAAGGCATCGTCATTATGTCGAGGGGTGTCTTAGCTTGGACTTTACCTGATTGTTCCTTCCAAATTCTGACCGATAGGATGCATTCATGAGATTCCTTCCGGATTCCTTACTTGCGCATAGACTGCACAAAAAACTACCTCAAAGAACAGCAAAGAACACGAAAAAGTTCAACTTCTTCAACCAGTGGAAAATTTTAATTAGATCCGGGGCCCTAATTTGCTATATATCGACCTCCTAACGCTAGAATTATACGAACATTCAGAACGTCAAAGGAATGTCATCGGATAGTCGTTTTGTTATCCCGGAATCATAACGCCTGTCCAAAGCGCAGCCGTGAGCAGCCGTGGTTATAAGTCGTCATTGAGCCTAAGATGCGCGCTAGAATTTAGGCGCCAATGTGATTGAATGATTCCTTTTTTCTTTCTCACTATGGATATCTCCAGTATCTCTATAGACATATCTTCTCAAAACTAGAATATCAACCGTTCAGATGTCATAAGTTTCATCCACACATCATCGAGGAATACGTTGGAATACGCCAGGTGTCCTCAGCTGCCACTATAAAAATGTTAAATGAAAAGTTTCTGGCGCGTTGGTCGTGAGTTAGCCGACTTCAATTTCAGGCTGCTGATTGACTCTCCAATTAGGTGCTTGACAGAGTTTTAATTCGCTTTCCCCGATTGTAAAAAACTAACATTCTTACAAGGAAGAATGCCTTTTGGGGTATATCAGGGTATATCCGCTTCCATTACTATAAGAACGCTTAAGAAGCGAGAGTCCGTTTTTGCTGCTCTTTCCTTCCTTCATCCGCTTTCACAGTCAGTTCGCTATTGACCCAAGCAGCCTCTTGCGCAAAACAATGTCAGAAGCTACGAGCCCACTGGACAAGTTTCCATCAATCTTCCGCCGTAGCACCAGTATCTACCCAAACAATGTTCGTTTCTCTCTCCGTGGACCGTCGTTCGCGCCTTTTGATTGTTAGGATTGTTTATAGGGAACGGCTAATGGACACCAAGCAAAGGCAGATAGTACGACGACTTTCTCACCTGCTCAGCCATTCAAAAAAGCCAACACGCATTTGACTTTTGAGCAATCTGGACTGGTGAGTTCGACGTGGCGTTTGGGAAATTCGAAGCAAGCTGAAAAATGATGACCGTTTCTGTTCCTCGTTCCTTATCTCAGTCTGCCGCGGCGGATTTCGTTAGACACAAAGAGGCGATTGATGATAGGAAATTGGCGGTACGGGTGTTGTATGATCTCCGCACACAAAGATGTGATTGATCACTCGTTCCCCTCAATTCCAACGTAGCTGGAACATGGACTTTCCTTGCTTTCCAAACTGCCCCCAGGCGACTTTGCCCAAAAGTTACAGGACGACGTTATCAAACTTTGTACGTTGTAACCTTTATTTTTTTTTGCATCTGGGAATCTTCTCAATTCTCACCCCTCACCAAATGTCTTCCTTCTTCCTCTTCTTTGCCTCCCTTGCGCCGACGCACGCTCTCCACTTACATAGTGTATAACGATCTCTCGCATCCCCCCGCGACTTTAATCGGAAACAAGTACGCATGGCGTTCGGCGGATGGATCCGGGAACAACATTGGAGACCCAGATTTGGGGAAGGCTGGAGCTACTTACGCGCGATCGGTGCAACAAAGTCATCCGCTGTCTCCGAGCGAACTTCCTGACCCAGGATTAATCTTCGATACGTGAGTTCTATGGTTAAATTAAATGAGGAACGAATCGGCTGACTATGTCTGTGCTTCAACTTTCTTCTCTTGGTCCGTTCATTGCGTTGCAGGCTCTTAAAGCGCGATGGTGTACGTTGGTGTCAAGTAATTGCTACAATATTTACTGATGCTAGTGGCGTTATGTCGTACAGTTCCAGAGTCATCCTGCCGGGCTTTCCTCGCTCATGTTTTCATTCGCCGCTTTGGTTATCCACAGGTGTGGGGTTCTCTATTTCGCCTCAGTTCGGTTCGAGTATATGCTAATGCTACCAACAGTGTGTTCCGAACGTCACATACGGACGTAAACATTAACGAGACATCTTCTTATTGCGATTTGGCTCCTCTCTATGGTCATAACCAAGAGACTCAGGACCGAGTTCGTAGAAAGGAAGGTTTAGGGCTATTACACCCTGACTCATTTGCAGAGGATAGGCTACTCTTGCTTCCTCCTGCAGTATGCGTTTTATTAGTGCTGTTTAGTCGGAATCACAATGTGAGTGTTACAGTCCTTGTTCTACAATTTGTCAACTAACTTGCCTATTCAGTACATTGCGAAGAAACTCTTTGACATAAACGAGCGGAAGAAGTACAAAGACCCTTCCACGCTTTCTGGTGACGCACTCGCTGCTCAGGATGAGGAGTTGTTCCAGACCGCGCGCTTGGTGAATTGTGGTTGGTTCGGCACAGGTTCAGATTCCCGAATGCTCCCACCTGTTGTTATTCTGATGTTTGTCGTTCGACAGTCATCTTTTCTGATTATGTCTCCTGTATTCTGGGTCTGGTAAGGCAAGGGAGTAATTGGAGCTTGGATCCCTTCGGAGTAAAATTTTTTCAAGCATGTGCGACTTTTTCAGATGACTAACCATGGCTGATAGGAAATGAGAAACTCTGACCACTCTGAATTTGAAAGAGGACGGGGGAACAGCTGCAGTGTGGAGGTGGGTCGTATGATCTTTTCTTCGGATTTCCATTGTGTCTGAATATGTTGTTTATCAAATGGCAATTAGTTCAACTGTCTTTACCGTTGGCACGCGACTACAAGCCAGGAAGACGAGCAATGGACTTTGCAGAAGCTGCAGCAAATCTTCCCAGATAAGCCCATCGAGGACTTGACGGCTATGGATTTCGTTATTGGGGCAAAGAAAGCTATGGCTCAACTACCCGATCTCAGTCACTGGACTTTTGGCGAGTAGGTGCTATGCTGCCATTGCTATGAATTTTTGCTGATACAAGTTTATGTACTATTCTTAGTTTGAAAAGACAAGAAGACGGGTCCTTCCGGGATGAAGATTTGGCCAATTTGCTTAAAAATGCGTGAGTATCGTTTGAATGAGTTGTTCGACTGACGTACTGATATCCGCAAATAGCACTGAGCATCCTGCAGGTGCTTTCCGCGCTCGGGGTACGCCAGGTAAGATTTTCTCCTCGCTTTTTCATCCTCACTGGTTATTCATCTCTCCATTCCCGCTAGAATGCATGCGGCTTCATGAAATCATGGGGATCACTCAAAATCGCGCATGGGGGGTGTGTTCGTTGAACGACTTCAGGAAGTATTTAGGTCTCAAACGTGAGTGTTATGCCATTGAAGCCGCGTTACTTCTGCTGAAAGAGACCTTGTACAGCCTATAGCACTTTCTTGGAATGGAATTCGAACCCGGAAATCGCTCATGCTGCCGAGAAGCTGTACGGAAATATCGAATACCTTGAGCTTTATGTTGGTTTGCAAGCGGAGGAAGCTAAACCTGTGGTGGATGGAGCTGGGTTATGTCCTGGTGAGAGAACTGCATACTTAAATACTCCAACGTGCCGTACTGATGTCATACTTTTCTTCTTTTACAAGGCTACACCATTAGTCGTGCAATCCTTAGCGATGCCATCGCACTCACCCGTGGGGACCGCTACTTCACGCACGACTTCACCCCATTCAACCTTACTGCGTGGGGTTTCGCCGACTGTCAACGCCAGCCTGATGCTTTTGGATTCGGGAGTGCCTTGGGCCGACTCTTCCTTCGTACCCTCCCCGAACAGTTCACGGAGAACAGCACTTATGCGTTTTTCCCTCTGATGACGCCTCAGGCAATGACTGTCTATTTGAAGGATTTGAATCTCTCCGATCAATATGATATGAAACGACCGACGACGAGAAATCCGGGAGTGGTGGCGATGGATTATACGCAGGTGGGGAACATCATAAGGGATCCGAAGTTTATTGCGCATTATGAAAAGCGAGCGAAAGACGTCGTTTCTGGGAAAGGGTGAATTTTTACAATTTGTGTCTTGTGGGAATATCCTTATTGAGTTTTGGTTTTTTTCTTCGTTCCGTACAGCTTCTTCAGTGCACCTGAAGACCGCACAGAGCAGAAACGGGTTCTCGGTGCTTTAGCTGGAACTTCTGAGGCTTCGGCGGAATTGACGAAATTCTTTTTCGAGAAAACACAAGAACTCATCAAGAGCAACTCGTTCAATCTTTCGGGATCCAAGACACGTTCCGTAAACCTAGTTCGGGACGTTCTTAAGCTTGTTCCTATACATTGGATTGCCGATCTCGTGAGTTGGTCCTTATGATCAGTGCGGGTACGAGCGCTCACCCTCGGTTTTATTCTCTTTCGCCCTGAATAGAGCGGGTTGAAGATCAAGAATTCATCGTCCGACGATGGTGATTTCACGGCCACTGAGTTATATGGGATGCTTGGGGATATCTATTCGTATGTGTTCCTTTAATGATGAGTATGGTTGTTGTTGACGGGTGGGCGGTATGTATTCAGCTATATTTTCTTGGACGTCGAGCTCTCGAAGCTCATGGTCCTCAAGGAACGGGTTCAATCTCATGTAAAGCTTCTTTTGGAAAAGATCGAGACCGGACTAGGAGGATCGATAAGTAGAATGGTATGATTTATCGCACCTGCCTATGGTTGCTTCCAACCTTATATGTTTTATCCACCCAACAGCTCTCTATCTCTAACATCCTCTCCCTCTTCCGACCCAAGAAAACCACTGAGCACATCATTGTGCAACATCTCCAAAAACTCGGATATACCTCCGCCCGCGAGCAAGGCAACGTGCTTTTGGCGATCATGGTCGGAAGCGTGGAACTTTCTGTGGCTTGTACAAATATGGTAGATCTGTATCTGGATTCGGAGTACGAGGATGCTATTAGGAACTTGGCATTGACCGGGGACAAGGAGGGTGATTTGGTGGGGTATGCGAGGGAGGCGTTGAGTGAGTGGAAGTTCAAGATATTTTCCTCTTCCTTCCATGACGGCTGAAACGTCATACAGGATTGGATCCTTCGTTTAAAGGCGTCTACCGTATCGCCTCATCCGACCATAATTCAGATGGACTGAACATTCAAAAGGACGGAAGAGTGTTTTTGGATATCTATGCTGCCGGCAGAAATGTAGGTGTTATGCTTATCAGTTAATCATGAACTGTTTACTGACTGCTTCACCCTCTTCTTCTTTTTCGATATTGATACTTTCCGCCTGGTTGACGCTTGGGTGTCATCGCCTTTGTGCAATCCTCAATCCTCAACAGGACCAAGTCTTCCCTCAACCCGATACAGTCAATGCGCGGAGGGATCAGAGTGGAAAAACTTACATCATTAGCGATGGAATCTCTCGGTTAGTTGATAGCATGACATCCCTAGAAAGCCAGCCGCCGTTTCCAGTTTTTGTCTCCTTGTCACTCCTGACTAACTAGTAACTTATCCGTTTTTACCTTTAGATGCCTTGGAGAAGACATCACTGTTAAGGTAGGCCTGGCCTGAACGTATACCAGCCACGCTCTAATTGAAAAATTCACAGATCATGACCCATGTCCTTCGTGGTATCTTCGCCATTAAAGATATTCAACGCGCCCCCGGAAACTCTGGTGTCCTCAACAGATTCAAAGACCATGACCGACCCGAGCTGAATTATGCATACCTGGACGAAAACAAGTTTGTGACGCCCTGGCCGAATTCGTTGAGTGTTGTGGTGAGTTGTTGTCTGTGTTTTTCTTCCATTCTTCTGCTATGTTATGTGATTATCATGGTATTTGCTTACTAACTCGTCTTTTTTCTATTATACTTTTTGGGAATAGTACACAGATGATTCTTGATTCTTGAAGTTTGAGGGGGTTGGGGTAGTAGTGTAGTCTGCTGTCTTGTCTTTTTTACAAATGGCCTCACCAAAAACCACTTAGTGTTGTGGTATATACCAAAACTCTTCAAGGACAATTTCTAGTAATATATATGCCTTCTTGTAAAGAGCTTGCCTTTGAGAAGTATGCTTCAAGAAATCATCACAAGAAATAGATAATAAGTAGTTAGTGGACAAGTTCATCTGTAAAACCTGTATTTTCGGCTAAGAGCTTGAAAGCAGCTGACAGCACTGTCCAGCTGGGAAAGCACTCCCAGCAGTACTGAAAAACTGCTGGGAGTGCTTTCAGTGCTGGACAGTGCTCTCCAGCTAGTACCCTTGCTCTCGCGAACATCCAGGTTTTGCAGATGTTACTTCTGGTGATTGATATTACTTGTTTAGTCTCTGGTAGCCTCTCCAATTAGTTTTGCTAATGTATACTTCATCTGCAAAACCTGTATGTTCGGCTAAATAGCCGAAAGCAGCTCAGAGCACTTGGGAGCACTTCCCAGCAGCGAAAGCACCCAGAGCAGGCTTTGATTTTTGCTTTGGGTGCTTTCGTCGCTGGAGAGCGCTCTCCAGCTAGTATCCTTGCTCTGGCGAGTATACATGTTTTGCAGATGTTTCACAAATTAGGAGAATATTGAAAAAGAGTGAGCAAGTTGCAATATGAGTGAACATTGTTTCTGCACTCGTGAATTCCATCCAGCTTGCGAGACTGTCCTGATACCACCTCGCAATCATGAAGATTAAACCAAAAATAAACTTACATAATAGTGACATAAGCTAATGGACACACTGGGAATTGAACCCAGCACCCCCCGCAATTGCAGAGCGCCGATATTTGAACGCAATGCTAAGCGGATGTGATAACCAACTACACCATGTGCCCTGATAAAGTCAGATCCTCCGTGCTTGAATCAGTCTAGTATTAGGTTAACGAGCTTGAAATGCTTTAGCGCTGCAGCTTCACATTCGACCACGAGAGGGGATGCCTATTCGCTCGTTACCTTCTGAATCTGCGGAACGTCCGTCGAAGAAGAGAAAGTTATCGGCTACTAAAGGCATAACGTCTAAAACTATCGCTGCTCTCGAGAGTCAGCTAACGAGCGCAGTCCTACCTGATTCGAATTCCAATTCGACAACGACCCTCAACCCCCTCGTAGACCTTTACACAGTCGCCTTGAATGTTGGGATCAGCGCAGCGGATACGTCGAAAGCGATATGGGCGTTGTATAGAGTTTGGGTTGTGGTTATTGGTAGTGGAAAGATGAGAGGGGAAAAAAACGAGGATGCGAATGTAAAGGTTGTGAAAGCGTGGCTCTGGGAACGATTGAACGAGTATGTGGAATTGTTGTGTGGGTTGTTGAAGGATGAGGAGAAAGTGTTGAGGGTGAGTTGAATGCTTCAAGCTTTTAATCCAACTAACCGTTTTCGTAGACATCATCACTGCAGATTCTATTTTCACTACAAAAACATTTATCTACGTCTGTTTCCACTAAAGGCGATCCGCAATTCCACATATCACATTTTCGGAAAATCGTCATTGCGTTGGTGGCCTGTCCTCCATCACATCGAACAACGGAAAAGGAAAATCAAAGGGACGGGCTTATTGACGCTGATGTGCTCGACTTGTTCTGTGATAAATGGCTCTGTGTTTACGACGATGTGCGCTGGTTCTTTCTACGAGAAATTGGGTGAGGTTCCTGTCATTTCGTCTTCAACTCGATCTAACATCCTCAATAGGACACTTCTCTCCAAAAAAGACCAACAACCTCGTCCTTCCGTGCCAACAAATACACTTTCGATACTGGAGAGACTCGCTGGCTTTTCATCAACATCTTCTTTCCTTACCTCCACTTCGGCTCTGGAGAAACCAGCCAAGGATGGAAAGGAAGACAACGAGGGAAAGAAAGGCCAGTGGTGGGTCGAGGAGATGGGAAAGAAGCCGCCAAAGGTTAAAAAAGGCAAGGGCGCTGACCTCGACCTCGACGACGACGACGAAGAGGAAGACAAAATCGAGAAAAAAGACGACGAAGAAGACGATTGGAGGAAGTTTTTCGACGAGCAGAACACCAATGGAGAATCTAACACGAAGAAGGACAACCTAGGAGAACGAATTAAAGGCCGCAAACACACTCTAACTCTCCACCAATCTCTACATAATACACCTTCGCATCGTGCGGCGTTTACTCATGCCTGGTTGGCGCTTTTATCCAGGCTCTCCGGGTATTCCTCTAAAAATAACGACGTCGACACCGAAGATGTAGAGGATACCAAAGATCTGGAACTGGCTGTGCGTGCGCTGAACGTTATGCACCGCGGTGTGCTCCCGTATTTGACTAGACCGGTGTTGGTTATGGATTGGATTGGAGCCTGTGTTGATTATGGTAAGCGGGGTTTTTGACTGGTTTTTAGGGACGAGGTCGACGACGGCGATGGCGACTCTCGCTTCTGATTTTTCGTATATTCCTCGGCTCGCCCGTCTGTCCGTCCGTTTGATTTTCGTACCTTCTTTTTCGTGGCTCCCTCGTTGTTCACGAGTCTCGCCCCAAGCAAGATCTAAGTTTCTTCTCGATTGTTTTCTATCTTCGACCGGTCTCGTTTACTCTCTTCTCACCCTTCCCACACTCCAGGCGGAACACCAGGTCTCCTTGCTCTCAACGCGTTGTATGTCCTTATGACAGAATATAATCTGTGAGTTCCTAGTTCTCCGTTTGTTTTACTTCGAATCTTAGCCACCCACAACCCTTTCAAACAGCGACTACCCATCATTCTATACCCGTCTCTACGCTTTTCTCGACCGAGACCTCCTTCATGTCAAACATCGCGCAAGGTTTTTCAGGCTCGCAGAGGTGTTTTTAGGCTCCACGTAAGTTTGCCTTAATGTTTCCTTCATTCTAGTCTCACCGTTCTAAACAACCTCTCTTCGATCGATCGATCCATCATCCAGTCACCTCCCTTTAACCCTCCTCGCCTCGTTCATCAAGCGTCTCTCCATCCTCTCCCTCTCCGCACCGCCATCAGCGATAGTCATCGTGATACCCTTCGTGTGGAATCTAGTCAGAAGACATCCAGGATTGATGGGGATGATTCATCGAGAGTGGGACGGGCAGGGGGTGTATGAAGGTTAACTTGATTTTCTGCTCGTATAGAATATTTCTGATGCTTTTTATTCACTCTCTATTTCCCCTCTCACCCCCTTCTCACCGATTCCCTAGACCCTTTCCTCCCTTCACACCCTAACCCCCTTCTAACTAACGCTCTTTCCTCCTCCCTCCTCGAGCTGCACACCCACACAGCGCATTATCACGCCCCAGTGTCCAGCATGGCAAAAGTCTTCGAAGGCGTATTCACGAGAGGGGAATATGCAATGGAGGATTTTTTGGATCATGGGTATGCTAGTGTGAGTTTTTTTTCTGTGTTTTTCTTCCGTAACATCGATGAGATTGTCTAATTACTCAATGATCTGCTTAACCGGCGTTTTGGATTTGATTTCATTGCGATCTTAATCCTTCCACATCCTGTCATTTTCGGTTGTTTTTTCTTTATTGTATTCTTGGCAACTTATTCCTTCCTTCTGTTTTTTTTTTGTGTAGCTGTTCGACGCCGAGGTGAATAGGAAAATTAAAAAAGAGCCTGCGATGAATATGGAGTTGGAGTTGGAGATCGAGAGTGGGCTTGGTGGTGTTGTACTGGGTACGAAGAAGAAGAGAAAGAGGGAAGCTGCGTTGTTTGGATTTGGAAGAGAGAGGGAACAGACGGAAGGTGGGGAGAATGAGGAAGAAGGGGATGATGGTGGCGGAGATGAATCAATAGGTAGAGACATAGTCACTGAGCTGTGGGCATTTTGAGTGTCCCTTATGGTGCAAAGGAGAAACAGAAGGACGAAAATAACCGAATCATTCAAGCTGCGGTACACAAGCAGCACGTCAAATAGGGGGTGAAGGAAGTTGGTGAAGGTGGTGAGGAAGAAGGGGATGATGGTGACAATGGATCAATACATGGAGATATAGCCTCCGAGCGGTGGTCATAATAGCGCTGTGAACGTCTTACAAGGCTTCCACTTAATGTTTGTACATGTAATACCTTCGGACGATGACTTACACCAAAATCTTTGATCATCTCTCTGTGTTTGCAGGGAGTTGGTATATTGTGGGAATTGAGATGGTATGCATCAAGCATCTCCTGTCTCTTATCCAAGAACCAAAATTCTGAACCTCACCTGCTTTTTCAACTCGAATGAAGTGCCCAAACTTGCAACCTGCAGTGTCATCTCAGTTGACTTTGAGTGCTAGTCGTGATGAGTTATATAAACGCTTGGGGGACTTGACAGCTGTTCAGGAGTGTATACAACCAATTGTCTCTGCATCACAACAATTAAAGGATTCAGTTTCTATTCTAAAGTATTCGGGAACAGGAGATGTCACAGTCACCATCATCATGTTATATCAACATAGAATGGGAGTGTCATCAGAATTAATCTCGGACCTCCTCACAACTCAATTGAATCACTGGAACTGAGATGAACTCAAGAAAGCAAAGTCAACTCGCAGTATCTTCTGGCAATTTCCATTTCTTATAAATCACATCAGATTCAGTATATCTCAGTTACTGTTTCAATTCAGTAGAGACATTCAGAGTCTACTGCTTCCCTTTGAACTTCATCTTAGTACTTAAACAGCATATTCGAGGGTGAGATAACACACTAATCCCTCTACACTCAGTAATACTACAGGGACACTGTGAATTGATCATAACTCTCTCTGTCCTTCCCCATAAATTTAATCCGTGTATCGTCTATTTGGTTTCCTCAACTTTGCCACAATGGATGACATAATCCCACAGGTTGAAACCTGGTGAATATATTTCCCTCTATGTTTCATTGTCAATCAATAAATGCTATTTTCTGATTTAATCTCTTTTCCTTGAACTTAGGATACTGGGGAACTATGCAGCTACTGCAGCTTCTGGTCAACACTTTTTCCCCTACATTTGGCAATTTTTCTTTGACCATATTTGTATTCAGCATTGTGGATTGCAGACCACATTGAGACATTGCCCACAGAATTCAGATCAATATGGAAGAGAAAAATGACTGGAACTTCAGTATTGTTCTTGATAAATAGATACATGTTTTTTTTGTTTATAGTGTTGCAAGCTGTATTCAATCTTCCTGGAAATGGAACAGATAAGCAGTAAGTTACAAGTTTCTGACAATAACTTTCATTCAAGTTGACATACCAATAGGTGCCAAGCAGAAACTACAATGGCTCTTGTTTGTGAAACTATGGCTCTCATTGCAACCAATGGTAAGCAATTTGTCTGACATCAATGATCAGTCTTTATCTGTAAACAGCTCTTTTTGCTTTGAGGGTTTATGCAATATACAACAAAAATAGAGTGATCCTTGGGATCACTCTCGTATTCATTATTTCAAAGTTTGGGCTGGATATATTGGTATGTGATATTGTCACTGGGGCTGGAAGGATTAGAAGTTTGGAAACCCATTCTGACTCATACTTTCACATATAGAGTATAGTAGTGAAAAAAAGCATCTCAACAATTGGATCTCAATACCAAGACTTTTCAAGATGTGGTGGAACAGCTAGTAATGTGAATGAATTCACTCAGTAAGTACCTGTTGACCAGGTCATCTACAAACACTTCATTTTGAGTCTTCTAGAGGTGTGAACCAAGTATACATCTGCAATGACTTCTTGATTGTTAGTCATTTTAGAACAACTTGCCATTGTATTTTTGATATTGGGATATGACATTTTCATCTTTATGCTAACTGCAGTCAAGACTATGCAGCATGCAATGGAAATGCACAGGCTGGGTCAACCTGGTATTACACAAGTAATTATCCGTGATGGTAAGTATTGCACAACAATGTTCTAGAAAACTGTTATTCAAATTCATTGTAGCATTTCTGTATTTCCTGTAAGTACTATTTTTTTCATTGAACCTTGAAGATATGGTTCTGAGTACTGATCTTCAAAAATCCAAGACTCATGCTCATAGTAGCAGTTCTTGATGCTATTTTTGCAGTGGTCAGCTCTATTTTCTGACAATTTGCTGAGAGGAAGATGCTAACTTCAGTGATAACCATCAAGGTAACATTGAAGTCTGGTAATTCCAATGTGTGTAAATTAGTGAAAAACCTGTGAATCATTGCAAACCAGACTTTTCCGCTGATGACAGAATTTTTCTGGATTTGTCACACCATTCTTCAATATGTAAGTCAATCCCTTATTGACAATCACATTCTTTAAAATGCATTTTATAGATTGCCCAACCTGCTCATCAGCCGCCTGATGCTCAATTTGCGTACATATTCTGAATCTGGAAACACTACAACATCTGAAGGGCAACAGACACATGTGTCTTCATTGAACTTTGCTTCCAATCAGATGTTGGGAAATATTGGTGCTCCATTGGATGGTGGATCTTTCAATGAGGAAGAAGAGGCAGAAGAAGATGGAATGGAAATGGAGGGTTTTAGAGCATGAAAGGCTTGAAGGTAACTTGGCATTAATTATGGCATGATTTGTTCTCATATGTTTGATATAGTTGCTGAGCATTGAGTAGGATTTTGAGACAAAGCCTGTATCAAGAACATAAGAAAGGCTCATCATCTATAACATTGAATTCAGTTCACTATATGGAAAAACAACATTCTTGTCTTCATTTCATTGATTGTTTTTCATGAAATTTCTGGAATGTTGTACTTATTGCTTTGTCTGCTTTTTTGAAACTTTCACAGACCAATTATTCATTTACCCAGCCTTTATGTATTCATTTTGTGTTTGCTGCCAGTGCCCTTGCTCTGGCAAGCATATAGGTTTTGCAGAAGAATTATGATTCTATTGTCAGCAACTGGTTCTAGTAACAGGTGTCACCAGGTGTCACATGAGTAAAACATATGTGAAACAGCCAAAACATAAGTAAAGCAACATGTAAGCAATGAAAGCTTGATCAACATGCTGCATGGATGTTATGAGCTGGAGAAAGGGGAGGAGAAGGAGCAGTAGAGTAGCATCAATCTATGGATGGTTGTTTTGGTTACTTTTTCTTGATTTCTGTTTATATATATGTAGTGGATCAGTAATTGATGAGGTATGCTAGTCCAAGTGGCGAAAAAATCCGCGGGAATTTTTCCACGGTAGCCCGACTTTTTTACATGAGCCCGACTTTTTCACATGAGCCCGACTTTTTCACATGAGCCCGACTTTTTCACATGAGCCCGACTTGTTCGTGGTGCGCCCGACTTTTTCTTGTCAGCGCAAATTCTTTTTGTTCAGCAGAAAAGAACAGTCCGCCACAAAAAATGTAATTCAGACTGCAAGACTATCATTTAAAGTAGCAAAAAACTTATTCTTGTACGCAAAAAAGTAGTTTGCAGTATACAACTTATTACCTCGATTATTGCAATCCTGAGTAGCATTTTCTGTACGTATACTATTAAGCTCATTGTAGTGAGTCAGAAATATACTGTATGTAAGCCCTAGTAGGTAGGTTTGATAACGCAAAAAGAGAAAATGCAATAAAGAATGACTTGGGAATAGAATCCTTTGTGGGTGGACACGCTAACAAGGGTATAAGGAGTGTGATAGAATAGGTAGTAAAGCAAGTGATCGGAAGAGAAGGTTCATAGCCTATGTCCAATTGTCCCAGCTATCCTCTTCATCGTCATCGTCATCTTCATCGTCTTTGTCCTTGGCAACATCTTGCTCTGAAGAGGCAGTTGAGGAGCCAGAGGAGGAGCCAGAACTAGAAATGGAATGTCTAGACTGATTTTCGAGGTTCACTACATGACTTGTAAGTTCCCTTGCATCACTCAATCAAACAATTTTACCTTCGACTTTCTGAAAGCCTGGGCTGTCATCATCTTTGTTGTTACCTATGTCTTCAACTCCAGAGTCTTTCAGATCGTCTGAACAGAAATATATTTAGATATAGTAAACACAAAAACTGAACTGTACCTTGATCCTTTCCTCCTTCTGAAGATGCTTCTTGATCCTCAGAGTCTGTGAATCTAACCTTGGCATCATTTTCATCAAGGTCGGAAATCTCTACATATTCCTTAGCTGGAGAAGCTAAACAGGTAAGAAAAGTTCATATAATATTCTTGATGATACAACTCACTTTTGTGCCTTTTACTATTTCTTTCCTCCAAAGCCTCATCATCAACTGAACTACGCTTTCTCTTGAGCTTTTGAGTTGATGAAAGAGCTGGAGGTGATTCAGGCTCCAACTCATTCGAAGATTCTGACGATCCAGAGTCAGAAGCTAGGAAGAATAAAGCCTTTCCCTTCCCTTTCCTATCTTTCTTAGCCATCTCATCTTGAGCTTTCAATCTCTCGAGCGCTACTAACGGATCTATGGCTTGCTCCCGAGAAAAAATTGTAGCAGTGCGCCACAACCTTTGAGTGGAGATCGGAATAGTCTCCAGTGTTGCTATGACAGAAACTGAGACTGAGTGAATACTCTATCCAGGAAAATAGGCACCTACCCAAGAAGAGGATCCTGTCATGAAGGCCAGTCTTTTTACTCTTGAAGCAAAGCTCGAATAAATCGCGTCCATTTGGGAACAGAAGTTGGTTTCCGACGTGCTCCAGACGTCTCCCCTCCTTGACAAAAAATAGAAGATTTGGCAGAAACTTGTGTTCATCGTTTCTATAGATAGTGGGATGGAAAGGATTGGCTGTCACAGAATTGTCGTCGTCGTCCAAGTGTTCCATGAGTAACGGAAGAGCCTGCCAAAGGTGGGTTATAATATCGTCAAACGACATAGACTTCTTGAATGTAAGGCTTGGGTCGTTAAACCTTTGAGATTGGGCACCTAGGCCTGATTGAACCAGCTCGTTATAGAACCGGGGACTCATTTTCAAGCCAGAAGAACCTCCTTTGAGCGCAAAGCATTGATCGTCAAGAGCCAGCTTATTTCGATTCCTCTATACAACAAATGACTAAATAAACAGTTTAAAAGTAATGGGGACTTACGGTTAACTGAACGCCCATGGGAATAACGTACAAAGCCCCCACTTGAAAGGTATTTTCATTCTCGTCATCTTCCTATGACGGTAAAAGTAAGAATAGCAACTGAAGTAAAAAGGGGGGGTAAATATTACTTCTTTAGCTTTAGCCTGCGTGTTTCTTCTACTCTTTAACCCGTCAGAAGCCTCTTGAGCACTTTCCAGCATTGATTTGATTACAACGCTGTTAGGCCGGACAGATTGTTGTATGTCCGTCGCAGCGTTCAAGATTCTTCCAGTTTTTGAGCTGTTGCGCTCAGCCTTGGCAGGCTGAGAGATCTGAGAAGGAGGAGGAGGCTGCAAATGAGAGGGAAGGGGCTCCGAGCGTTGAGAAGAACGCGATAAATTAGAAGCACGAGAGGAACGGGAAGAACGAGCGTAAATAGACTTTTGAAGTTTCTGTTTCGCAGTAACCTTTTTTGTCCGGTCTGCTAAGGTGCTCATAGTGGATAGAAATTGAGCCTACTTTCCAACTTCTAGCGATTTGTTGATTTGTGCGTGACACAAGTGGGCGGCAACTTAAGCGCCAACCTCCTTCCTCCAAAAGGAAACCTTTTGCGACTGCATAAGTAGGATTAAGTAGCGGAAAACAGTAAGTGATTCATAATATGTAAATACTGTCCCCACTGTATAGCCCTAGGCATCCAGATAGAATGAGGAAGATCAATACGAAGCTCTTTTCTACCGTGCTTGCCACTTTTGATAAATTCAAAAGCAGGATACTCGCCATTTTCCCATTCTTCTGCCCTCAGATGATAATTGGCAGGTATTACATTACTGCGATCAAACTCTTCAATAGCTTCACAAAATAGCTGCAACTTTTCTGGTTGGTGCGTGAAAGGTGATTGGTGTTTTGGGGTGGGAACTGGACAGTGTCGGTAATGAGTGGCCTGCTCTTGACGTATCTGTCCAATTACAGATATTTCCGCTTCTTTACCTGCTCCAGAGGAAGCCGGGGGGTTGTATCGTCCATGTTTCAGCTCTCCGTAAAAGCGTAAATCCTAGTAACCTAAGTTTGAGTAGGTGAAAGTGGAAGGTTATAATTTACTGACGTTGGGAGTTTGGTAGTGCCCGTGACCAGAAATTGGGTGTGAGTTCCAAGTACTAACAAACTTCTGACAGTCTTCGTTGATTAGAGGTAGGAAAAGGGTTTGAAGAAGCCATATATGAGTAGGATCTTCTCTTTTGAGACCGTGAAGGCGCTCAAGACGTAAAAAGAAAGCTCTCCACTGACGAGCGAACTGGGAACCTACTTCAGGCCAAAGTCGCTCTATTTTGGTATTATGTGTAGAAGATCCCCACATAGCGCTAGCCCTGTTTGGCCCTCGAAGAAATACCATAAGTGTGGCGACTTCAATATTCTCTCCTCCCCTATCTAGTCTGACCCGCGAGGGAACTCCATATTCCTTGGCTGCTTCTGTGAAGAGATTCAAAACAGTGCTAGCCTTATTATTTGAACTAGCTTGCAAGCCTACAACCTGATGGTAGAGAGCGTAAAGGAGGAACAATAAATGAACCAAAAACTACACATACCGTTCGGCTATAACCATCTACTATGCCATGTATAACTATACCCCAGAAAATAAGCTTATGGTGACCATCCAGATGCCATAACGCATGAGGTCGGGGAACTTTATAAAGTCCACGTGAAATCGTAAGTCTTCGTCGGAGCCGCGAGCCCAGGCGATCCACTCTTTTCAGGGAGTCCTTGACTCGCTGACGCTGAAGCCTGTAACCTTTTTGTCGTAGGAAGCCCATAACATATCCAAGACCAGACGCAGGGTTTGTTTCCTTGAAACGTTTGGTTAATTTGTCCAAGTCTGCGTTAGTTATAGGGCAGAACCTATAGTCAATGCTGTTCTCCTTCAGACGGGTGCGGAGTGTCTGTCTATGGATACCAAGACAACTTGCTAGCTTGGTAAGAGTAACCCTCCTTGCGCCGTTAGTAGCCTCCTGTAGAAGTCTAGGAGCAATCAATTTCCTGGGCCTGCCATGTGTTCCTGTTTTGGCCAAGAATACTGGTTCTGTATGAGATACACCAGTTTTCTCCCTGCCAGAAGGTATTAGAACTTGACAATCGAAAAAAAATCTAACTTACCTCCCAAAAGCAGCCTCTTCAGCTTCAGCCAGTTGTCTCAACAGCTTTCCGAACTGTTGGCTGACAGCCTTAATCCAGTCTAAAGACAGCCCCTCTTCATCTGCGCAGCTCTCCAGATCTAGCAAAAGGGGAATAGCTTCTTGATGAATGGCGTTTTTGTGAAAAATACTTCGGTGAGCATCTAAGCTGCCTGCAGAAAGTGAGGTGGAAGCTGGAGAATAAATGTGTTCCAGAAGAGAGGCTGCATGATACACCTGAGGAGAATAAGGAAGTTCACGAGGAGGTAGCAGTTTCAGCTTCATAGAAGTTGCCAATAAAATTGGGCGTCTAACAATCCCTGCCTAAAGTACCAGATTAAATCTGGGTAAAAAGTGTATTTATTTATTACAACACGAAATCGTTGTGAACCCAGCCATTTCCATCTTTCTTGTAGGATTCCCCATCTTTATCTGAATGTAATACTAGAGAAGATCTGATTCCCTGATAATGAAGATTGAAATGAGTGTAGCGTCTTGAAGGAAAAGCCACAAAGTCCCCGTTAAACATTTCCAGCACCAACTTTGGCTCAAAAAAACACAATTCCCCGCCTGAGCAACTACTGATTACTAGAACTATACAACCTTTTTGATCTTGCTGATCTTTATGAGCCAAGGTGGCGCAGTTGAGATTGATTACGATGCTTCTGAAAGGGCGTCCAGGAGTTGAGTCGTATAGGGGTACAATGTCAATTTCCCCCTCTAAACCTTCAAAAAAATCTGGTAGTCGAACCAAGGTCTGAAGGAAAAATTAGTAAATAGTTCCTATACCGATAAATCCAGTCTCTACCTTGTTGGCTATATATTCCAGAGTATCTTCTAAGGCAATACACAGAAGTTCGTAGGGTTCTGGATACCTTCTCATATCTGTTGAAGCATATACGTGAAACTGAGCTGTATTCGTTCTCTTTTCTTCTGTTCTTCTAAGTAGATGGGGATGAACATTTGTTGGCGCGTTTTTGCCCTAAATAATATTTAGCTCAGATTCAAGAAAACTCAAAATACTTACGCTAACCCCGTACTTAGCGTGGTAGGAAAAATGTAGAGCAGTGAAAGCAGTATTTGAAGAAGAATCCGTGGTCTTCAAGTTAGCCCCGGACATAGATAAACTGGCTGTTTGGCACCAGGCCCGTAAAGAATTGAACAAATTAGTCCGGACTTCTGCGCTAAGAGTGCCATCAACATGGAATATCAATTTATCGTTCTGGTCGCGAAGGTTAATCTCTCTCCTATATAGGCAGCGGAAACTTTAGTGCTTTTAATCTTGTAGACAAATTTGTCTTACCCTGCGATAAGGTGTTGAGGAACTTTGAGCCATTTCTGGTTTTTTCTAATCTTTCCGGAGACTTTGTCGTATCGATCCATCAGCTAGGTTGAAATCAGCAAATAGATCTGGAAGCGCCCAATATAAACTCACTTTTTCTGCCAACTCTTCTAGATTTTCGGGACTAATAGCTTTGGAAGCAGCTGCACGTTTTTCTTCAGTCCAAGTTTTACGGGAAGATATTTTGGCAGGAAATGGGTTACTCTTCGGGATTGAGTCTTCTCTAAACCAACTCTTCAATTGAAGGATGGTACCCTCCTCCGAGTTCCCCACGTAGGTGCTAGCAAACTGATTTTCTAACGTTGAAAATTCTTCGACCTTCTTCAGATAATCTGAATCTGATTCCAGTCCAAGTTCCAAAGCCTCAAAGTCTTCAAACCCAGATGACTGGGTGAGGTATCGTGTCCCAAGTTCATTGAAAGAAATTGGGTCTTCTCCCTCCTCTGGCAAAAAAGAAAGGATCGGTTCCCATATTTCCTGTTGGCGATCGAGATTGAATGAGGCCCTATTAAATTACGCCTTTAGTAATAGCCTACTCATACAAAGTGATGAGAACCACCTTTGATGAAAGCTATCGAAATATCGGTCGCTTGTTACAAGGTCCTGGCAGAGAAGAATTTCTGGAACGTTTCTGCGTTTTTGAACCATAGGAGAATATAACGTCGGGATGTGAAGAGGAATTAACTTTTGCAGTTTTGAAATAGCCGGAACTAGGCGATCGGTGACAAAGGAAGTAGATACTAGGGAATTTTAAGCAATTTTACTTGTACTTGAACAGAAACATAAGATACTCACACATATTATCTGGCCAACGTAAGTCGTTACACAGAGCAAATAATATTGTACTGCTAACTGCTTTCGACCTCAATTTAGCTGCTAAACCAGGTTGTCCAGCTATTATCAACAAAAGGTAGACGGAACCTTGAAATTAATATCAATTTCTCTGTAACAACTAGAATGAACCTCCCCACTTACCAGCTGAAGCTAGACGCCCCCAGCGTGAACCGGCGTTCAACCAATTATGCATATTATTACGTGATATGCCTTCTCTCACAACGCTAGTTATGGCAGGATAGGCGCTTGAGAGTGGGGCCCCGTCCTTGGAATTCTCGTGAAGTATACTGTAATAAGCTTCAGAAAATTGTCTCCAAAAACTCTGTAAAATCTTACCAATTCACTTTCGCAGCCAGAAATAGTTCGTAAATCATCCTGATAAAGGTAGCGCCCGTATCTATCTTTTCAGCCCGGCTACATCTTTGAGCTAGATGGAGCAAGAAGTAACTACTCAGTGCTCCAGAAGCTTCCTCCCAATCCACGCAAGCCACAATGCGGCGGATATCTTCTGCCCATACATCCGTTCCCCAACCAGCTCCCCCAGTCAAACGCAACATCAACCCCAAAGAGGCATCAGTAACCTCTTTGGGTGGAGCATGGGGGCGATCGCTGGCTTCATAAAGAAACTGCGGTCCCGTATTCTCTTCCTCCCCTCCCAGTTGTTCTTCTTCTTCTCCGAAATCCAGGTTGAGCAAATGATTGACGCGTGGTCTCTTTCGTGAAGCGGAGGCCCCGTTACGATTGCAATCTGGTCTAGGGTCGAAAGGATTTGCCTGAGCTACCCTAGGTTCTACCACCTCAACCTGGACTTCTTCGCCAAGAGAATCTCGCAAACGTCGACGTTTGCGGGAGCCAGGATCTTCATTGGAAGTAGCAAAATGAGAAGGAGAAAAGCCTGTCTGACGTGTGGGGGAGTTAACTAAGGGCCTGCTACCTTCATCCTCCAACAGAGATAAGATAGCAGCATCTAAGTCTGAGCAGAGGATCATTTTCTCCTGGTAGTGGCAGTTGTCGTTAAGGAGCTCCTCAAGGAGCTCATCAAGAAGCGGGTTGGGATCATCAGTGTCCTGCTGGTGCGAGTCGGCCAGGAGTGTGTCGTGGTCCAGGAGTGACTCATCGTCAGCTTCACTTGGGGAGGGGAAGATTGTATTAGCCAGGAGCAGACCCTCCTCTGCTTCGCCCTGGTCATTAGGGAATGCCTCATTAGATTTGAGAGCCGGGTCCTGAGCAGTGTCTTGGGAGTCGCAGAGGTACCGGGCATGAGTGGAGCTGTAAACAGAGGCCTGGCTTGAGTTGAGAGGATGCTCATAGGAAGATTCGCGATCGGAGATATGGCTGCGGCTGGGAGTGGAGACGTGACCCCTGCAGTCGTAAGCGGCCTCGCGAGCAGCTTCCTGAGAGGAGCTGTGAGCAGAGTTGCAACCGGTGTCTTGAGCAGAGCGATGAGCGGCCTCTCGGATAGAGCCGCAACCGGGGTCACAACTCGGGGTTCCGTGAGCGTCGTTGTAGATGGAGTCAGGATCGGAGGCATGAGCAGAGTCGTGGAAGGGGTTGCGAGCGCGGTTGGGAGTGGAGTCGTAAGCGGGATTGGGAGTGGAGTCATGAGCCCAATTTGGAGTGGAGTTGTGAGTGCGGTTGGGAGCGAAATCGTGAGTGCGGTTGGGAGCGAAATCGTGAGTGCGGTTGGGAGCGAAGTCATGAGGGCGGTTGGGAGCGCGGTTGGGAGTGCGGTCGGGAGTGCGGTCATGAGTGCAGTCGTGAGTGCAGTCGTGAGTGCAGTCGTGAGTGCGGTTGGGAGTGCGGTCGTGAGTGCGGTTGGGAGTGCGGTGGTGAGCAAGGTTGGGAGCGGAGCTGTGAGCGAGGTTGGGAGCGGAGTCGCCACCAAGATCTTCTTCCACCTCAGAGCCAGCTCCATAGCCAGCACTGGAAGCTGGGGAAGAAGGTCTTGAAAAGCTCTGGAAAACTTAGATTAGCAGTTACTCTAGGCAATCAAGAAGGTTTCCCGTACCTCTAGAGCCAAGGCTGGGTCTTCCACCTGAGTTCCTACCTCACAGGTGGCCCTAGGCTGTGAAAAGAGCCAAGGAGGCCTAAGTCTAGCTCTAGCTAGAGAAATACTGCCAGTCCTAGGTAGTTTCTCTGGGGAAGGAGATGGTGTAGGAAAAGAAGGAGCAGAGAAATTGAGGGCTAATTGAGCTTGAAGGGAGGCAGGCAGAGACTTCAGGTCATCAGGAAGGTTGGAGCCTTGAAGAAGAAGAAGGGTGTGAAGAGCCTGCAGTTGAGTTACAGAAAGACTGAGGTCAGCCATAATTAGCCTGTGAATATTGAGCGAAGAAGGTGGAGGCCAAAAAAGGCAAACCTGTCTGAAATGCCTGCTTTGCCTAATTGAGTGTCCACTCGCAAAGCTGTGCAGCTATAAGCGCCAGATAAACGCGCGCCTAACCCAACAAATGTGTACTATGAGCTGCTGCCAAAATTGAATCAGAAGTTTCGCTACAGAGGTTAAATCTAATCGGACTGCTCTTCCTGCACCAGTCGCAGCTCCCCCATTGTACGACGCGTATTACTCTTTCCCACTCACAAAGAACGGATACTCTGGTGTGGCCACTTACACACGCAGACCTTCCGCAGAAAATTCTGTTGCGACGACTCTCAACGCTGAAGAAGGACTTACGGGAAAACTTCGGCAGCCTCATTTGAAGCCCCCGCCTTCGGATGAAGAACGTGTCTCACGCCCGGAAGCCTATGATTACAACGACCGCGAGCTAAGGTTTTTCGATGCCGAAGGACGCTGGACTTTGGCTTATTTGTCTTGATCATTGCGTACTGCCTTAATGACGGGTCCTCCGCAGAAGACGCTAGTTGACTCGACTACAAGATGGTGTTTCACCGTTTACTTGAAGCTTGTGTGCGTGCGCTCATCAGAGAAGGCCATGAAGTCATTTTGTTAGGTGACATTATCATTCGGAGAGGTATAGCGCAAGGATTTAGTGGCGATAGCGAGGAGTAGTTTTGGATGAAGAACGACGCAAGACGATGGTTGAGAGATCTACTGGAGGGCGGAAAGAAAAGTTTCGTTGATGTTGTCAGGAAATATTACCCGGAACGACGAGGAATGTTTACCTGTGAGCGAATTCGAGGATATTTCTGCACTCATTATTAATGAAAGTAGGCTGGAACCCAAAACTTTCCGCTCGCGCCAGTAACTATGGTACCCGTATTGACTACATTCTTGCTACCCCCCGGTCTCTTGCCCTGGATCAAAGCGGCAGATATTGAACCCACTATTAAAGGAAGTGACCATTGTCCAGTTTGGATAGACCTTCATGACAAAATTTCGTTGTCCGGCAGAGGAAATTCCACATTGAAACTTCGAGATGTTATGTCATGCCCTACCCCAGATAAACCGGACAGAGAACCTCCGAGATTAGCAACTAGATTTTGGGATGAGTATTCGGGGAAGCAGCGCCTTCTGGTGAGTTTCTTCAATACTGGTTCCGCGGGGGACAAAATAAAACCAAAAGTTGTTGCCGCCAAAGCTGTAAGTATGGTGAAACAAGATACATCCTGGATACATCTTCTGAGCTGACTGGAAATCTACTTAGACACCAACAAGCAACTCGGATAATTCCGATGTCAAAATGTTAATGACTTCCTGCGGGTCCACCTCAGCCTGTATCTATGTCCTCCTCGCTGACATCGATCGCATACGTATCTTCATTTCCTACATCTTCCGGCGCTTCCACCCCGACTTCCACATCCTCGCAGTCAAATTCACTGAAGAAGAGGAAGACACCGCCTCCTTCCACCTCTTCATCGACTGCAGGCACCTCATCCTCATCGTCTGCTATTCAAACCAAACGGAAGAAACCGAAAGGGGATGTTCAAAACGTGAAGGACCTGAAGAAACCCAGATAGTCAAAACTCTCTAGCTTCTTCGTCGCTCCCCCTACGACCCGAGACACGAGCAATTCGACAGCAAAAAATTCAATAACGTCGAAGATAAAACCTAGGCGGAGCGAATCGATAACTAACCTCGCTGATACAGGAACACAAGTCATAGTGGACCTCACAGCGAGCAATGACAAAGACGACAAATACCACGTGGCTCAAACAGTACAAGAGGTTGAGGAGGAAGTTATTGACTAGGACTTACGACAAGGACTTACGACAAGCTATCCAACTTTTGCTATCGCAAACATCTTCCTCTTCGGTGCCGTCGCAATCATCATCTCATGAAGCTTGGAAGTCTCTTCTCAAACCTCGAGAGCCCCCGAAGTGCTTGGTGCATAACGAAGTCGCGAAAGAGTTTCGAGTAAACAAGCCTGGGGTCAATAAAGGTAGATTGTTTTGGGTCTGTTCAAGGTGAGTTTGCTATTGTATCGCATTTGTTCTTTCTATCTGGTCACTCACTACTGAAATTTCAGGCCGGTGGGACCCGGATACGATAAAGGTCGTGAAGAAGTTGATTCGAAATGGAAAGGCAATTACTCTGTATGGAGTAGTGATATTGGAGTCAACCGTACAACAAATCAATCTGGAATATAGAGTCTTCTCAAGACTTTGTTCTGTCTGTGAGCCGGTCTACCTGAGGACTGAGTACTTGCGCGGCCAGTGAGTGCCCTATCCTTGTTTTCGCTGACGTTCAACACGTATACTTACGTTCTTTTGATTTCCCTTACACCTAGTGCAACTATCCGCAACTGGAACACCTAGTGATACCGCAACGTTCACCACTTCGGGCATCAGCAGCGGCAGTGGAACCAGTCTCAGCATCCCAAGCACTTCGGGAGCTTCAAGCACCACGACTGTTATGAGTTCTGGGAGTGCTTCAACTACTGTCACCTCTGGGACTATCATACCGCCTGCTTCTAGCGTAGCGTCTAGCCCAGCATCCAGTGCATCTAGTCCTAGCAGCACCGGAAATAATGCCCAAAACGTTCAAATTTCGATGGGCATGGGTTTTATTGCGACATTGTGGACGTGAGAGTTATGAATTCTTATTTTTTGACCTTCTCGCAACACAAATTTAGAGCTAGGAGTACTGAGTACGGAGTATATAGTTCAAACCTCAGCTAGAAGTAAGTTAACGGTGGTCAGAAGAAGGGCTTGAAGTACAGAGGGGTTTACCTACCATTCTCTGGAGCTGGACCTCTTCTAGGGACGTGGTATATGTCCTCAATTGAAGCCACTGCTTCTTCCACTAGTTCCTTCATCCCGGGATAATTGGTTTTCCTTGATAACCAATTCAACATGCGTGCTTTGCAAGACAGATTTACTTTGGGGAAATCTGTGTTTTGTAGCAGTTCAAGAAGCTCCCTGTAGGTGAGAGGCTTCTGGAAGTCAAGGAGAAGATAGCCAATGTTCTCTTTCCAAACGGATTTCCAGGCCTTTTGACATTCTTTATGGGTTAAACAAAGATCAGCTTCTTCTTGATGGTCCTTATCTGCGAGTTTGAGAGCAAACGACCTCTGAGATACTTGGGTGAGTAAACGCTGGATGTTCTCCCGGGTTCTAGCTATGGTCGGATAGGCAGCTGCTATCTGCTGAGCCTCAGAGTTCGTTATTTCACCAAGAGGCCTCTGAATAAGATCCTTGACTGCTGGACCAACCCAACAATGAACCTCTGGAAGGTGATGAAAATCACCAACCAGTTGTAACATCCTAGCAGAAGGTAAACGTAAACTTTCCAGACCACTGACAGCGTAAGAAATCCCATCCTCGGCCTTCAAGGTTGAAGAGACCCTCAGAAGATCCACCAGACTTTTTTCCGTTATCTTGAAAGGTCGCCACTCTCTACCATAACATAATTAAAGATAATAATTGTGGAAGGAAAAAAAGTTACCTATCATGAATCCAATCAAGGAAACCAGTGAATTCTCGAGTTGTGAAAGGCAAGATCGCTGGATTTTCTTCCGTCCCTTCAACACTGTCTAACGCCTGGGTCAAGAAGTTGGCCAAAACAGGAGCGTGAAGCTCCAGCGAAGACAAATGGAGTTTGAATCGAGAATAAATGGCCTTGCCTGTCTGAGATCCAGTCAGTGATTTTACAAGTTTATTTGAATATGTCTTGAAATTGTACTTCGTCGATCTCTTGGGTCTCAATAACCACCATGCGATTGTTATGATAAAAATCCACAACATTCACAGAAATTTTACACTCTGCTTTGTCAACCAACATTTGGTTCTCGATATCCTCTGTGGATCTGGGCTTAAGCTTGGGATGGTCGGCCATCTGATTGAGCAGTAGTAGATGAAGCTCTGACTTTCCCGTCACAGTGACAGTCACACCTTTCTTTCTGGACTCTCACCTTCTAACGACAGAATTTTTCTCTAACAGCCACATCAGCTTCCCATGTCTACTGCTCAGCCAAAATCCACCCCTCTATCTTCGAAACCCTCTGTTGTTACAGATAAAAGTCAGGAAAACCAGCAGCTCCTTCAGGTGGCTCAATCTTCAGTTTGTCGCACATGCAACATCAAACAAAGCAGTAAGTCTCTGGCCTTATCTTCATTCTGGTTTCTTATCTCAAGTCTTTCTGTGCTCTGCTATACAGATGTCAAGGTTGAGCAATTTTGGAAGAATTTTACCAAGGAAGCCACCAAACAAGCCAGTACGCTACCCATATTTTTACTACGAGATTCGGCAGTATTCAGCTGCCTTTTGTAGGTATTTAGAGAGTCAACGTCTGAAAAGTCTTAGTTTTCTTATCTACCGCAGTGAGTAAATTTCATTGCGACATATAGCGTATAGACAACTCATAGATTCTCTTTGGGGCTAGTGAATCATCTCCAATTTTCCTTAGTTTCATTACCCTTTTTCCAGTTATTTGTTGCTGTAGTCATCACCGTAAATTTAAAAGGTTTCACTGAGGCATGAGGGAGCACTCCGTTATTTAGGTACAGCTTTGACACTTCCCATTGAGAGATGTCCTTATTACCATAAACTATACAGTTATACCTATATACCAAGCTGACAGTGTATTAAGCTCCTTCAGTTGCTTTGCAAAAACAACTAAGGTAAGCCATAGCAAGATACTTATATGACATACTGTATAGCTTAGGATACTCTGACAATACCATAGCGATGAAAACTCTATATTATAGGGTCATACCTATTGGAAGTTTGTTAGAGGCTATGAAAGTTTGCTGCGGAGGACAGTTTTTTCGGGCACATGTTCGAACAAGTTCTCTACTACAAAAGCAAGTTTTCTGCTAGTTTGAATAAGTGCCAGAATCCAAATTATATTTTCTGTGGCAGATTGTTCTTTTCTGCTGAACAAAAAGAATTTGCGCTGACAAGAAAAAGTCGGGCGCACCACGAACAAGTCGAGCTCATGTGAAAAAGTCGGGCTCATGTAAAAAAGTTGGGCTACCGTGGAAAAATTCCCGCGGATTTTTTCGCCACTTGGACTAGCATAGATGAGGAGGTGACAGCAATGGAACATGATAGTGATGAGTGTCAGCAACTGGCTCTAGTAACAGATGTCACCAGGTGTCACGCTCAGAAAAACTTTGGTCCATAACCTTTCCATTTTACCTTGTACTGGATGCTGTTCCGATACTTGCATGAGTCCACAACCTCCTCTACTTCATATTCTTCCTCTTCTCCTAATACTTCTGGAGGTGGTTCAGTGTTTCAGGGTTGTGTTGGGAACTGGGGTTCATAGTATGGGGATAGATGTGTTTCGTTGAAGACATTATGAATTCTTTTCCACATGTGAGGGATGTTGAGTTTGTATGAGCTGGGTCCAATCTTTTCAAGAACTTTAAATGGTCCAAATTGTTTATCACCTAGTTTCTGCATGGGGTGATTGTCATGCCCTGTCAGTAGAACTTCCTTCCCAAACCCATCCGGAACCACCCAGAATTGCCTCACAAACAGATCAGCCCTTCCACTCCTCTTAACAAACCTCCCACGGAACACTCGCCAAACCTCCAATTAAAGCAGCAGCATCAGGACAGCCTCACATATACGGTCAAATGATCTATCAACCTAACCTCATGGACTCCGCGCCGCACATGATCCCCATTGGATGCTCATTTCCTATAATGTCTCCTTGCTTATTCATTTCACCTATATAAGTACCCTCGTAGCATAAATGTCCCCAGCTTGGTATATTTTGAACACACACCCTTTTGCATAAGTCCAGTCCCTGTCCCTTTGTACCTGCCAACCATACGGAATTCTCTTTACTCTCTATTTCTTTCGGTCTTTCGTCTCTACGATTGTCTATATGATCCAATACATGCTTTACTTCACGTCTAAGCAACCTGAGTGAGTCTTGGAGCTCCCTCGATCAATACTAAAGCTCCCCAATGTCTATTGTTTTGGTGAGCCAACCTACCCCAAACCTCCCCTAGCTCCCCAAGTGCTCCACGAGCTCTGGGACCTTGACCTAGGTAATGTCGAAGCTATCCCTACTGTGAGGCCCCAGCACAGAAGGCCTGCTCTGGTCTTACCCAGACTGGGCCTAAGCGAATGCAGTAGCCGCCTAGGCCGTATGAGGAGGTATGGGATAGTGCTGATACTGGTGAGGGGAGCCTAACCAGGGGTAGTTGTGGAGCTTGGGTAGACCTAATAGAGGGTCCTGGAGGTGTAGAATGTAACGCGCAACTACCGCTTCGATGTGGAGGGGAGGTGTAGCTGATACGAGTGGGAAGCTGTGGGGAGCTTAGGGAGCAATAAAGCAGAATTGGGAACTTAATGGGAGGTTCCAAAGGATGAAGGACGAATTGCAGAGCTTCGATGTAGATGGTGAGTCGAAGTAGAGGCGTAGACAATACAAGGATTGACAGAAAGAGGCCAGAGATAGGAAACAGAGAGGAGAAACAGAGTTGAGGTGAGACAGAGATAAAGGAAACAGATAATGAGGAAATATATGACTGTTGAGACGTGTCAGGCCCTGTTAGCAAGTACTAGTAGACTGTACTAAAGGGACCAAGCCAGGTAGGAAGAGTTTCCAGGTAAGATTTGACAATAACATGCTGGGGAGCTCCGAGGGGAGTCCCCAGCCTATATACTGTACATGAGGCTGTCAGGTACATATGTCATGTGGCTACTGGAGTGACAGGTAATATGTACAGTAAAGATCGTAAGGATGGTGCATAGAATATCGGAAACATGTATAAGTGATGAACCGGAGCTCTGGAAAGGAAAGGGAAAGGTCCGGAGAAGCAAGGCATGACACCTACATTGAACTATGTGCCGCTTCTCTGTTACTACCTCCAACACTTGAGGATGTCAGCCGCTACCTTCACTTCCCGGGACCTCCTTACTGGGCTTACACTCCATCGGGAGCTCTCATGTTCAGAACTCACATCAGCTACAATCTACAATGATCTTGTGTTGATGCTCCTATCTACTACAACTCGTACTACGCAACATTCCAATGCTCCCTAGCTTCTGGTTACCTGTTAATGTCCTAGGGACCTCCCAGGACCTACTAGGAACCTTTTCAAGGGTCATTCCTCTCAATCCGAACTATCCTTAGGTCATTCCTGTCCTTGGTTGCGGTTCCTGTAGCTCCCTTTGAGCTCCAGCTTGCTCCTAGCATGCTACAGCATAAATTCTTTATACCAAACCTACCCTTAAGACCAATTC